CTACTTAATCCCTCTCTAATTCTTCTATTGCTATCGCAGTGACGTACAGAATATCACTGTCCACTATCGATAAATTGTATCAAATTCACTTTACATTACTGGGCTATCGAGGAGCAATGTAATAGTATATTTTCCACGAGAATATCTAATAATATATCGCCGACAAAAACTAAAATATCGACTTTCGTCGGAAGAATTGGGTGATTTATTTGTAGAGCTCTAATGTAACATATTATGATTGATGAAGATGAATAGAGCAGTCTCAGAGACATTTCCGATGCACCCCGTTGATGATAAAGAAAATTTATTATCTTTTTTATCCAGGTAAAACCTATAGAGTTTTTCAAATTTTTTAAAAAGAAATTACTAGTAGCTCAATGGGCCAACAAATAGAGAAGCTAATAGAAATAAATAAAATCATACCTTTACCTGTATATTTTACGCCGTTATTGAATAGAAAAAACCGAAATTATCGGAAAACGGGCAACAAATCGTCGAAAAATTACAGGCCCATCGCGGCTGTAAGTGTGATTTATACGAGTTTGACTGACAGTTATGAGATATTCCCGAGATTTTCCTTGCATTTTCCCGAAACGAAGCGTCGCGGGATAGAAACTTATGCCTCACCTTTTACGTCTGTTACTTAAAGAGTAACGGACACTTTATTTACGGAATCGGCGTCGAGGAAGATTTAAGAGTCGTCGGGGAATAGGTAATAAAAGCGCAAAAGGGTATTAGGAATTTTATTCTCAAATGGCTTTCGATTGGCATTACAGAAATAATATTGATTATCGAATACCTGCTATTTTTTATTTCGTTCATTTTTCAACAGTTTTTCTCTTACCTTTGTTATACTAATTGCTAGAAAATAAGTTCAATTATAGGAATATTTTGTATCGAATTTTTTGTGAAGCCTTGCAATTGTAAGTTTCCTTCTAGAGAAACCTTATGCTATATAAAGAAATGGCATATCGATCGTATCAAGTCCTTGGAACTTTCAGGTAGCTAGTACAAACAAACGATGGGAAATCAATAAAATACTACATGAACTTTTCACTATTTCTACGTGCTGAATAATTATTTATTAACTCATACCGGGTGACTAGGAAACTTGGAAACTGTGTTGGTAAAAGCTGATTGCTCAGAGTGGTTTTGACATTATCAATCTCTATGAATTAACACTGAATTTTTTCCAATGCAAATTTGTTCTTCGAGTAGACATTTTAATGAGTTTTCGAAAGAATTAGGTAATAAGATTATTGGACAAATTAGGTTAATAAGCGCCAATTCGAGATGAAAAGTATAGGCTATCCTTTCCCATTTAAAAACCCGTTCTCGGCGTGTATTTGAAAATCCCATTAAATTAGCCGAAACTTTTTTTCGAGGAAAACCGCTTTCACCAGGCGCGAGATTTGATATTCATTTTTCGCGTTTTAATATTTCAAATTAGCGAAATGTTGTAAAGGAAAGCCGCCGTGCAATTTCGATGTAATTTAATATTTACTGCGGGGCTTCTTTCAAGTTTCCTTTCGGGCGGAAATATTGCGCGCGTTACAACAAATCGGATTTTTGGTACAAAAATTGCATAACGATTGAAAGCGGAAAATAATTCGAATTACTCGAGCAAAGGCGAGAACAATGCAGTAAATTATAATGAAAAAGTGACGGAATGCTTAATGCCAGAGCTGTTGCAGTTAGGGAAGTTGCAATTTAAAGTTTTAACTGTTTGCAGAGTTTGTTATGCTTTAGTTATACAACATCTAGAAATTTAGAAACACAATCAATGCTTTACTAAAAAGCGGCCTTTCTAAAACCAAATTCTCTAATTTATTCTTCATTTAAAGAAGTACACAATTTGTAGCGAGTTTTCTGAAGGACGTTTGAGATCCAATCAATATCGAATTTCGACTTTCATCTATAATATTAAATAAAGCCTAATTGCTATAACCTTATTCGTCGAATTGTAGGACATAAAAACCTTTAGATTCACATTCAGAAAGAGATATAAGCTCAGTCAACAATAATTACTACGAAAAATCCAGAAATCCCAAACAAGAAACGGCTCTATTCTCCTGAGAAATCTTAACAAAAAATACCAACAATAAGTATCATTCCGACTTTTCCGAGCTCCGGGACATAATTAGACGAGGGTTATAGAGTGGACTCTGCATAAAGCGAAGAGTTACAATACTTTCCTCTCAGTTCCTACACAGTTGACAATTTTGTCGTAAAATCATATCTATCTGCTGCAATTTGCAATTTGACAAGGTTTCGTGACGATGCATTTATTTACACGCAATTATTTATAAAATAAATGCGAATTCATGCAATGAATTAGCGCTTATTGGAATAAAGCGATTAGCATTAATCATTATTTCCGTATTGTTTATTTTGAAAATTGGTTCGCGCTGTTTAATTTAATTCGGAATTTATTTACCAAAAACCTGGTGTTTAATTGTAAAGGATAAAATTAAACAGAAATATTTTCTTTATATTACTCGATTTTATTACAGTAACATTTTATTGTTGTTGTTTAAAAAAAAACCCGAATTATTTACAGCCGGTACAAAGTTATAAAAGTTAAAAGAAAATCCTCGCTGGTAGCTCGAATCGTTTTAATCTTGTTCGTAAAAATTTAACACTTACAGTAAAGTTCATCTTGCATGCAAATGTATTCCCGTAACGCTTCAGTTTGCGCTTTATCCCACTTAAAATCTCCTATAAGCTGAGAGAGTGTAAATGAAAATGCACCGTTTATCTGTGTATAGGCGGCACAAAGGAGAGAATAATGAAGCCGTCTAAAAAGTTCATTAACGCCGGAGGCCTTTAAACCGAAACAGAAAATCAAACGGCTCCCAGTCCCGTGTCCCTAAAGTTCCCCGAAATCCGCCCTTTTCCTTCGAAAGTCGAAACTTCAGCGACCGGTCATTTCCTAAAAGGGCCAGATATCAAAGATAAAGGTAGATGTTTGGATAACGTGTGGTTTTCATTCGGTGGAAATGGCGCGAATTTACACGCTGAGATTTCATAAAATATGCCCGAACGGCCAGCGCTTTCTGGCTGTATTTATGGGCGAAGAAAATGCGATCGTGAATTAGTATTCAGCGCGAAAACGCGGCACATTTTCCGGAAAGAGAAGGGATAGATGTAATAAAATTACCAGGAATCAGCGAAATTGTTTGGCGAAAGGAGATATTAAACAAGCTCGGTGTTAGTTTTGACAAAGTGGTGGCAATTAAATATAACTATCTAGAAAAACCTGCAATTTGTATGCAAGAATTGGCTCAATCAATCTTCAATCGCCCAGTGTTTTACTCGATCGACGAATGTTAAATGAAGCGAATCATTTCCAAACTCTCCGAAACTTTCGGAACGAGTTTCAATTAAAAATATATTCTCATAAACTTTTTAACTGCTGCTAACTATTGAAAGCTGCCTCGTAATGTTGTTTATTATTTTTATTTCGAATTTCTGTTGAACGAGAAAACTCGAGATTAGTTCTGATTAAATTTATAGTCAAGATAACACGAATCTAAGGCATAAAAAATATATACTTTCATGTATTTCATAAATATAAACGTGAAATATTAAACATTCTCTTCAAACAATACCGAAAATATCTAAAAATATATCCAATAGCTTGAAATTGCGTATGTACACATTCCAATTGCCAATTTAAATGGGTATAATTGAGAGAATAGCTAGCCAATTATTGACATCAATGAAACATAACAAACATGCAATATACTCGGACAGTGCAAAGGTAAAGTGCATCAGAAGGTATAACTATCATTTCATAGGTTAATGAATAAATTCAACTATCATTAGTTACATATAATGGGAATAATAGAGTCTATATAAATGTTGAAAATACCTTATATCGTTTACGTACGTAAAAATATTTCAAAGGAATGCGGTCCTGTACGAAAATTATAAAAGTAAACCGGAATTTACAAACAATAGAAGAAAATAAACTTTAAATTCGAAAGAAATATTAGCTCACCTATTTTGTTGTTGAAAGCTGCTTAATAATTGTTCCAGAACATCACTATAACGAACAAGATCTAATTAAACTAAGAACACTATGAACTAAAACAATCAAATAAGTCACTAATAAGTCTAATCACAAAAATCTATTTACCCCCGATGTTATAATATAATCAAAACAATATAATTCGCACTAGAAAACTATCGGTATCGATAAGGTTTTTCTAAAGCTGGAGGGCGGAGGGGGAAATTTGCGCTTGCTGATAAAATACACCGCATCTGTCTTTGAATTAAAATTCCGATCAGCTGACTATTCAGGTCAGGGTTTTATTCGCTCTTTGCATTTATTTTTAATAGCTCTTTTTGTTTATTATACATTTTTTAGAAAAATGAAATCTGCGAATCGGTCTCAAATTATGCAAACTACCACCCCAAGAATTTAGTGCTATAAGTTCGAGAACACCCTGTATACTGCTCTAAATGGTATGACAAATGGTGTTTATTAAAAACTAATACGGTCCAAGTCGACTTAAATAAAGTCGTTTTTCAAATGTCGCGAACCCTCTGGATTCAATTACTTTAGTTACATTCCTGTTTTGCACCGATTCAGTCCCGTTTAATTTAACCACTCCAATGCAACGGAGCAAACAGTTTTATAAAATTTAAGGGAAATTTGCAAGTCACAAATCTGGAAAATTTCTATTGAAAATTCTTAGCGATTTTATAGAATCTACACATAAATTTACCAAAGTAATACTCTTAATGTTTTACTTACTATCTAATTACATACATGGTGTTCTCAAACTTATGGCATTAAATTCTAGGGGTGTAAATTGCATAATTTGAGACCGATTCGCAGGTTTCATTTTTCTAAAAAAAATATAATAACAAACAACCCAAAAGTTGTTGTTTGGGCAAATAAAATACAAGCATTGATTTGCGCAAGCCTTAAGAATTTTTCAGTGCCTTTATTGAACGAAATTCAGCATACCTACGTTTTGTTTTATTTGCAGTAACCACATAGAACGCAGTTGATGCGGAACCAAATAGAACAAAGATCAAAATGGCCTGTCACCAGCAGCAAACGCAGCTCGACGAATTGCTGAGAACCAACGAGCAACTATCTAGCTACCGTGGGAATCCCAAAGAGCAGGAGACGCGGCAACAACGCCATTTGGTTGAGAGTGATCGCCTGCGCAGGTGGAAGGAGCGCGTTGAGGCTCAAGAGCACAAGCTGCGCAAACTGAAAACGCTCAGGGGCCAAGTCGACCAACAAAAAGAGAATAATAATATTTTGTGTAAGTGGCGACCCAAATAATAAATTTAATAATTTTACTGTCTATTTCGAGTAACGCCGAACTGTCGTTGTTGCTGTGCTTTCGAAAAATTCTGCTTGCCTTTCGCATTATCCCCGGTTTTCTCGCCTTTTATCTCGCCGTTTCCGCTGATTCATCTCGAAAGGAGTTTTCAGATTTTCCCCGGACGGGCGGCAGGTGTCCGAAATTTTCCCCATGCATGTGATTATGTTCTCGCAATCCGGATTATGTGCGTTACGTATCTGCTTCTGTTGGTTCTTTTTTTTGGTTTTATCGAACGCTTATCATTATATCGAAGGTTTCCGCATCTGGGATTTCTCATCCGATTGGGTTTTCTCCTCTTATTATTTGGACGAAACTAACTTAGGGTATTATTGATCAAAAAAATTGTATACGAATATCCAATTTTAGGAAACTAATTGATGTAGTGAAATATCCGAAAAGTCATTGGCTCACTGATTGGATATTAAACGATTGTAGTCGACTGGTAAATGTATTTTTCGCCTGAATTTCTTCTATCTTCTCGAGTATTCGTCAAATGAAATTTTTACGCTCTTTCAATCGAGACAAAGGAGAAAACTACTTGTCCTTATGATTTTTATCCTGCATCACGCGCACATAAATTCCCGTTTTATAACCTCCGGGAGGATTCCACGATCGCAGTTTATCATTTTATCATTGCCCGGGCCTACTACCCTCGATGCGCAATGAACCGCGACAAATTCAAAAATTACATTTTTCTCTTACGACAAACATCAGACGTCAACGGTAGATATTTCGAAACAAATCCAATTTCCAATGCGCCCCTTTCAGAAGCGGATGTTTGCCTTTTCGTCGACTTTTACCTTAACTATTCCGCCCGCCAGCGAAAATAGGCCAGCACCCCTTCTTGATTTTACTAACTTACTCCCTTTAAAAAAATTGTAAACTAAAATTCACAAGTATTGATCCCTTCGTCATACATACACTAATATATACACTAAGTAAATTCATTAAAATATTTAGTAAGCATTACTAGGTGATACCTAGTAATAATTTCAACGTTAGAGGAAAGTTCGATAAGTTTACACAACAAATTGGAGTTCACTATGCAATAATCTCCTGCTGCTAAGTTGCGCGATAAAACGTTGTTAGCTTAATGCCTTCTTGCGGTCGTCGTGTGTTATTTTATACGCTTACAGGAGAAGATATGAAACGTATAATGGCGAAAATAAAACGAAACGCCCTTGTCTGTGTTCTATTTTAATGTAGTTACTCGTAATGGCGACGAGAGAAAAGTTTTGTATGCACGAACGGGCGAAAATATTCCTGTTGTAGCGGGAACTGGAGATGGATGACCGGCGGTTTATGAGCAATTAAATTTTTATTGAAAGTTCCGTCTCGAACTTTGAGAGAGATTGTTTAAAAACGCCGAAGTTTTCGCGATAGCGGTATAAAAAACTCAATTAAACCGATGCAGCGGAATAATTGCAGGAAGTGATTTAATACTTTTGTTTTTTGTAACTACAAATTAAAATGCACTCTAAGGATTTTTCTAGAAACTTCTTGATGAGTTTTCTATTCATTTAATTTCAATACTTTAAACTTTTGAAGTGGTGTTTGAGAATTTCAGAGGGTTTTTATGGTTTATATTTTCTTTTCAAGTGATTATTTTCTACATAAACGCAATGGTTAAAAGAAATAAAAGAACATTTATTATTCTTTTAGTAAATGGCCAAACTGATGGTTATACTATAGTAGAATACTTCGATATAAATCTTTTATCGGGAGAATTACGATAATAGGTGAATAGCATGGCATGTTACTATAAAATACAAACGCTATAGAAATAAAAAAATACATCGGCAAATACTTGGCAAATTTTCAAGAAGTGCTACATGTAATTTTGCGAGGCAAAAGAGAATTTTTTTAGCATAATCCCTAATAGTGGGTATTAGTTATTTCAACCGTACTGTGTATATGTATTATAATTTTTAATTGATAAATTATTTTTTCCATAACAAATAACCCTGTAAGTATACAATTTTCAACCAAACGTAATATTTTTGTTCCAACCGAATCCCAGCAACGAGAAAACACTGATAACAATACACAAAAATTTGTAATAGCGAAAACTCCTGCGACGAATGATACTCGGCTTTGGAGTTTTAACGACCGTATTGATTAATGGTTCTTGAAATAATCTTCCTGGATATCAAAAATAAATAAAATCGTCCCGTTTTAAAGCTAATAATGGGAACGCAAATGCCGCCAACAAAGAGCGCTAAAACTGCCGCCGCCGCGGAGGCGGTTTAAGTTCGGATATAATGCGAAATTTTAAAAAGCGAGCTTAGCACAGGAGATTAGGGAAATCGGGTCGGTCGTGGAGAGAAGTAAATTGATAATAAAAGTGTATGGGACGGAATAATAGATAAAGGTGGTTTTTTTCTGCTGTAAATATACTCTGTAAATCTGTTAAATAAGTATTAAAAATTGATGATACGTGTACAAAGAAAGTTCCTAATGGAATATGTTAATACATGCTTTTTCTTTTTTACTGTAAATTCCTATATTCATGAATTTGTCCACTTATACATATTTTTATTCCTTCAATTGGTAATTCGATAATCATAAATACCTCTTGGGAAAATAGGGAATTGAATGGTAAAAATGAATTCATAAAATTTCCTTTATAACCACCTAACAGAGAAAAAATGATATTACACCATTCTCGTAATAGTCTACAAGTTTTTCGTGTGAAATACGAAATTTTCACCAGCTTTTTCTTTATTCCTGTTCGCTTTTTTACTACCAATCCCGGCCTATCCGACGACTTTATATCTAGTATCAAAGAGTTTTTTGTTATATCGAGAGGGTTCTTTTAAACTCAATTATGCAACGTCGAATGGCTGCTTATAAAAACAAAAGAGATTGAATGTTCACCTGCCTCGGTTTTCTCAGATATTAATAAAAAGAACATGTACCTACCTATATGTACCTGGAAAATTCACCCGGAAAAAATTCGAGTAAACAAGACGAGAGGTATTAAATGAGCGTCGATCAATAAAAAATATTTCAAACGAGTTTTAGAGTAATTTTACACATACAATTGAAACGATATATATAAATGGCGAAATTTGAATTCAACCTGAATTCATTACAAAAGCCGTGGGTTTTGTGTAGAACCTTTTGTGTACATTCAAACTCATCATCGAACATCAATTAATACGATGAGCATTGAGTTGCAAAAAACATGAATTTATACCAACTTAATTAACTTGAGCATATAAAGGGAACAGGAACGTTTTCGAACGATGAATAAATCTCCACCTCCACTTTAATATCTTTTCGAAATCGATGAAGTAATTATAACTGTTAATTAAGGTATAACTTTATATTTTTATCTAAATTAGTATTGCACAAAATTTCCTGTGTAACAACAATGCTCGAAGATTTTTCTTGGTAATTATACAGTGTTGCCAACCAAGTCTCCAGATTTACAGCGCCACCTGCTAGTTCAATTTATCCTGATTGGACAACAAAAATACGAGTTGCAATTTTAAACCGGCAACGAAAATAACATAAAACTGGAACTGTAGGTGTAATAAATTTCAAATGAAAATTCATTGGTAACAATCAATTTAATTTAATCTTGAGTAATATAGTGTACTTGGGTTAATCCGACGAAACATTACCTAAATCTATGGATTTGGGCAACGTTGTCTATCCAAATCGGTGGATTTTGAACAGAACATTTGTTTAATCGAATGTTTTAAATGTATTCGTTACTGATTTATTTTAGAACCAAGCTTAAGGAGTTTATTACCTTGTTAAAAAAATTAGAAAGTATCGCCTCAATAAAAAAAAATTATTAAAAATTATTGCACCATAATATGTTCGATATGTAATAAAACGAATTCTACTCGCAAATTATTGAACTAAAATATTCAGGATTTAAACAAATAAAATTATTGAAATTCTTTCAGCTTTTACCTTCCGTAAAATAACGTTGAATTGCAAATTGCAAATTTTGTAACATGCAGAATGTACATCAATCCTACTAACTGCGCCAGCTAGATATTACGATAATAACTCAGAATAAAAGTGAAAAAACATCATGCAAGTATGCGAAATTCGTAAATCACGCGACTCAAGTGAAAATAGATACGTTTCTGTAGCTAAATTTTCTGATTTACTATTGTAAATCTAATTTATGTACAACTAGGATTGAATTATCGTCAATCAATCAGCGAATTCGGTTATATCCATAAATCAATCAAAGCCGATTTCACGTTAATTACCGGGAAAATTAATAATATATAGACATTAGTAATATTCCTTTTAACATATGCTATGGAAATTATGTTATGCAGTTAAGACCTACTCAATCGCAGGTGATTTTATACGGCAGTAAAACTTTTTATGAGCTCGTAAAAATATTCCGTATTTTTCCAGCAAGTGACCTTGATTCGATTAGAGCTCTTTTCAACGAGAAGGAAAAAGAATTATCGCTGGCAGTGGCCAAAGTGGAAGAACTCACCAGACAGTTGGAAGAACTTCGCAGAGGACGGTCGGAGGACAAAAACTCGCCGCCCCCGGACGTCCCCGCTCCACCGGAATTGGACAAACTCCGTAGAGAGCTTATGGTAAGTGCGAAAACTTAAGCCACTCGAATGTGATATGATTTAGGGGATTTTGTCAAACGCCGGCCATCGCCTTCATAATTTGTAAAAGCTCGATTTTTCCGCTTTTCCTTCGAGGATTCGCCATAGACGATGATTAGATTTCCCGAACTTATATACTTTCCTCCAACTTTTAAGGAGCACGAATGACGTTATTCTTAATGCGATAATTTTAATACCATAAGAACTTCAGCAGAAAGTTTCTTTATATATTAAATTAATTTATTACAGAGTGTACCTACACACATTACTATTCGAGCCTGCGAATGAGTGAGTATTAATAAAATTTGCAGAACACTAAAATCCAATTTGGTTGTAAAAAATGATAATTGATAAAAAAATTCTCTCGCTATAAACACGAACGCTCCCTCAATGAATTGAAGGCTATTTTGTAAATGTCAAAAACATTTTACCAGAGAACACAAATTCGATATTTAGAGCGTCGACGCTTTTCAATGCGAATGGGTTCGAGCGAAACGTACGTGAAACGTATTAATTTAAAGAAAACGTACGAACTTGCAGGAATTATATGCGCGTTTCTCTTCGGCGAACTAAATTTAAATTTCTCATTTTCTCCAGTAAATTTATTAGTAGTTTTGTTCTATTTACGGTAACCCTACATGTAACTGTGCATCTTTCAATTAATTATTTTTCCATGACGACCGGCGGCGAAATAACGCTCGGCAATTCAATTAACGGAGGGTTTTGTAATGGAAAACGTTGTCGGCGACAAAATTGCGTATTTGTGCTAGAAAATAGCCTAAAAAGAAATTAATCATGCGATTGTTATATTGATTAAAACCTCAACGATTATAACAAACACCAGGGGACAAGAAATAATTCACTAATTAAGGTAAAAGTTATTTTAATTTTCTAAAATATACATCAAGTAAAACTCGACCACATTTCGCAAACGTACATACTTACGATTTAATCTCTTTATTTCCACAAAATCTCATCAACGCCTGGGAAATTGTAAAGGTTGGGTGAATATTGAGCAAAGATAGTTTTAATTGGCTGACGAATGTTCGTGTAAAGGGCCACAATTGAACCGAAACAGAACGAGTAGCGGCATTCTTTTCCTATAGAACAGTGAGAATTGTTGGAAAGCATTCTCTCCGCTACTTAACATAAATCAGGCATTTTCTATGGTATCTCTAGGCAAGAATTCCGACGAGGCTGGGCCATCTAAAAGGGATTATAAAGCACTTATGGAGCGAAATGTATGTAGTTTTATGAAATTCTTTTTCAAAAAAAAAGTTTAAAATTCTTGCTACATAAAATGAAATATTTGATTTTTGTTCGGTACGCATTTAACTAAAGAATTTATAAGTTTTAAGTCGTATAAACCACAATTGCCCTACAAAACTTAATTGTTATTGTACCTACCATATAAATATAATAGTACCTATTTAGAGATTTCCTTTGAGCAATTTACTTAGATATTTCGGATCGTCTGAGCAATTTACTTAGATATTCTACCTATAAACTCAACATATTTCTATTGCATAGTTTTCAACTTTCAATTACCACTTAGTTTACCTGGAGCTGCGGTTTCGAACTGAGAAGTAAACACGACCAGTGAAACCATCAATTATGTCACGAATTTCTACTCGGATAATTTCATTGCTAGTTAGACTCGAGCGTCAAAACGCAAAGTTCCGGCGATATTTCGATGAAGAAGGAAATGCAAATTCTGTGAGTTTTCTACTATTACAGTTCCCGAAGTATAACTAAAGAATCTTCGAAATCTTCGTACTATTTTTACTTAATCCAAACTTTCATTTGAGCTTTCGCTTCTAAATTCGAAAGCAATCTCGCGGGTCGGCTCTTCGCGGAAAAGAATACTTTCGAATCTGCGGTAATTTATGGAGAAATATTCATTTTATTTTACAGTGCCTTCGGATGGTTTCATTGTTATGGATGTTTCACAATAGACCAGTTTAGTTTATTCCTTTCTCCCTTTTGTCCAATGCGAGAACATTGGGCCAATCTGATTTATGGCGGCGGAACAATTTATTCAAATTACATTCCAAAGAAAAATAGTACAACTTTTCGACTTTTCTCGTCTAGCGTGAGATTTTGCATTTCTAAAAAATTTTGTGAAATCCCCTCATATCTCCAGTTTGTTTAGGTCCAGAATAATTAAATGGTATATTTTTTTAGGTGTTCTATATCCTTTTATTACCCTTTGTAGTGTTGTATATGCGGTCCGAAATAAACGGTACTGATAATATCGAATTCCAGGATAAACGAGGATTTTAATTGGCGGGATAGTCATTGATTAATTAACGTTCGGTAATCGTCCTCTTACCGGCCCAAAAATTGGCCAAAATGTAATTTATCAACTTATAACCGACGGAAATCGATTTCCTGATGGTTTATAATTTTTTAATGAATTTCCTATTAATAATCGGTATTTATCGATAAATTATTTACCACAGGCAGCGAGGCAAAAACTTTTTGAATTTATATTTAAATTTATATTTAATCCGCTCACACCGCGCCAAGTTTCCTACTATAACGAAATACTCTGTATTACATGTGAATAATAATTATGTAATTAAAACGGGTTTTTTTGTTTTTTGTAAATAAAATAAAATCTTTTGATGTCGAAAACAAATATCCAAAAATGCCGGAACAACATTTAATTAAGAAAATCATAATTACACGTTTTCGCTCAAGGGGATTCTCGTCGCTCGTACAATGGCTTTCCATCAGTAAAACAGAAATTGAAAATCGTTCATTCATATTCCTTCGTAGCGTTCGCAGAGCGGCCTTTTATCCATACATTTCATCTTCCCGCCGAGCGGCCTTGCCCCCTGAGGAGCGAAGAGGTGTTATTTTTATTAGAGCAGTCTCGCACGCCCGACGGAGCAAAAACCAAGAAACTCCCAAATAATTCGATATATCACGAGTGGATGAAAGCGACATTCGAATATATATCAGTGTGCGCGCGGAAAATGTTCCAAATGTTCGGTTATAGAAGTGCGACTAAATATAATGGAAATAAATAGAAACGCGCGGATTCCCAACGATTCGAGAAATGAAAAACCAGACGCGAGGAAATAGGATGGAAATGCAGCTTTTTCCGCGTTTGCTTGCTGACATTGTTTGAGGTTTCAGCGGTAATGCTGCAAGATGATCTGACGGCATTTCGCAAGAATGCATCAAAATTGGAAACGGATCTAAATATAAAAGGAAACCATCAAAATTTCAAGTGAGAGTTATTACCAAAAGGATATTAATTGAAATGCCTAATTACTCCAAGGAAAATTATTTCTTATGTATTTTAAGGGAAATAAATGGAGATTGATTTGCATGTCTTCATCAAGTTTGTTTATTGCTCAACGGAGGAAACATTTAAGCTGATTGTAAAAAAATAATGAGTGTAATTAATGGCAGGAAATAAAACTTTTCTCCTTCAAATTTCTCCCTCAAATTTGTACATAGAATTTCTGAAAGTTTTACAGTCAAACCAAACCCAACCTTTCCCTTTACTATCGAAATTACCTTTACCTACAACACTATTAATTTACCATACTATTTTCCAGTACAGGAACAAATTAAACTCGGAGCAAAGCGAAAAGCTGGACCAACAGCGACGAGCGCTGACGGCCCGGCAGGAGGAGATGCGCGCCATCGACAGGAGAATCACCGAACTGCAGGAGAGATTGCACCGCAAGCGCTCGCTAAACCAACAATTGGCGAATCGAATAAGCGCCACTTCGAATAAAGCCGCCTACCAACAGTTTATGAGGTAAATTCGTTCGCTCAAACACTCCGATTCTCTTTGCTCGAGTCAACAAAAGACATGCTAATTGGAAAGTTTTATCCAGTTAAAGGAGATCCTCGGGTTCGGGTTAAGCTCGATGTTTGATGACGGGAAACGATTGGCAAACGTGGGATAAAATTTGTAATTTGAATGAGTGGATAAGTTAGATACTACAAGAATTGTTAAATCCATCCATTGTTAACATGAACTCATAACTATTTCTCGATGTATTCCTAAATATGAATTTGAATAAGTGCTTTCAAAACGACCCGCCGGGTTTTATTTCCAATTTTATGATCATTGAAATTTTTAATTCCAATACTGGTTGAGGTTCACAATACATTAACCCTAAAACCTCTGTTATTTATATGGGCAATTAAATAAAAAAGGGGTGTGCTAATACGATCGATATGGTGCAATATTTGAAAATATCCTGCCAGTGATATTTCTTTTATTTATGATTTTATCGTATGTAAAATAATTATTTATTTACAGGTTGACCGACTATCGATTTCAACCTGGGGATTTTCATCCAAACGAGCCTAAAATTGCTTCTATACAACCTTACAACCACATTCCTATTCAATTGCAAGCTAACCAAAAAATTAAAAAGATTAGTAATGAGGTACCTAATCAAAGAAATTCATTTATAAACTAAATAATAATTATTAATGATATTTATTTCTAGAATAGCAATCTCGACATTCTTTCTCCAATAAACACAAACCAACATATTAAACATGATAAAATGATTAACAATGACTGTACATTCAATGAATTTTCCATCTCCAGAGCAGATTCGAGATGTAGAACGCTACCGCATGGAATAAAATTATCCTGCAATTTCTTGAACAAAGTGGATAAGAGAAGCCACTTTGATAAAACGAAACTAAATGATCAATATTACAACAATTCTGCAAAATTAATGTTGAACAATAAATACGAAAGTAATATATTAGGCGATGAAAATGAAATAACATATCCAGAAAACGAGAAAGTTCCTTCTAGCATTAATAGTTCAGTAGGTTCAATTTCTCCATATCAAGTAAGTAATTCTTGTAGATAGATAAATTATTATTTAATAACACAATTATTATTTCAGAATACAACTATAAGTACTTCAACTAATAGTAGTCCAACTAATACTCGCTTATCCAAAGAACCAACCATATCTCTTAGTAATCAAAACATATCCAACAATACTAATAATTGTAATTTAAATTCCACAATCAACTGTATAGATCCATTCGATTGTTTTGTTGCTAATACGCTAGTTGAAAAGAATACAAAAGTATCCCTTTCGCCTAGAAGAATACAAATTTCCTATGGAGATGAAGGAGATACATTTAAAGGGAATAGCGAAAGCAGTAATCTTAAAGGTTTGTAAATTCGTATTTTTTTGTAATACTCATCCCTATTCTTTTCGTGTTCTAGATTTTTCTAATAATACATCGATCACTGTAAAAAAGCAGAAGATAATCAAACCAAAACCTCTAACGATCAACAAACAGCGATTCTGCGAACGACCAAAACTGAGGAACAAGACCGCAACCACCAATTCTAGATCCACCAGAACTAAAAATTCTGAACCCCACAACAAAAAATCCAGCGCAAAAGACAACAATCTACAAGAACAACTAAACAAACTAGCAATCGAAGAAGACGCCACCAGCACGAATCGCCCGCCAGGCAACCGCAAGGTGAGCTTCGACCCTCTAGCTCTGTTGCTGGACGCCAGTTTAGAGGGCGAATTCGACCTGGTGGTCGAAACGGCCGAGCGCGTAGAAAACCCCAGCGCTCCCAACGACGAGGGAATCACCGCTTTGCACAACGCCATCTGCGCGGGGCACCAGGACATCGTCATGTTCCTGGTGGAATTCGGCTGCGACGTCAACGCCCAGGACAACGACGGCTGGACGCCTTTGCATTGCGCTGCTAGCTGCAACAATCTGGACCTGGTGAAGCTCCTGGTGAGAAGCGGCGCCAGCGTGTTCGCCGCGACTCGCGGTGACGGGGAAACGGCTGCGGAAAAGTGCGAAGAAGACGAGGAAGGTGTCAACGGATGCTCGCAGTATTTATACGGTAACTGCAGGATTTCTCACGCGCACTTTTAAAGCGGTTTTTTTTTGTTATATTAATTACTTTTGTAGATGTTCAAAGCAAATTGGGCACGTCTTCGAATGGATTAGTGTTCGCTCTGTTCGATTACGCGGCTCAGCGGCCGGACGAGCTGAGTTTAAGAGAAGGGGATCAAATTAGAGTGTTGAGAAAAGGCGACGAAAGCGAAAGGGAATGGTGGTGGTCGGAGATGGGCGATAAGAAAGGATACGTTCCGAGGAATCTTCTCGGGGTAAACGTCTAATTAATTACGCGTAAGGTGCGAGTCGTGAGTGCCATTAAATCAAAAGGGTTTAGCTACCCTCTTGGCTTTTTTTAACGATTGCTCGTTTATTTTGTACGTATGCCGTAGGGGAGAGGTTAGGAAAATAATGACACTTTTGACTTGCACTGTATAATTCTTAATTTGATTACTGTTAATAATTTTTATTTTTTTTTTTTAGCTTTTTCCAAGATTGACCAAAAGTAAAGATAAAGAATAAAAAATGGACTTCGGTTGAAGAGCAAATTGATTTTAAGTATTTTTTACTCTGTAAAAATATTTTACCTTTATCATACATATAATTACAAAGATAAAGATGAGTTATGTATACAAATTAAAAAAAATTGTAAAAATATTTTTTAGACGTGACAATGTGCTAAATTTAGTTATTTTGAGCAGAACGTAAAAATTACTATTTTGCTCAAAATATTATATTTTGTAAGTTTTAAGTAAGAATAACTAATATCTGAAGTTATTTTTATTAAATATTGCTTTAAACATTGAACAATATATCATATACATTTACAAGCAGTCATTTATTTTTCAAATACATTCAAAAATATTTTTTTAGAATTTTTTAATGATTGATCCAAAAACTCTCGAGACTTAAATTACAATCTAAGAATTTCAATAAACATGAAAATATTCATATCACACGTTTTGATTGAGTGTTACAGTTCTACTAGTCTCAGTTTAACGGAATAACAAACTATAACTTAATTTATAAAATAATTAAACTATTTAATGTTTTTTAAAGATTATTTTAAATTTTTTTCTAAAAACATGAAAAAATTAAATTAAATGTCAAACATACAAACTAAATAAAAAAAAAACTTTGGTTTTCTATGAAATTAAATACTCCACTAAATCTTGAAAATATTGATTTTGTTAGATTGAGTCCAGCAGAACATTAATTCCTTAACATACTATAAAGTTTTAATTTTTAAAAGTCAACTATATTAATTAACCTAAATAAACTTGATTTGAATAACATTTCAATATTATACATAATTTCATTAGTTCTACATAGGGCTTAAATTTTAATAGAACTCTTAATTTACATAAATCTACACTATATAGTGGATTTAAATAATCTACAAATAATGTTAGTCAAATATTTAATTAAAAAATTTAATTACCAGTTTAACGTGTACAACATGCACTCTAAAACTTCGTGAATAACAACTATTTACATAATGTATGCAAGAATAGAATATGTTTAAGCTCATATTGCAGTGCATTTTATAACGACAATTTCACATTTAAGCACCGATAATTTTTTTAACCGTATAACCTGGTACTGAATAGAAGAACAACAGAATAATAATGGACAAACCAATAATTATAATCAATTTTAGAATAGTCCATTTATAGTTATGCCACAGGATGTACCTTATCGATTTCAAAGGATTCATAAACCACATGAACGACGAATCAGGACGACTATAAAATCACAAATAAAAAAGTTAATAGGAGTAAATAAAGAACAATTTTATACTTACTTAGGTTTATCCAAAGCATCAGGTTCGTTTCTCCCTAATCCTGCCGGAGACTTTTCAGCTTCTTCTCTGCTCAACAAATGTATTTCGGCCTCTACTTTCCCCGTTAACTCCATCTCCTCGTTATCTTTCTTGATGAAAAACGGCCACCAGCCTTTCACTCTCTTCTGCTTGAAAATGTTCATCATCGGAACAGATCCGTCTGAATTGAGCATATCTAATGTGCAAAGTTTCGAGGACTTAGCGCCACGAGGGAATCGGTTGAGATCCAAAGTTATCGCACCTGAGAAACGAATTTAATGTCGATTGAACCAATAGTTGTTTTAATAGAGAATTACCTAAGAAATCATCAGCAGAGAAGTGATCGGCGTCCCATACTTGCAGTTCCAATCTGGCGGGAATTTTGCTTTCGCTCTCGTCCCAGGAAAACAACGATTCCTTTCTGGATATCACGATTTTTTGTTCGGCTACTAAGTACTCGAAGGGATAGATAAATCTCCAGTTGAAATTACCTTCGCCTGTAAGAGAACGGTAGTGAATGTCGGTGCATTGGCAATCTTCCGGGCCTTTCAACCAGCTGTAACAAGACCAATCAATTAACAGATATTTGAAGAAAGTTTAAATACATACCCTTTTACGTATATGTCGGACATTTTCTCTCCTGTGAAGAACGCATCGTCCTCCAGGACTACTTCGTCGGTGTTCCAAATTACGACCCTTAGCTCGTAGCTCTTCGGTTTCCTGGGCGAAATATCCAGAGGAGGACCAGGCAGTGGCATGTCCATCGGAAACATATCAACCCACATTTCCAGTTTTCCATGTTCGATTCCAGGCTTGTCTGGTTTGTACAAAACACGCGTTTCGACGTGCTCGGGTACCAGAATGCAACCGGTTTTAGGAAACTCGTGCCATCTAAAAACAACTTTAAATAGAGACTCGTCTCGGTTGATCCATCTGATTTTTACCTGTGCAATACAGCCAAAGCCATGTGCTCTTCCACGTCTTTGGTTGTGTAAAAGTCGATTTCGTCGTTCCGTATAAAAAACAACTGTTTACCGACTTTGACCAAACCATCTGCGTAAATTGGCGCGTCGACTTTAGCATCGTGACAAAGTTTGGATAAAATTTGAGTGGGTTTTAGCACATCCCTCCAAGCATTGTAGCCCTCTCTGAAAACATCAATTAGTGATCGTAGAGAAGTTACAATTACTGGTGAATGTACTTACTCTTCGTATGTCTCGGGTAGACCGCAAATGGCCCTGTGGCGGGTGTAAAAGCGATTTTCCAAATCGATTTTCGTCTCGCCCACCATGTCGTCGGATCCTACCAAGTCCCAGTCGTAGATTTGTACGGTCAGCAGCGAATCTTGCGGTAAAGTGGCCTCGATTTCGAAGCACCTCAAACGGAAAGTCAGTTAAATCTAAAATTTGTTATACAATTTACTTACTTGCCGAAAACAGGATTGAGTTGTTTCGAAATGTAATTGTCCTTGTCGCTTATTCTCTTGGAACCTAATATCAGCACGACGTAAGGATCCGCTTTACCATTAAAATCCATCGGATGCAAATCATTTGCTTTGACAATGTACACTCTAACTAATACCCTAATTGGATCGTTGGAGGGTAACCCTTGGAATAGCCCGTATTGAGGATCGAATCCCATTATCGTTCTATCCTCGATGTCTTTGGGTAGAGGCCATTTGTATACTTTTATCGCTCCCTAAAGAGAAAGAGAAAGAGAAAGATACTATCATGTTAGCCTACTTGATTGATTACCTTAAAGTATCCCACAACTCTGTTTTCGTCTTCGGCGTCTTCGCTAATTTTTTTACCTCTGTACAATTCGAAGGTGTTCAACGATTCTTTGAATTCGTTAAACTCTGGTCTAGCTTCCAATTCCGTCGGGTAAATCTGCAATCAAGCAAATTACAGTGAAAAAATTATTTGACATTTAATTAAAGTACTTTGCAAAGTGCAATTTTGTGCTTGGTCCTCTTCCTCGTAGCCATCGGACTCATCTTTTGAGCGAATCTGGCCGCCGTCGCCGCCGTCTTGAAACCGAACCGGTTGCTTTTCCTGTATTCCACTCCGGGACTCCGGTCCGAGCTGTTGCCGGAATGGGGATTGTTATCGTTGTCGTGCACTTGCAAATTCCCGTTGTGATTGACCACCCTTTTCGCCTCTTTCGATTCGTCGATCATCCGCTCCACCGACGCGAAATACTTCGTCCACCTGCAATAAATCCCACCTGCAGCTTTCTCCGAAGCGTATTCAACTCAGTTCTTACCAGTCTTTGCTATCTTCTTCATCGTCGATTTCTTCTTCAAAGCTTTGTTTGCGCTTTTTATTGTTGTCAGTCTTCGCTTTTTTGTTGATGTCTTGACTACCGTAACCTACCAACATGATTAATTAAATTATAGATTATTATACTACATAAAATACATTATTTATTACCTATTTGTATGGACGCATCTTTGGGTAACAAAGGACTCTTCTCTTTGTCGCTTTGAAAATTCGATGGGTTGTTGGGTGATAGTGGAGCAGAATCTCCTCCGGTATAATCTCCTCCAATTTTCGATGGATTTAATGATTTCTTCCTTTCTTCGGCTTCTCTATCCCTTTTAGTAATGGGTTTGTAGATGTATTTTTGAATAGAGTTGATTACGTGGGTGCCAACTAATGTGTACCTTCCGAAACTCCTGCAATCTACGGCTCTTATCGTTAAAGGTGGCCTAAAATTAGAGATTACATTAAGGAGACCATCCTATTCTAAACATTGTTAATATTTTTTCCCTTGCCCTATACAAATTTTCAATATCCCAACTCAATGTAAGTAATCCTCTCTCTTCGATTTATCTATTCCATTTATTGTATAACCTTGAACTCGTGCCCTGGGATCATGCAATATTTTATTCACTACTGTATGTAATCCGTTCGACGGGATAATGTATCAAAAACGCCACAGGTTATACAGGAATAAAAATACCGTGTAATTGAGATAAATTGAGTGCACAGTTTCAAATTTTGCATTGTTAAGCATCGCGAATTTCCCATTTATTATCCCGAACACATTCCCACTGACCTATAAAGTTCCTGTTCCGGTAAATCCAAATCGAGAAACTTCACCGGCGTACTGAAATTCGGATTCTTTTTCCTGTTTTGTATGATGCTCGAATAGAGTATATTTCCGGAACACTCTATGTCAACTCTCGGTTTATCCACAGTCAGCAGATGTATCCTCTTCAAGTCTCTTAGGCCCCAAAATAGCACTTCGATCCTGTATCTAGCTAAAGTTGGCCTAATGCCTCTCGGTACTGGCAGACACGGCTCTATTTTCTTCGGATCAGTTTCGTGGTACATCGGAATCTCCTTTGGATGGGGCAACGATGGCAAGGAGACCTCCAAGTCGATCTCCATCAGCTCGAAAGCCGCCAACAGTTCACCAGCTCTATCCGAACCTCGGGTAATTGTAAACCTGTGTAAATTATAAAGTATTGATTTTGTGAAGTATTTACTTGGTCAAGTTAGAGTTAAAATCAAGATCATGCCAGAGTCAGACTAATAGTAACATCAGTCAAGGTCATGCCAGGATTTCCATTCTTAAGCTGGTCAAATATATTTACCATTCCAATAAAGGTTTTGTATAAGCATCGTCTTTGAGCTTAACATTGGGTTTAGCCAAGGCTCTGCCAATGAATTCGCTTTTGCCAACTTTGTCCTGATCGAAGATTTCTATGAGTATGGGCGGTGGATCGTTCTTGATTTGATCGCCATCGCCGAAAATCAGGATTTCTTCGAAGATCAGCAGCTCGTCCCAGGTGGGGCTGAGCGTTTCGTCGATGACTTGGGTGGTTTTGCTGAATTCACCGGCTATTATCCTGGCGAAAGGATCGGAGAGTCCCGAGGCGTCGCTTCCGATCAACGAGCGAGCTTGGTATATGTGCGCGCGGAGTTGGAATGTCTGTAAGGATGCAAATGAATTATTATCCTTGTTGTTGCTGCAATTTTTAATGTGATGAACTTACGTGTTTTTCTATGTAGTGAATGGTGTTGGGTGGTAAGGCGCGAGGTCTTTCAATGTTTTTGATTTCTTGGGTTTGTTCGTAGCCTTCGGGGAGGCCGGCGAGTACGCATTTCTTGTGTTTGACCAATCCGAGCCACAGGAAAATTTGCAGTTTTGCTGGAATAGACCAACCTTTGGGTCCGGTTCCCTTTTTCCCGGGCAACTGCAAATTGAAATATCCAATTCGTTATTAGCTTGAAACAATAGTTTTGTATTTATAAAGTTTTTTTATACAACGCTCCAACTCCAAACTAAATAGCAAAATTTAATAATTTTCTCTTGTTCGGTTCTCTGGAGAGCCAGAACAAATATATATCTAACTGACCTAAAAACCTAAACAAATATTCTTTTCGGAGTATAAAAACAGGGCAAAAAAATTACGTTTGAACAAATCGTGGTTCGTAAAATTTCCTGATTTGACAGCACACCTTCCCAAAAAATTATTTGCTCACAATTCCACAATATACATTCGTATCACACATTTTTGTAATAATCTATTTACAGTATCGTTACAATTTCCCCAAGTTTACTGATTTTATCGAATTCAGTGTTACCTTTAAAAACATAGTTTGGACTTTTCCGCATTCTTTTCCGCGCTCTTCATCCACAGTGGAGTAAATTATATCCCTGGCGGGTATGCGCTGGTAAGCCTGTCTCTTTCCTCCGCTGATTATCCAGAGGAAAACGTCTGGAAGGGCGTGTTGAGGCTGGAAAACATAAAGCATCCGTTGTAAAGGCAATTATCTAAACTTATATTTGAAAAGTCGGAAAAGGAAATATGTCGCTTAGTTCAAAAAACGAACATGAAAGATAAGAATCTAAATATGTAGGTATGTATATAAAAGAAATTAAAATATTAAATTCTACTGTATTAATTAATATAAATTGTGTTATAATTGAATGTGGTTTCCGAATACAAGATTAAATTTAATACGGATGTCGTTCTGTATTAGGGGTTAGCGATTAATGGTAGTTTGATTGGTGGTGGGAAGGACATTTTCAGGTAAAATTCAAAGTAAATCTTTCCCTTCTTCTACAAGATATATAAATTGCAAAATTTATTTCTGAAATTATTAATATTTACAACGTGTCCAGTTCAGTCGAGTATTAAAAGTTGTTAGTAGTTGCGAGTAGTTGTAAACTATCAAAAATTGAAAATATGGATAATATTGGAAAGAAATTCTCCTGTGAAACACCGGAAAGTAAATTTAGAGAAAAATCGAAGGAATTTTTGAAAGAGAATTTCATGGATATCGAAATAAGAAGAGTATCTGCTTTAGTGAGAAAACACAAACAACGAAAAGTGGAAAACATGGAGGAAAATAGAGTGATTAAGTGTGTTAAAAATTTCGAACATTTCGAGTGGAATTTAACAGACGACGAGAAAATTTACAAAAAAATACAACTGCTAGTCGTCACCTTATACTCTCTGATGTTTTACGAGGATACGCAAGTAATTGGATTGGAGAAACTCTCAAAATTGCTTTTGATGTCCATGTAAGTATAAAATCACTTTTTTAATAAATCATTTTGGTAAAATAATTAGCTCTACATTTGGTTTGCAATATAAGTTTGTAATTTTTTGAATATTTTTAGGTTTGGTTTGGAATACTTGCAAATGGAGCTAGCTATTCAAAATTGTGAGCCGAATGCAAGAGTCATATCTGCAATTAAGAAGATGACGAAAAATCCGACGGGGGCGAATCTTACGGAGTTTTTATGTATCTATAAATTTTATTGCGAAAAAATAAAAGCATTGAAAAGGGCCAAGATAAATCTTATCGTCAGATTTATACGTATCATTAAATTTGGAGTTTATTTTTTCTGTTTTCTGTTGTATGTGTGGATATAAGAGATTGTATTTTCTGATATATTCTGATTTATTAATGTAGAGATAAATTTTAGTATCCATGGACAATAAAATAAATTAATATCATCAGATATAAGAATTTTCTATGTTAAACCCATCCTTACCAAAAATAACATTGTATTATTGTATTAAATTTTGTAAAGACTTAATCCTTAATCCTTATACCCGGGATTTGACTATTATCTGGATCAATGGACCTACCCAATCACTTATTGTCTAATGACTTTTTAACGGGGCGCTCCAATTTTCTCCTGTATAAATAGACACTGAATAATTTGATTTGTATTCAGTTTGTAATAGTTCTTCAATTGATACACTTGTATATGTTATTAATTTCTTTGCAAAAATGAATCTATCAGAATTATCATCAAACTGTGTCTGTACCTACATCAGCGACTCTTGTTTGACAAAATGCCAAAATCGCCTAGAAGACTGCAAGACACGTTATTATAATACAAAAATTACTGAAGAATATCAAAATGTTGCTACTGAAAAGAGTGATTTGAATCAAACACAAGAAGAATCCGTTTCAAACGTACACAGTTATTATTCTCCACCTGAAGAAAACATATCAGAAACGCTAAGTAAATTCGAGAAGATGAGGTACATAACCGCTGTTCTACTATCCATGATGAATAATCGTGATAAGAATATAATCGGGTTCCAGGATTTACTGGCGTTATTCGAATCGTACAGGTATGGATTTTTTGTTAAGTTTCCCCTTTTTAAAATATCTCCTGTTGTACCTTGAAAATGTTCTCAAAAGAGTTGTAATTTTTAATTAATTTTCCTTTTACTTTACAGTTTTGGCTTCAAACGACTTTACGAAGAACTCAACAACCAAGGTCGCATACCGACTTTGAAGTTAGTTTCCAGCATGGAAAATGTCATCGCTAATCAGTCCAAGGAAAACCTGAAAGAGTTTTTGAGCGCCTACGATTTCTTCAGCGAAAGAAAACCCAGCATCCTGGAAACCGTCCTGCGTACGTCTAAGGTGGAAAAATGTTTTCTACTTTTGATTTCTTATTTTTTAATTTTCACTTTTCTTCATTTGTTAACTCTTAATTACTTTTCTAATTAGATAAAGATATTTGTAATTGTATATTGAATAAACTAAATTTTTAATTGCATTTGAATTTTTATATTGAAAAGTAAACAGCATAAATATGCAGAGGGTTATTCAATTTCCGCCGGACTGAATTTTTTTGTAAAAATAAACGTTAAAAGTTACAAAAACTCTGTATGTATCGAGGGCATTTGGAGAATTTTGCGCAGTGAAAATGTCGAGGAAAATGTCATTTGCAAAGCAATTTTATTTTTTCAAATAAGCACGGTGGAATTGATTGTGACGTATACCGAATAGAATGTTTGCATGCAGGAAAGAGATCCGTTTTTCCATTTTAATATGTATGAAACGGAACTCTTCAAAAACGAGGAGCAATCAAAATGGATTTATCATACATAAATAAAATATTGCTTTATTAAAAAATCTTCTTTTCTTGTAGAAGCTGCTGTAAAAAGTTGAATTAGCTATTAAAATCGTGGTATAAAACACATAAGATTTAGTTGTAGTAAATTCAATTTATAAAGCATTATTCTTTGACCGATGGCGTGCTAATAAAGCGCCCGTTCTTTCACTGCCTGCTCAATTAGACCTGTGATAGAATAAGGGGAGCTTATCCAACGTGTTTCGTTGGAAATTGGATTTACTGTATTTTTAAATGTAATATCTCTCCGACCTTCGCGTAACAAACAACAAGCAAAAAGGAAGAGAGGGTTGATAAAACGACGAGCGCGTTATCTCCATTAATGGAGCCTGCGGTTTGTTCGGGCAAAAAATAAAAAAAACACAGAAAGGAAAAATATAATGCTTTTTTAATAATGAAGGACGAGCGGGAGTTTTTTTTGGAAATCAACCGGTATAATGGCGGGGACTACCGAGTTGTACCACGACTACCTGAATTAATCCCTTACCGTTCTTTATCCGGATTACATTGACTACCGAGTTGTACCACGACGTAATTACCCCTAATGGCCTTAATACGCTCGGGATCGCTGAGTTGTACCACGGTATAGCATTTATGCCAAGCGTGCGGTACCGTAAAATTTTAAATTTAGGACTATCTAATGAATACAAAGAAAAAAATTCGGAAATTGGTAAGTTTTTGAAATTATTCTTCGACCTACACTTTCTGGAACCTACCGAAGTAGGTGATTTTTTCGCATTCCAAATATTATATAAATTACCCAATGATGAGAAAGTAATACAATTTTGCGACTACATATTGGACAATTATGTTTTAGAAGAAGCTAGCTTTCCTCCGAACATTTGGGCATGTACCACCAATAGCATGTACAGGTCTACGAACGCTTGTGAGTCGTTTCATTCGGTACTGAAAAACAGTTTTTATTCTCCTCACCCAAATATATTTCTTTTCACAGACATGCTAATAAATATACAAAGTGAGACGTTCACTAAAATTAAGACTGCCAGTGAATCAGAAAATAATAAAAAAACTGAAGTCTGTTACAAGAAAGAAATTCGATTATATAACATTAAAAATTAATGAATTTAAAGAAAACAAAATTAATAAATTTGATTTTGTAAAGTCTTTAAGTTTTTACTATTTGCCGCAGTAGAGCATTTAAATGTGTATGTATAAGTAGATTATGTGTAGATATTTTATATTTGATATTTTATTTTATTTTATTTTATTTTATTTTATATTTTACTATAATTTTGTATCTAATTTATAATAAAATTGTTAATGGTTATTGTCGGGCTTTATTTTTTAAGTCGTTAAGCCTCATTAGAAAATTCGGTGGTACAACTCGGTAGTAGGATTAGACCTACCTGCTATCCCGTGGTACAACTCGGCGATCCCGATAATGGCATGAACATGAGCGCTTATCAATAAGTATTTATACCTAATGATCGACGAGGAAAATACTCAATCTATAGGATGTTTCAATTTTAACGAAAAATCTTCCTTCTGAAATCGCAAAAAGGATACATTTAAAATACTTACGTCTTCGATAAGAAACTTTAACTTTCCGAGGAACTTATGAGCCGTCTTGAGCCTCTCCTTAAAGGAGCTTTTCGTTACGAGAGCTTTGAGGTTCCTCGCTGCGGTACCGATGTGTTCCTGAAACGATACATTAAATATTCAGAACGCCGTTAACCAATTATTTCTGAATAATTAGCTACGTTCCAGGAAGTTTCTAATGGGATACTATAATATACTATGATCTGTATAGTTACAGTGGGTCAGGAATAACATGGAGACATGCACTGTAACTTACTCCCTAAATTAACTTCTAAATTATTAGTATGCTTATCAATTCCAAATTTTAATTAAATAAATTAAATTTTATGTAGAATTTAGTTAGAAGTGTTATTTATTTTGAACAATTTTGTTGTTAAAATGCGATTCGGTGAAATGGAAATACATTCCATTTTATGAATCTTCATTCGAAACTCAAACGTTTTATTATTACATAAATATTGGAGGCGAAGGTTCCTGTCCTGCAGCGCTACATAAATATTTACGCAAAATTTGTTGGAAACTTGATGAATTTGTAATGAGATGTTCCTGAAGTTTCATTAGCCCAATATTCTTTGTTCTGAAGGATCTATAAGCTTTATTACACGGAAAATTTTAATTACAAAGTACACTAATAATATACCGTATATTTAGGATAAATAAGAAATTATGTCACAAACTTAAATATATTGATTATCGGATGGAATAAATCGGACGTTCCCATTAGGAAAAAAGCTATTAAGTTATTTCGCCATTGCAACTTTTCACTTTGTTCCAGGAAGTTTTCCAACGAACATCGAATTTCGAATTCCAAGTCCGAAGGCGAGGTAATTGAATTTTTCGATTTCAGCGAATTCCAGTGAATGTCACTAAAAAAACATTTCCGTCGACGACCCGCAATTTACGTAATTACCCGACGAATAAATTTAATTCACACTTTAATCACTTACGATTTCCCGTTGACACAACTTCGAGTGCTCCTTATCCAGCTTCGTTTTTCCGCTGCCCGGGCCCGTCAGCGACGCTTTAATCAGAGTCACGTATTTGCCGCATTCGATTGAAAGATCGTCGAGCACTTGCTTCAACAGCAACTCAACGTGGGAATCGTCCGATTCAATTCCAGACGCCACTTCTGACAAACCGTCTTCCTGCAATAGCCAGTAAGTCGATAATTCGATTTTATAAATACGCTGAAAAGATAGCTACTTACGAATTTCTCCACTAGCTTCGCAATCATATTGGAATTGTACATTCTCCTGCGGTGATCCGGCCATACTGATCTAATATGCATGCATGGCTTGTTGTCCCAATAGGGCAGGAAATAGTAGATTTTGTCGTGGGTCATCGGTTTCGTAGGCGAAGTCGTGCTTTGCCAGGAAGCGCTGTCGCAGGATACCACCTCTGAAATGCAATATAAAAGTTTCCTTCCTGCTACTTTTGTCTAAACATATGCTACGAACCTATTTCATCGCTGTCAGAATCATAGTGATCCCTCGAAGAGGCGTTGTGTCCGTCCATAGCGTTTCCGGCATTTCCAATGCTAATTTCAAAGTATACGGGTTTGTCTACTAATTTCTTATCGACCATAGACGCTTCTAATATGGTGGAGAAGAGGAAAAATTCCTCGTTTTTCGCGTAGGAAGCTTCGTTGATCGGTACTACCGGTTCCAAGTCGACTGCGGCAGGAGATAAATCGATGTTGTCTGTAATTTCGGTACGAATGGAAACCAGTAGCCTAGCCCTGTACGAAACACCTGTAGAAAGAGAGGTAATTGTGTAAATATACAACTTCGCTAAATTGAGTAGATATACTTAGATACTGAAATTGGATCGCATATTTAGTTTATAACTCTATTGGAAAGTTTGCGAGCCTAAATTTCCAGGAAAATTACCTAATATTGGTTTATATACACAAATATTTATTTATTACCTTCGCCGAGACCGGTGTTTAAGCTGGAGTGTTCGTCAATAAGGCTGTAATCTCTCGTGGATCCGTACAAATGAACGAAAGATGGTCCAAACGTTGGTAGAAATCCTAAATAACAGTTTCAAAAAAACTTAAAATCACCGCGAATCTGTATTTTTAAAAAGAATAACAAAGTACTACGATTATTGAAATTTTCTTCTTCATTGGCAGAATCAAATAAATCCTATCCGGCTTAGTCTAACCTGCATATCTCACCCTTTTCTCCATCGTTAGATATTGTTTTGAGGTCTATGAAATGCGTGCCGATCACCGTCGGTTTTACCGGATCGTCGGCTCTCAATTGGATTTTTATACGCTGGCACAAAGGCGGAAACATCTCCGTGAAAACGAGCTGCTCGTTCCACACCGGTGCATAACTGTGCTTTTTAACGCTGGTCGTGCCCTGCAAAGGACATTTTTATAACGGCAAGTTTATTAAAAACGATCACCCATTAGTTAAGCTTAGCAGGAATTAACCCATTTCGGTTGTAAGTTTCGTAGTATTGTAGACTGATCGTAATTGAACAGGATAAATGAGTAATAGGTACTTATCTTAATTAAAAAAAGGGTAATTATATACGTTCGCTTGAGGACAACTCACCATTAATCCTGCAAACGAGACTTGCACGTAGGGATCAACGAGATCATTAAGTTCCCCTGTGAAAGCTTTTTTTACGTTGGCCATTAAGGAGGAATTCATTTTGGGCAAACCGTCTGCTCTGTAAATTTTCACGATGACACGAGCTTTTTGTCTGTCCGTCGGTACGCCGTCTGGCAGAAGAAGGTTACTGGAAATAATTAACCACACGCATAAATTGGATAAAGAATTATGGATAAAAATTAACAACAAAGGCCTGTTGAACCATAATGAACTGCCAGGGGTTTTTTAATTAAAAGAAAATTCAAAGGATTTGAGTAAAAGTATCAATTTAATGAAAGCTTACGCTTCGATATCGTCTTCGTCCTTTTCGCTTTTCGGGGGCACTTTAACGGCATCGCCTTTGCCAATAACGCTAATATCGCATTTTAAATATCCTTTGGGACCGCCGGCTATATCGTCGGGATCGGTAAGTAGCGCCCATTTGTGGTAAAACTGATGATCTGATAAAAATATTTAGCGTTGGAAAAATTGAATTAGACCATAGGTATATTGGTTATTTTGTAAATATTTTGTTACGGGCAAACCATTACGGTGTAATCGTGTGTTGAATTTTTCATGACCATTACCTGGTAAGATAAATAGTAAGTACAACGTAAACAATTTTAGTAACAAAGGATTCCAAAATAACCAATCGGATTTTATAAAAACGAAACACGCACATGCAATAAGTATACAATATTATAGAGCATTCAAATAAAAATGCATGCGCTATGGATAAATAAACACCAACCGAAATAAACACAATATTCCGTATCAGCATCGCTTTAAATCAGTGATAAAATAAATATTCGGAATTGAATATTTTCGGTTGAATCGCAATTAACTTTAAATTCCCCATCCCTGTTGTTTACCCAATAAATTTATTATCTATTAAAAGTACGGAATTCATTTTCCGTTAATTAAACAGAGAATGCAATCAATAAGTAAACTCCGATATAATACGAATAAAATACAATGAACATTTGTGTCGCTTTCTCTCATTAAATACCAATCAATTAAACTAACCCCCTATTGTTATGCTCACTGCAATTTCAATTATAATTTAAGCCGGCGGCAATACCTAGTTTCCTATGATATAAAAATACCGGGAAAAAATTGGTCTGTTACTCCTAAAGCTCCAGGGAATATACAGGCCTCCCTAAATATAGATTTGTTGGATTATAACAATATTGGCGTGTCTTTTGCATTAGGTAATTAACTATTGATGTAGCCTGAGGAAAATTAGCCGGAAAATAAGTAACAAGAAAGATATTTTGAGTCTATAATTAATTCATTAAAGTGTCAAATTTCAGCAAGGTTACAAAAATTTACCAATAATTATTTTGAAATATAATTAGATACCTAATACATGTAGTTTGAAATTTATCATGAAGCTAAAAGGATATTTAAAGAAGATATTTAAGCAAATTCTTGGACTAATGGATTTAACCTAGATATTTTCTTTTTAAAAATTTTCTTCTAGGATAAAAACACATCCAATACAACCCTTTTTCTTAAAAAACAAAATATAGCTGTGAAGCTAGTAAAAGTGGTATTAAAGAAACGAAGTAAGATGTAAATAAAAATATAGCGCATCAAAGTTTCCTGAATCTACCTGTTTACGACGGGCCTGTAGCAATTAAACTTTGTGATTCAAGCAAATGAGGGTCTCTATTTCTCCCTGAAATGGTAATCTTCAGATGAAACAAGATTATAAGGATAAAATACAGCGGCTCGTAAGTAGATTCTGATTACTTACTACATCAATACTTATCCGGCAAATTTCGTCTACAGCTCGATAGAAATAGTTGAAGGCATGAATCGCGCAGTTTATATCAAATAAACAAGTTGGATTTTAGGTAGTTTTTTCTTCTTAATGGTGTAATTATTAATTAATTAGTCCTTGTAGTATCGTTAATTACGCGAATGATATGTAAAGTTACTTTAATTTATTCTGGCAAAAAATTGTATGCAGTATAATTTTCTAATTAAAGAGCAATTTAAAAATACATACGCCACTGGGGTGGCACGCATCGAGTAGCTACAGAAAACTCTTTATGCATTAATTATGAACACGACTTGCTTTGTTGCTGGAGTTTCCTTGAGGCAGGAACCTTTTAAACTATATTCCTTTTAGCAGAGAATAGGTGCAATTTTAGTCGGGATTTTAAGGGCACGAGCAGGATGTAATTTTTGAAAACGACCATTTGAAATAAAGGCATTTTCTATCGACAGGACAAGGCTAAATTTGCATGCAAAAGTTCGTTCAATTCGATGGAATTTAAGTCGTAACTGTGCCTCTACATTCATGTACTTAAATTATAAATAATTAATTTTCTCGTTGATAAATTATCCACATTAGCGACGAAACTAAACGAACCGTTAAATTTCTAATTACTCAACTTGTATTAGTCTCGGTGCTAACTCTCTAAATCTCTATATTTGTTTCATTTTATACGAAAAAAGCACCAGGTACCCTGTCAGATATTCCGAATTCAGCAAATTGAGTTATGTAAATTCGCTCCATTGCGCACAAACTAAATTATTTTCGTGTTTACAGAATAACGCAGGTAATTTCATCTTCGCAAACTAAACGAGTTCCAAATCTAAATGTTATTTTAATTGGCGGAATCCGCCCGGAGCTTAATTGAATTTTTACCAAAATGGAAATGCTTATTTGATTCGATTAAATATCATAATAAAGTGTTTGTATTTTATTTATGAAATTTGTAGAAATAGCTAAATTTAATTTTACGACTTAACAAGAAACTTGATTCCTTGAGTTTATTCATTTTATTTGTTACGAAAACAAGAAAGTTACTGAATTCAGTTCTCTTATCAGGACATAAAGCAGTGTTGCCATATATCTACAAAATTTCCGGATTTGAGTAGGTATTTAAATGCAAGAGCAACTTTATGATAACCCCTCTTGAGTGTTTAAGTTCTTTAACTTTTTATTGTCCAATTAAAAAATATTTTAAGTATATATGGCAACTCAGCGACACGAGAATAAAACAATCGCGTACCTGGTTGAGCCCATACAGTTGCGATGTCTAATTTAAAGCTTCCTAATAATTTGTTACCCCTGAGAATGTTCCGAGACTGCAACACCTGCCAGCAAGAAGAAAAAGAGGAGAAAATAGCGAGATAACGTTCGAAAAATATGATATAGCCGGAGGCTGCGGCGTTATAATGCTGAGAAATCGGTGCAGATGAAACAATTCGTGTCGAATGCTGCTCGCATTCAATACTGTTTGAATTAAAAATTAACGTTCGCTTGTAAATTTAATAGGATTAGTTAGTTAACTTGTTTGTTTCAGTCGCAGCTTAGTTTGAAAAGAAACGTCAGCAGGCTTGTTTGCATTGAATGCGATCAGTAAATAAGTACCAACTTAATACTTGAAAGAGTGGTGGAAGTTTTGTATGGTAATATTTTCTTTAAATTTCCAGTCAATAAAAATTATAAAAGTTTTTTTTTTCTATATAAAAAAGCCATTTTTCTTTATAAAAGAAACTAAGTTGTGATGCAAATTTTTGTCCCGAGCTGAAAGTAAATATTTCAAAGTTTAGTGGTTATTTTATAGAGCGCACAAAGTAAATGTAAAATGTAAATATGAGACACATTTTTGAGCCTCAAGAGTAATATAGTAGCTTTACTTTGGTATTATTGTGTGTTAGGGGAGGTCGATTTTTTTACGTTATGTATAAACTGAATATAATGTATACCACCGAAACACATCCCATGTTATACACGTAATGGAATTTTAAATAAATTCTCTACAGTTGAATTATTTTGAATTATGTTTAAATTAATTTAAACTTTGTGATTTTGTTATGTAAAAATTCTACCAATTTATGACTCTTGGGATTCAAAGCAAACGCGGTTTCTTTGACTTTCAATGTTGTTCAGATTTTTATACTTTATCCCAAAATTAAAAACAAACAATTCCAGTGTTTATCTTTTGGAGGATAATAAACAGCAAAGACTATTAAGTTAGCTTTGAGGATAAGTACCTACTTCCGGTTTCATCTGGGGAATTTACTTTTCAAATTCTCCATTCTCCGGTTTTTCTAAGAAATATGTTAAGATAACGAATTTTCCCTGGTAATTTTGAAGTATTACGATTAAGCATGTTTTTCGAAAAAATGTTGAAAGGACTTCGAAATTAGCCAAAAATAAACTCAAAATGTTCCATTTTTTATAATAATGGTTCTTTAAAATTTAAATGAAAATTTTACCATACATTTAAGTGAATATTCCTCTCTAAAATTCTATAAAAACGTAGCCAAACAAAAAAAATTTCGAAGAAAATTATAAAAAAATGCGCATCGGTTCTCTACCCGGTGCATCGTAGACTGTCTTGACGTCAATCTTGAACGTTCCCACCACTGTTCCAGTTCTCAAAAGTTTCCTAGAATGTAATACCTAAAACACAATCCTTACAACTAAACAAATTCTTTGTTTGTAAACCTACATAAATGAAGATGTAATTTACCTACAGTTATCCCAGAATTAATTCAAAAAAGTATAACACAATATTTATTTGGAGCTCCATTAAATTTCCACCATTTAAATTAAACCAAAAAGTAAATACAAAAAGACTTACCGATAACATGATGATTTTATCGAACAGCATTATTGGAGGCATGTGAAAATCGAAGACGAAATACTAAAAAATGCAAAGTAGATATATTATTACTCCTGTAACCTAATTTTAAATTAATTAAGATTCTAATCGTATAAATTAAACTATAAAAAAATTCAAGACGAAGTTTGTATAAAATACCAACGTTGATTAAATTTCTTAAAGCCGACATTAATTATTCAAATGATCGAAGGAAACCCGATAAGGAAACTCTTGGAAGGAAAATGACAAAAAAATCGCGAAGATTGAAGCTCACCTCATTATAGTAAGGACAATTCGTGCTTTCCTTTACGCTGGTGTATTTTTTCTGGTCTCCTACTTGAATACAAACAACGGGATCCATGTTGAGTCCGGCCAGTTGTCGAGCTTCAATTATAGTCAAGCACACTTGGAAATCTTGAGCTTTCAACATCGACTCAACGGCCGTTTTCATGTCAGTTTTTAATCTACAAACAAAGAGAATTATACTTATATTTTTCTTCTTATAAAACTTTTAACTACTAAACGAGAAGTAAAAAATGTAGTACAAAGAAAAACTGACTTTGGAGAAACAAAGACTTGAGTAGGATAACTACAAAACCAGGCCAAACTACAAAACGCGATATCTATGTCCCAGGAATCCTAGCAGATCCTATTGAATACCACTGTTTATTCCAGGAATTTCGCAACTGCTACAGAAATAGCGAAAATGGTGTACATGCAGTAATAGAGAACAATTAGAGCTGGTAACATTTCACTTTGTTATTGTTGGTTCATTTCGACCATTTTTATTAAATTGTCATTCCTGTTAAGCGACTCGAATGGAATTAAGGCTTTTTATACTGCTATACCAACAGGAATTGTTAACAGTTTTATATTTTCTTTCACTTTAGTTAATTAGTAATCCTTTGTTGTGTTCTTAAATATAAAAGATTTTTTTATTGTGCTCTTAAATATTGAACGAGCCAGATATGGTGTTGAAACTATAAATCATTTTTAAATCACCCTGACTGAATTATATTCCATTTTTTCGATTACTTTGGAAGCTCGTTTTTATACATTTTCGTAACGTTTTCGACTAAAAATCAATCGATCATGAGAAATTTGTCATAAGACTGTTTCTAGCGCGTTTTAAACTTCACCGATTATTGTTAACGATAAGAAAATGCGGTAACGCTTTATCGATTAGTGTAGATTTTAAAAATGGACTGCGTACAAACGAAAATAACACGCCAGTACGCAATTAGCTTTCCCTTCAACATCAACCTTGGATTCCCGTTCGGTTTTTTTTTTCAAACAATTTCCGTTCAATGTACGCCCAAAAACGCTTATCGGCGATATTCCAGATTGGAATTCGATTAAATCGCTAATTGTTCATTAGAAAGCGATAAATTTTACCTTGATGTTCGCCGTTGTTTCTCCGATAAAGCCGCGGACGTTTGCCCGTCGGTGGAGTCGAGAGAACTTCTGCTGCCCGCTCTCGAAAGCGAACTCTGATCGAAGTCCGACGCCTGAGAACTCCTGCCGGATTCGATTAAATTAGCAGTTTCGTCTTCGTTATCGCTGTCTTTTGGCGGCCGCTGTTTGCCGAATCTGAAATCACAAAAAGTATTTTCAAAAAAATCAAAAATATAAAAATATGCGGAGATTCTTAAAGTCATAATGAAACTTCATACAAAAGATATCACTCCTATTTCCTGGAAAATTCCCTAAAACGAACAAATCCTTCAGCAAGAATTAGTATTTTGAATTCATAAATAAGAAAAACCAGCTAATTACAAAACACTTAGAAGTTTTAATCCTTGCATCCTCTAGAAAATAATCCTATTCTATATTCCAGGAACCAATCTATCACAACACCGCCCTATCTCCCCACCAACAAACATGCAAAACTAGTTAATAGGCCATTAATGCCCTATAAAAGCAGGTCTATAACAACATACAGGTAAACGTTTAGAGGGTTGAAGCAGTTTACATCAACAAATACCGAGTTCATTACATTCCTCTCTAGTATTATTCTGTTTGTTGAATAATTTGAAGATGAAATCCAAAGTGTGTGTTGTTCGAGAAGAGCGTCCGCAGCATTTGAGAAGAAAATTGGAGTTCGCGAATGAAGCAGTGAATACGAAACGAGCGAATAATAGTGAAACCGAGGAAATCAGTCGGCGAATGGGTAACGTAGAAATTCAGGAAAAAGATGCTCGTATTCCGCATAAAATGCCGCAAAAACCGACGCCCGTCGATAATCCGAAGACCCAGGGGCTTTTCTTCCAGAAGCTGCAGTTTTTCACGCTGATATTAGTGTCGATGATGTTCGACGAAGACAAGAAACTCATCGGATACGAAGAATTGCTGAGAATATTCGAATCCTACAGGTAAATCATTTTATTTATTTACATCAATATCCTTCGGTTAGAATTATTTTTATTAAGTTATATACTTTGTTGCAGATTTGGAGCTAAACAATTGGAAGAGGAGCTTTACTATCAAGGATGTAAGCCCAGTCTGGCCATTATAATGTGCTTAGAGAATATATTGGACAGACCCAATCAGAAAAATCTTCGAGAATTCCTACAGGTCTACAAGAGCAGCCACAAAGATTACAGAAATGGATCGAGCACTAAACGTATTATTTTAGGTTTAATGGTTTTATTATTAATTTGTACCATATTACATATGTATGTATTTTAGCTATTGTAAAATATTGTCTGTATAAAGTATTGAAGTTGTGTATTGATTTGTAATGTAAATAAATGATACATTAGGCAATTGGTTTTTTTTATATTTATTATTAAAATGCTCGTAAGTATTGTTAAGTATTGAATCAATAAAGATGGATTCGTTTATTTCAATGGGTATATTGTGTTTTATCAAGGTTATTAATTATACTGCAATGTTATCAAATTTCGTTTAGAAATTCATGTTGAATAATTTCTGTCATTAAGAAAGACATTTTCAGAAGGATAATAATTGCTATGTAAACACATAAATATCAACTATACCTAATTAATCCTCTTACAGCCTTCATGGCTGTTCTTTTCTTCTCTTGCAGTGTCTTCTCCTTCTTGCCGATCGGCATTGTTCCTGTGCTGTTGCTTCTCACGCTTATTGCCAAATTTCTTTCGATGTTCGCGATGTTTTGTTCGATATCTATCAGCATTTGTTGATCGTCTTCCAAAGCATCGTAAGAAACGGTCGATTCGTCCGGCGGTCTGTAAGTCACTTCGAAATCCAGAGTCACCTGAAAAAAATATTAAACTCACAGGTAGCTTTTTATACGGTCGTAAACGTAGTAGTTAGAACGATTTTATTGGAAAGCTACGTGTAATTGAGCGTCGAATTAACTGGTAGGTATACTGACATGAGAGGTAAATTGCTAATTAGTCTATCAGCGATTCCTTGTGTCGAATAAATCCTGGGAAATTTACTGTATTTTCCATTAACTTAATTACCTACAATGTAAAAAAAACGTCTGCCTGCGTTTGAATCGATTATTTTTTTTGAGCTAAATGCTTTTTTGCGGGAGCTTTTCAAATTTTCAGTTCATTTTATTCCAAGTGACTACTCCATCGTAATTTTCTGATTAAATGTAATTAGCGAAACAGTTACGTGATGTATTCGATAAGATGAAACGCGACTGGAAAAGCGCAGGAAAATTGCAAAGAAGTGCCTAAAGGATGATGCTCGCTCACTCACCGGCAATGTTTTGTTATTGGCGTCGAGCATGCTGTCAGAAATTGATAGTTTCCCGTCGATTATCACCCGTTGCAGGACGAGCCGATAAGAACCTATCAATTTGTCGGCGAATAGTCGGTTTCTTGTAAATAATTCCACGACGAGTAGTTCGTCCTGCTCGACGGCTCTTCCCACCGGCCATTCGAAAACCTGCAAAATCAAAGAGGAAATGTTATTTGAAGTATTATTTTTTTACGATTTTTAGGATGGAACATGTGAATATGTTTCTAACGTTTTGTGCTATATCTACCGTACTTTTCATTCTTCTGCGTTTCTTTAAACCCCCATTATAAATTTGGATTCGATACAATACGAAATATTCCCGTTCGAACAATACATGTAAAGCCTACGCTTTCACAAAGTCTTTGAACGCTTTACAAATCGCTGGTAACATATCGGATGTCAAAGAGAAACGTCAATAAAAGTAGATTAAATTCCTTCGGTTTGCGAATAATGCACAATTTCAAAGTAGCGTTCAATTTCAAACAAAATAGACTCGGAAGGAAAATTAAACTACATCTATTTGACGCATATCCTGCTCCTTAGAAACCGACAGGAATAACTTCCAAAGTGACAGGCATTGCTGTTACTACTAACATTACTATTATTTCTATCGCTCGGTTCATACTCCTCTAAGTTTAAAATTTGAGAAATATCAACTAGTAACATTTATAACAATTATCTTAGTCATTTCTAAAGACACTTGGTATATTTTATTAGAAATAATATTCCTCACCTCATCAACCAGTAATGAATCGGATACATCTTCCTCTAAGATCTTGGTAAGATGAGATACACCTGAAAATAATAATACATAGAGTTACTAACTTCCTATAACTTTTTTATAAGACTTATAATAATAAACACTAATTCCGGTTGTGTTAATATCTCTTACTGTTGCTACGTCCTTATCCTTATTATACCGTATTAAACCTGAAACCTGTAAATTAAGCGATAATCGATAATACGCGTAATTCTAAGTTGGGGTTAATAATGGATGGCTTTAGTGGAATGGATGAGAATAAATGTACACAGTACTGAATGTCCGGTCAATTATTCAGTGTCGATATCACGGTAAATACGTGGCAAACAAAAGGACCCGTTGCAAGGATTATTTGAATGGATTTATTTGCTCAAGTGAAGGCCGATGTCCAATTGATCTAATGGTCTTTTCACAGCAATTAAATTGTTAATTCTGGTTCATCCTGGGATCAGTTCCGGTTTGAGCTATATACACTTTTAGTCACTGTTGAAAATGATAATTTCCTTCATTCAAAGGACTAAAATTTAACAACACAATACTCATAAATCCGCTTAGCAATTACAGTTGGTAGACATGCTCTAAATATTATACAATTTCAATAATCGATACGAACTCTTCACTAATTTGAGGTCCGCTTTGATTATAGTAACTAATGGGCGAAATCCCCGTTTTGCTATGGATACCTGCAAGAAATTCTGGTTATTAACGCCACCAATCATCTTGCAGGCGAAGTGGTTTTCATTTCAGTGGCATTCGCTCTGTATATTATTAATTACTCGCAATTAGTGTACGTCAACAAACGTAATTTATTCAGTTGTCGGTACGGAATTTTTCGTTTACAAGTTTCCCTTGACAGTGGAAATTTAAACGGGGAAATTCGTGCGAGGAACAAATTTGCTTTATTACATATTCATTTATTTATGTTGCTCTAATAACATTGCTTCATAGGGAAAGGCAATTTAATTACGTTTTGCATTGCTTCAAATATCTACAAAAATAATAATAAAAAGATGCTACTCATCTGATTTCATATTATATTTTAATAATATCTAGCTCTATATTATCATTTTTTACATACTAAATAAACGAAGTGTAGAAACGTGATGTTATAAATTTTAAATTTTGTATCCAATAATATGTTTTTTTCCAATACATTCACCGACGAAAAACCAACAACCCACTTCAGTGGCGACGAGGGTATTCACAAAAGCTTCTTTAACTGTCAGAAATCTCCATGAAAATGTTAAAGTTGAATAGACTAGACCTCCGGCTTCCCTTATAATTTGGGGAATGTCCAGAGGTGTTGGAGGAGTTAACTCCACTACAGCATATTTAAGGAAAACTTTCGCTCTTGGAGTTCCTTCTTTCATTAAAAATTCTGCAATTTTTCGGGCGGTGGGGATTATTTGAGACATATTTAATTGTATATTTCACGTCAGGTTATTTTTGTAAAATTGACAGAACTTTGATTGATTGATTAAGTCATTTCAATGCGATAATAGAATGCTAAAAAGAAAGAAGAAAGCTAAAAAAAAACCACACTCAGGTCAATCTCCATAAAGCAACTTTCCCTTTCCATTAATCCAATTGAGCGCTCATTAAATTCACTGAGGTTTAACGAATTGAATAACTTTACTATGTACATTGTACAAAAATAATATCGCGCGGTTCGAAAAAAAAGTGTCAAGCTTTTATTACTTTGAAACTCGCGTTCTAATCACCCAATAAATTAGCATTTAATGCTACCCAGTCACGAATATTTTTATCGTTCTTTTGTCTTAAAGTGGAAAAAATTTTCATAATTAAATTTCTGCAGCCTACACCTTATCAGTAAAAAGAACAAGTCGTGTGTAAAGCTCTATACTGAATAAACATCATTACCTATTAAATTCATTTTTAATCTCCCTGTATTAAATCGTCGATGACGCAAATATGACGTCGATAACATGCATATTCAATGGAATATGTCCTCTATTTTAGGTGCAATGAAGTTAAATTCTTGTTTATTACAATCAAATGTGTTTTACGTGCCATTCGTTTCATTATTAAAATCCCATTCGAAGTTCTGGAAAGCCTGGAGAGGTGTAAAGTTGGGTTCGTACAACTGCGAATATCGAATGGGGAAAATGGGAATTCTAAACAAAAGGAATACGAGAAAAATATATGTACATGGAATTATTTCTGGAACGTACGTAGTTTATAATTAAATTGTGAGTAGTTATTAAACATTCTGAAATACCTACAGCATCCCCAATTCAAATAATTTCCTCAGTGTGTATTTTTAGTTAACGCGAATCTATGAAGCGATGAAACATTTTAATTATCATGAATGTAACTCGGAGAAAAATATTTAATATGAATATGTACTAGAAATTGCTTAGAAATATCTCATTCGAAATGCACAGCACGTGCCTGAGGACTAACCGCAAAAGCATCTTCTGGATATTATAGTAGTGATCGTGGAAAAATTGAGTTCTATATTAAAGCAAAGAACCGGAATCGAGCATATAGAAGGGATATTGGATAAATTTTAATTAACTTATGTACGTGCATTTGATTAAAACTAGAGAGTAAATTTTAATTTACTAAGTACTTCAGTTCATTCATACTACCTATATGCAGTGAATTTCAAAAAATGTGTTGGTAATCAGACAAATTAATAATTAAGAAAGTAAGTTTCGAATTAGTTACTACCATTAAATTAATTGATCGCTTTATAGATCAGGTTTTTACCTGCAAAGAGGTAGACGTAATTACAGAGTAACACGAAGACAATTACCACAATTGCTCGCCAGGATTCCTAGTTTCATTCCTTCCTCTATTAATACATTAGATGGGATCACAAACCAGTTTATAAATTACAAATTACACGTCCTGAGTTTACGCATTGGAAAAAGCTTTTTCGTCCAGTCAACGCAATAATATGACTTTATTTGCTCGAGTACCATGAAAAAACAATTACCAGGCGTTTTCATGATAATTTCAAAAGTCAAATTCATCAACGGTAACCGAGAAAGAAAATGAAACAATTTCCTCTTCAGGACTCTCTTCCAGAAATAAACTCTCCGCTAAACTAAACGCCTTAATAAAAAAGTTTAATTGAAAAACTTTTCATTTAGCAGAAATAAACCGGCGAATAATATTTTTTAAACGTTTCTAATCAGTCTTACAGATTAAGTTTCGATACCGTTAACATTTCACAAAGTTTCACTAATTAATTAAGGTTTGAAATTTACCTCTAAATTCCACTTTGGCCAGTTTTTCGCCCTTGCATTTGGGCAATTGAAACTTTTTCACTTTCACAGAGATCGACATATCTGCAGCTTCGCGCGCGCTCCTGCAGCGAACCTCGTCCTGCGACCGACGGCAGGAAACTTGTTGATATCGAGTCCTATTCTCCCGTTCTGCCGTGTGTAGAACTGGCGAGGGCGCAGGAGTGCAGGCAACAGGAAACAGAAATAAGTTGACGAGAAATGGAAATATGTAACGAACATTCGAAAATTTCGATTTCGACTTTGTTTCTTTGCGTGCATGGCTTCGCGTTAGCTGGGAATTAGGTGAATAGTTTATCGGATAAACTTTGCCGGATTAAAAACGTTTTGTTACAGGTATTGAAAAGCTCGTGTAATATGTCATTAGGTTTAATTAAATTTCTGAATGTAATTTTGTTGAAATAATATGTTGCTTTGTTCTATATTTCTAAATGTTGCCTACCAAATGTTTTATGATTATAGAGTGAAGATAAGAAAGTTAATTTGTCTGATCCTGTTATAGAGAATGAACTTTTTAATGAAAAATAAACAGTAAGTCCTCTTGAGCTGCAAAGGATTAAATATAGGCAGGGTAGGAAGAACAGACAGGTATTAGGAATTTTAGGGGGAACAAATTATGAGTTAATATTTATTTAATAACGAATTTACCCCCATGTTACTATTATAAGTTGATTAACTGTGAAAAAATAAATAAAGTTAACCAACCAATTTAATCAATCTAGTTACGAAAACTGCAGACTGTTCTAATACATTTTGTAGATAGTCAAAATTGAATTAAATGTTATTAAATCTAATTATTACTAGTTCAGTATTAAAACTACAGAGATTTCTTAATTGTTGCCCGATTTATTCATAATTTTAACTTGGGAAATTCAGAAGATATTCCTGCAATACTCCTCCACCTCCTAATCACCCCTCAATCATTCATCATTCTACTCTACACTACAATCCATAAATGATTAATGGTCTATCACGTTTGATGTACGCTCCTGCAACCGAGCAATTGAGTATATATGTTATTATTATTTCATTCCCTCCTGCAAATAAAATAAATTTATCGAACACTAGCGACATCTTTTGGAAAGCAAATCGTTCAGTAGTGGAGTAAGAAAAGACATCCTAATATCGAACATATAGTATTCTTACTTATTTTAAAGGTGCCACTAGAATTATATAGTTTCAGGCCCAGGACAGCCTTATGAGAAATTTTCGACGTTCAATTTAGTTCGTGCCAATGAGTAGAGATGGCGCGGCGATCGTTTATTTAAGAAACAGCGCAAGCAACCCGCGCAACATGCCGTAGATCATTATTAACGATTTTTCAATTTGAACACAACACATGCACTTCGAAGTGTTTTGAAATACAACCAAGTAAATATTTCTTCCAATTATTGTTAGTTATCGACTATTATACAAAGTGCTTTGGTATTTGCTGTGAGTTTTATAAATTTTTTGTGTAATGTTAACGTGATTCTACCATTCTATTGCTACAAGACTTGGAAAGTGTTGCAGCGTCGACCGCCATTTAAAAAGCAGATTTCAAATTCCAATCATCGGAAGGTCTGAAATTAGACAAGATTGCTGTGTCATGCTTTCTTTGCTAGGTAAATATAATTAACATTAGTACATAATTTAAACCCAAACATCATCTTTATTCATATTAACTGCTTATTTTTTTGTTACAGAAAATAGAGATAGTTCTATTGGGTTCAGCGAGCCATTGATATAAAATGACTGGATTTCTCAGAAAAAGGTTTGTAAACTAATTATTGTATTGTTAATAGGCCAAAGTACATCAAAATCTAAATTATTATTCATATTATGTAGGTTTACATTTAAAATTATGAATTATTTTAATATTATACTATTTATAAATGTATTGTTTTTATATTTATGTAGGTATTAATTTATATTGAATTAGTTAATGTCTAATATGAAGTCTAAAAAAATGTATGTTTTTTAAATATATTTTTTAAAATGAAACGTTATTGTCGTTAATTCATTTCTTAATTTCTTGTGAAACTTGTACAATTTATTATACTATGTATATTTAATAATTATATAAAATTCTTATACATTTTATATAATTATTATTGTAATAGTATAATAAATTGTACAAGTTTTACAAGAAATTGGATAATATGAGCAAGAAAAAGAAAAAAGTCGAATAGAAAACCAGTATTACACGACTGTGTATATAGAATCCTCTCTTTACTATGCAACATCCATTACTACTATTACTATTTAGTGTTTCCCTATGCTCTCAGGGTGCGCTCTACAACGTCTACGAAATTCTCACGGCGATGTCCCTTCTTGTTTATGTATGTTCTGTGTATAGTTTATAGAGGCATTTAAATATAGAAAATTATTTGTTAGAAACATTACTGTTTTGATAGTAATAACTAATTGGACCAGTTGTAATGGTTATATATGTTAGTTCAAGCCCGTTGAAGTTACTTGAGGGAATAAAACCAGGATAAAAAGGAACCTATTTGGTTGAGTAGGTACCTACTTTATTAGCTAGGCGAAACTAAACTGAAAATTAGACGAAACACAAGTGAAAAACTAAGTGTTAAAAAGCAGTGTTAAGTATTAAAGTTGGTTTATTTCAGCCATTTATTCAACCAGCATGCACTCTTTAAATAAAGCTTCCTTTAATATCCTTTAATAAATCCCAATCTATTTTTATTGTGTAATTCCTTTCAATCCTCGTAAAATTCCCTGCATATAATATTTCCTCAATATACGCAAAACCAATATCGTCACAAATAAGTGTTTCTGACAGTCCAATTACAAAACAGGCGCGCAAAAACGAGCGTCTCTAAATAAAAATTCCTTTTCCTCCGCCGAACGATCGTTGAACTAATAAAAACCCGTCGGCTCCATTGCAGTGGAAATAACAAAAAGCCCTTACGTCCGTTCACGACGACGCTTAATTACACAAGGCTTCGAATTTCATCCCCATTTACATTCAACGACGCTTCGACGACGAATTGCGGACGTCACATCGGTGTCATTCTCGTCCTCAGATCAACGCTATAATAGCAATAACTTATGCAAGATCACGTGTTGCTTCGCAGACGTTACACAACTGCCACAATGGCGTGTTCACTAAGGGAGCTAAACGACTAATTAGATTAAATTCTAGATGGTGTACATGTTACAAAATCCTTTTATCCAGTTTATTCCGAGTTCTTTATACCAGTTGGTTAAATTGGCTGAAGTTTGGTAGCAAATAGAGGAAAAATTGGTAAAACAGATATAGATCTACAGAAATTGTTTATGGTTTTTAAGTGGGGGTCTACAGGGTTGGGCAAAAGTCCGGAATAAAATTATTATCTGTTAAACCAGTAATTTAAACAAAAAACGCTGAAACACGTAAATTGATTTTATATTGTACGGATTTGTTGCCAATAAAATGATTTTTTTTTCTTCAACCCCTTAGTTGCAACCCTACCCAACTTTATTTTTTCAAATGCAAAGGTATGTCGTGTGTATGGTCATTGAAAAGCCCGTGAAAAATGGAATCTAAAACATACCTTTTTTTTTATTTTTCTCATGTTGTTATTTGGAAATGAGCAAAAAATTCTTTTAAAAACAAATATGTTACAAATACTTTTTTAGTGGTATCGACGTGTGAATTAAGGCTTACTCTACTTAACAGGCTCCAAGGCAATGGTAAAACCTAATATCGGTAGCCTATCTTTAATTCTGAATGAACTTTTATTAAAAGCAGGCGAGCCTGGTCAGGCAGCACACCAAATTTTATTGATTTACCGTTTAAAACTGATAAGGCAATTTAGCATCGACATTCGTTGAAATTTATGTTTTAAGAAAAAACAAAAACATAAAATGGGTTTAAATCTAAGCCATTGTTGATCAGTGAACTTCAAAAAGGTGGTGCATTTTTGTATAAGTTTTTTTTTACCAAAGGTTCGCCTGTTTTTATTAAAAAGTCATTCAGAATTAAAGATATGCTATCGATATTACGTTTTACCAATGCCTGGGAGCCTGTCAAATATATGGTGAAGGGCATTTTCAACATTGCTACGTCGATAGCACTAAAAAGGTATTTGTAACTTTTTTGTTTTTAAAAGAAATTTTTGCTCATTTCCAAATAACAACATGAGAAAAATAAAAAAAAAGGTATGTTTTAGATTCCATTTTTCACGGGCTTTTCAATGACCCAACACACGACATACCTTTGCATTTGAAAAAATAAAGTTGGGTAGGGTTGCAACTAAGGGGTTGAAGAAAAAAAAATCATTTTATTGGCAACAAATCCGTCCAATATAAAATTAATTTACGTGTTTCAGCGTTTTTTGTTTAAATTACTGGTTCAAAAGATAATAATTTTATTCCGGACTTTTGCCCAACTCTGTATAAAGCTACAATAACTCCGCATAAACCTATAACATCATATACAAGAAGTATAAACTTAGTTCTTGCGTAGGTATATGTTAGAAGAATTACCCGGTAGAAATTTTTCTCGTCGCCCATGTTTGGGCATACAATGGAATAAGACACCTCTGTATATCGGAGTGCTTGCAGCAAAACAATAGCTTACCTAATAAACATCTACGTAATTGTAGATTGATTGATGATTTTATGGTCTGCAAGCTGAGCTTTATAAATGCACTTAAAAGATTTACGCGGGGAATTGTCATAGGCTTTTTGGTTAATCTTTTTGGTGGATCAATGCAGGAGATACCATGGTTTCCACTTGGTTCTGGTTGTTGGTGAACAATTCTCTAGCCATCAGGATTTTTTGATCTGATTGGAATTTAAGTTTGAATGATTTCAAACTAATGATAAGATCTTTTAGTTGGTGAGGCAAAAGTAGTATTCTAATAAGACTCAAATTGCCGACGTGTAGTTGTGAATTGATAAAAGAGAACTCAAAATTGAGGATCCAAATAGATCCCAGAATTGCTAGTTTAACAGTATTCTAATGAGGTCCTTCGTGACCTAAATCATATTCACGCCTTTACCACATGCCAAGTCATCAACACAAAAAACAAGGAGTGCGATGGTAAATATCCGATTTATCGAGCGGTTGGCGAGCCGGCGATTTTCAACAGGTAGAGAACTCTCGTCGGTAGGGTTATCGCATCGTCACGCAGGAGAATCGAATGGTCGGAATGGAATCGATTCGAGCGGAGGCGACGGCGGCGATTGCGAGCGCCGCAGTAACAAAAACGTCCGTTTCATTTCGGTAACATCGCAATCGCAATGAGCTTATGAGTCAGTCACCGACCGAAATCAATCGAGAGAGGACGCGCAGTAACTCGCTCCGCGGGCACGTTACATGTGCACAACGTAACACGTTTACATAACAACCATCCTAAGACACCCACGACGCAGGGCCTCGCTCGTCGGACGGGCGTGAATGTGAATCTACGATGTACGCGACGTAAAGGGCCGCCTCGATTACGTAACTAGTAACACTCGGAGGGAGAGAAAAGTGCGAAATAATAGTTAATAATTGCGCAAGTAAGCGACAACAAGATCGATATATATGATCTAACCTCTAACATGGACTAGTTACACAATATGCAGCAGAGCGATTTTGGTCGGGAGCACTTCTTGAATAAGTACCCGGATTTGTTGACGTCGTTGAGCGGCTACAGCAGATCGAAATTCAAAAACGTCGGAAGGGTGTTGCGAAGGGACACGGCGCGATTGCGATTGCTGAGGAAATTCAAGAGGAGCTTCAAGCTGCGGCAATTCTTCCAAGCCATGGACCACAAGCCTCTGCTGTTCACGTGCCCTCTGTGCCGGAACATATTAATAACACCCATAACCGTTGATTGCGGACATACGTTTTGTAAAGACTGTTTATCATCGATGGATAGCGAGGATTTTTATCGGAAATGTACCGTTTGTTGCACGGAATTGAATCTCCAAAAATACAATATAAACGTTTTGGTGCAGCACTTGCTGGAAAAGTGGAGGGAACGGAATAAATCTAACATTGACACAGGTAGGCATGCCAGTTTCATTAAACTTCAATATTTAATAATACGTTTCCATGTTATGTAACGCCGTTCCAAAGTACGAACTTTTCGTGATTATGAAAATTTTTACGCGACACTCCATTTGACATGCGTTAAGAAGTTAGAAATTAAAGCCTTGAAGTTATGTAACTTCTTATCGATAAACTGGCTGCAAACGTAAACAATTTATTGTTATTAAAATAGGCCTAGTTTCATTACAACGTGCCGCACCGAAAGTGGATCAAAACAATGAGCTATTTTTATTAATTAGCCAATGCGTCGAATTTGGAAAAATTCGCTAGCGAGGTTTCCCCACAAACACTTTTCGATAGTCACTATTATAAATAAATATTTTTATTTTGATAAAAGCGATGAGTTATTAAGATTGTCGAACAATTGGTCACGACGTTAACCTGTGATTAAAATATTGAATGAGCCAAAACAATTTCAATACTGATAAAGTGAGACTAGAAATGGATTCCTAAAACTCCGTTAAACGAAAATAAAAGCACGTAATCTCACAATAACAGGAAGAAACATTGTGGGCAGATATTCAATAAAAAATCGTGGTATTATATCTAATGTTGACCATAAGCAAATTAAGTGCGTAAACATGAACTATGCTTGGATAACAAATGGTTAAATAATTAGAGAAACTGATAACCCTATTATTTAGCTTGTAGGAGTAATTGTAAAACAATGTTATTAAATTTTAATATGGAACACGTCTTTTAAACCATTTAAGTGCTCTATGAATGGAAAAGGTTCTAAGTGAATTATATTCAAAAATAACCAAAGAGTCGACGTGGTCATTTTGTAATAGAATGAATTATTAAACGTTTATTATCCTATTTATTAACATGTTACATAATCGATTTATTCAATAGAATGCGAAAACAATATCAACCTTTTATTGCCGACCAGTTTTATTTAAGCAAAATTTACTTACAATTACATGCCTATGTTATTATATTAATTCCTTGCATAACCGTATTATTTATTATACAGTGATGTTCGAAACTTAAGTAGCCTATAAAAATTTTTTCACCAAAAATTTGTACTCAACGTGTGAATAATACTACTCTTGATTTTTTTTATACAAAATTATACCATGTTGGAATTTAATGTAACCTAAAATAATTTTGAATACGTAAATGATTTATACATAATAAGTGCCAAAATTCAACAAGCCGAGTTCATAAAGCCGGGCAGTGTAACTACTATATTTATTTATTTGCACAGTTACATAATGAAATCTGGGTCTTTGTTTCGTTGTATGTTAAAGAGTTGCGCCGTCACTTTGCTCGTATGCCATTAAAATATTAATTCCATTAGGTATAAGGTTAAAGAATATCGTTGATATTATATATTTATACAACTACTTTACTTCTTACGTAACTGTAATTATTATGTATAAATGTCCTCTAAATGAGATAGAAAAAAAAAGTGTGCAAAACTTGAAATTTCACAGTGTCGCGAAGGTTCGCATATCTCGTAAATTTTTGCATAGATTTTGTAAATTTAATATGTAAAACCACGATGCCTGAGCATGCTACAGGTTAAAATGTTAGTTTCTTTTGTAGCTTTGTTGTTTTAGCAGGCATTAGAGAAGTTAAATTGATCTCTTAGACTTTTTATTCTCGAAAAACTAACGCACTCTATTTACCATTTATTGTATAGATATTTATTGATTTGTCCTTAAAACGGGCTGTTACATAATATGTTGATCGCGACGTATCAGTCTAAAACGTAGTAGACTATTGAATATTTAATAAAAATTACCTTTTATAACAACAGGATTCTAAATAATATTTTTATAAATAGTTAATGTTTCGTATCGGCTCCGTTACGTAACAACTACATATTGTTTATCTCGATGGCAATTGTTTTATTAATTATTTCACGGATTAATTTAGATTTTAATTGGATGTACGTGATTAAATTTTCGAACGTTTGTTTTTTTCGTCTCCGCCATTAGGTTCTTTATTACACGTTTCGAGTTAATGATTCTAATTTAATTTATGAATTTATTAATCTTGATTGTCCGTAAAATCTCGTAAGTCCTTTAGTTGAGGTTATCGTCTCAATTAGGCTCTTCTTTTTGTCGATTTAATGATAGAAATCAATGGTTTTCCTTGCATTTTTTAGAGAAAAATATGTAATTACTCCGTTTATCCGTTTTTATTGACCGAAACGGGAATCTGGGACACGCTCTACAAACGCAGTGTAAGATCAGCGCCAACACTTTTACAACAAACAACAAATCGCTAATTACGGCAATTCGTTAAATCGATTACATGTAATTTGCTACATAATTTCGATTTTATTATTACATTACATCATTGTATTTGTAGAAGAAGACAAAAGATTTTGCCAGATTGTTGCAAACTAACTATTGTTAAATTACTGTTTACAACTAATTATGCTATCATTAGTATTGTCGTAGACGGTATAATATCTACATATAGATGTACAGAGTACGTTTCTGTTGTCACATAAGCTTTTTTTAAGATATTACTATTATTGCATTTTGAGCTAATACTCTATACACTTGAGGCTATGTATTTTGAGGCTGTGAAGGATATAAATCGGTTAATTTGTAAGTTTTTATGTTCTCTCAAACCAGAACCTTCGAAAACACTTGACGTAACGCTTTTATTGTTATTGCTAATTTCATATCGAAATTACTGTTTACTCCATTGAGTTGCGTCCAATATGTGGCGCGCCATGAAAACAATAAATAATAGGAGCATGGCGAAAAGTAACGACGAAAACAATTGTTTTATGCGTTATGCCAATTGCTGGCCTGCGTTCGCAATAATTAAACGTTATCCTTCAGTCGAGCAAAAGGAGAACAGATTAGATCGGAAGAAAAGACAATGGCGGCTCGTCCAAATACTGATCTACGATATTGGTGCAAAATTCTGTTTAAGCATAAATAGAAACTATAACTAATCTACTATTTATTGAGTGATATATTTGTGTAAAGTTCATAAGTAGAATCATGTGATAATGCATGAATTTTTGGGATAATCTCGAATTCTAATTAATTTGGGGGTTGAATAAAGTGTTGAATAAATGATAGAGCCGCCGCTGGCAACTGAGAAAGAAACCAGAGTGTATAGATAGGCTCGGGCACGGAGTATGTTCGGTTTGGAGCCCAATAATTGTGAAACGAGCACAAGGACTTATTTGAAAGTACGGATTAAAATTTTCATAATTTACCACTATTATTCAATACTTGCAATTATTATTTATGCAATGCAATGTAATTCATTAATGGATTTTCTTGTTTACTTATTTCGCGAAAAAAGTTCCTTGCCGATTTTCGTGTCACCTTGAAATATTTTTTTGTTTAATTGCCTGCCAAATGGGTGTTTTATTTATTAAGTCTCCCAGTCAAAAATTTAAAAAAATATGATGTGTATTAGTATAAGATTACGATTATTTTTAGTGTCGAAACAACGCGCAGATGTTTTATTTTTAAAACCTTTCTCAGAGTCTTTGGTCGTTGAACTCTAAACTTGACATATCACCAAACAAATTCCGACAATGTTCAAACTAATAATCAAACATTTATCTTTATATTCTCTACGCGTTATTTTTAATACAAATTAACATTAAACCTTGGTTAATCATCACCAGCTCTAATATTTACAATGAATTACTCTTACAGGGATTCAATTAACTCAGTTATTCACTTATATTTAAAAAGCAAGGAATAATACTTAAAAATTAACCTACAAATCCTTGCGTAACCTTCGCAATCGGACCCATCTTGAATGTTCATTTATTACAAGTTAGATCGAAACTTGCTTACATAATTTAGACTGGCGACAATGAAAAATGGCAATGCTTAATGCGTACCAAATCGGGCATTATCCATTCTATTACCATTCAATTAATGCCTCTTTTTATTACACACATAACCAGGGGTAATAAGGCGAAATAATACCTTCCTGAGTGAATTATAATAGTTTTTTTAATACGCTAGATAAAACTTTTAAAGCGCTAGATAAAACGATAATGTGAGGCCCACCTAACGATTTACATACAGAAACGATAAGATTTTTATGATTAAAATCAATTTAGATAGCGGCGTCAACAAAAGTATTAACCGTATTAAGACTACATGGAATTTTCTTTGTTGTAACAAGAATGTGTCTCCCCCAATTCGAACCTTCTAAATATAGAGGAATGTTAATAAGGTAAACACAACGCTAAGTGGAAGTTGTAATCTTAAATGCAAATAGAAAATATAATTATTCGTTTCTTTAGCTCTTCGTTTGGCGAGGAAACGTTCGTTGACCTTCACTGTACATCAAGGTTAACAAATCATTAACGACTTCTCGTTTTCCCAACCAGTAAAAAACTGTTTCAAGTCAATAATCGTGAATAGATTCGAGTATTGGAGAATAATGAAGGATGATATGAGGAAGGCAGTGGCAGTAAGAAACATTATGCTTTCTGTGACCTCTTTATTCCAGCTACATCTTCGTCTTCTCACCTTCTCTAGCTTCTCTATACCTAGTCTCTTATTAATGCAGTCTTCTAGATTGAACGTGTAGCAAGTATCTCCTCTAACTTCTACATCCTCTCTACCTTCTCTAAGTTCTTTATCTTCTCTAGCGTCTCTACCTAGTCTCTCATTAATGCAGTCTTCTTGGTTGAACATGTAGCAAGCTAATTCTCTATTTTTGCTTCACTCTAAATAACTAACAAATTCCCAGTGCTGTTTACATGACTTCTTGATCCTGCTAAAATTACCCAGTCAGACGCGCGTGCAATCCCATTGTAAAAATGAATTATGGCGAAGTGCGGCGCGACTGCGGTTGGCAATATATCACGGTTCGCCGTGCATCGACACCAATTAAACATTTCGTTCGGCGTTGAGTCAACAAAAGAAATTCAGTCATTGTTTTTAAAGACCAGACGCATTGAAATATGCGCCGCGATTGAGGTCAGACCGGGGCTCTAATAATACGCAATCATCCGCTGCTCGCTCTATTTAACCCCCGGCCGAGCGATTAATTGCGGCGACAGCTCGAGGAATCTGGACACCTCGTTGTCGAACAATTCAAGTTGAATTTCTTTGGGCATCGACGGAAGTGCTTTTGTGTATTTATAATGCTGCGTAATGGCATTTGCGGTTTCGTCTGTTCGAAGATTATCAGGTGGGTTACGTAAAATGTTTCTTTAATAAAATTAGCGTTATAACAAAGACCTTGCTCTGAGCGATGAACAGTATTCGTGATAAACGAAATCGACTGCTTTAGGATTTAATACGTTTCTTTCATAATCCTTCATGGTTGGCTGGCCGGTTGATTGGTTATCATACAGAATGGTGGTGTTAAATATGCTAAAATGGAAATTAATTTTGTATGTATTCAAACTAGTTTATTAAAGTGTTTTAAACCATTTTGGTAATAAACGAATGAAATAAAATGTAACCTTATTTAGTTATTCTATTGTTTCATTAACACTGACCCAATGACGAATTTTGTCTTCATAATGAATTAGCGAAAAATGATGTAACGGAATCAGTTTGCAACACTCGGTATAATTACAAAAGAGTTCCATTGATTTTAGCAATAACTAAAACAGTCGTTTACCCGCAAGGTTAACTGGCCAATAAAATAAGAAATATTGAGGCCATCATTCTAAAAACAGGTAAAATTGTTTATATATTTCATATTTTCAACAAATTTTTTACTACTTTGAAAACATTATAAAACAAATTTGTTAATTACAATGTAATAATTATTTATTACCACTGTAATTATACTTAATTGTAATGATTAGATGCCATTAATTAAAGTGTTTTTGATTTTATTATCAAGAGGTAATTTAACAAAACTTCATAACAAATAATTTCTTACAGAATATTGCTTTTGAAATAACCAAAAAATTGAGCAAATCACGAAAAATTACCGAATTCTCGATAGCATCGGTCCCTGTCAACGATATTACATTCGAATTTGCAATAACATAATGTAAGAACCCACCGATAATGCAAATTATGTAACTGCAAAGTGTTCGTTGTGCAAAATGATGAATTCAGCTCGTTTGGTACTGGATTGTATAACGTACTTTTATATAAAATAAAATTTCAGCTGTTCTCTTATACCACACATACGCACTGTATCGGACTACAAATCAATTAGGTTATATAATGGTTAAATTGTTAAACCAATACACATTGCGATGGATTTATTAGGGGACTATGAGGGATTATTAATTAAATCTAGGCCGAGCGGTGAATACAAAAAAATTAAATGCTAAACTAAATTCGCATAGATTCTTCTGCAGCTTCTTTTTTCTTTTATGCATGCTAACTCGTTGCTTATATTAAATAATTATTGCACAATTAATAAAAAAAGGTGCGCGTACGCGTCCTTAGCATCGCCTTGTCGGATCAAGGATATTTGAGGTCAGTATTGACAACGTAAAAATTGTTCAGTTCATTTTATTAGTATTATCAATAATGGTCTTTATGGTTGTCTGGGAATGTCCGTTTAATCTCCGATCCGTTTGTTTGGGCCGCAACAAACAAGATATTAGTGGAATGACCTCTACATCTTGCACAGAGACTGATTCGGGTTTATTTTGCGGGATTTTAACGAGCAAACAACAAAGCAAACAGTTGTGTTGATAAAATTATTCGCAAAGCAAATTGTGTTTAATTAAGGCTTGTTTGGACAGAGTTAATTGCAAAAAAGTGTTTGTTGTATCTACCTTATAATTAATTTTGTTATATAAACTAGTTGAAAATTTTTATTCAAATTTAATTAGTAGGTAATCGTCAATTTTGAGCACAAGGTTACTTACTACCCACTAACTAGTTTCTTGTAAAATCATTAATAAATTGTTTTTTCTGTTTTCTCCGAAATTACTTTTATATGCCGCATCAATAATAACTTTTAATCGCAGTTTTTGGTTAGAATTGTTATCATATTGCATGTTACAAGTAACAGCTGTTGAAAAACTTTCTATATTAGAGGCAAAAGATTTATCGGATAAATTGATAACAAATTTTGGAACCTTGCCAACTTTTGGCAGAAAATAATCCTGGTTGTTTAATTACTTGACCTAGTAGCCGCATTCATATTTTCATTATTTTCTCTTGCTCGTAAGAGCTTTTAATAAACTTTCCCAGTTTATGAAAAGTCTCATTTTACGTAACTTTTTGTAAATATTTTTGCTACAATATGTAGAGATATTATCGTGGAACTACCAAGAATTGTGTCTACGAATCTAGGCTCAAATAGTATTCGAAAACGGCCAAAAAAAGCTTGTTTTTCCAATTTGATTTTATTATGATCGTTTTTTGGAATCCGAACGCGAGATAAACAATCTAGAGAAGGTCGAATAACGACGCAGTTTTTTTCTCAAAATTATCTGTTGCCTTGTTCGTAAGTGCAACATGACGTAAATTAAAAAAAATAAACAAGTGAGATAGGTCAGGTTTGTGTAAATATAGCGCGAAAAATGTTGAAAAGTTGCCGATTCATTTCATTGACAAGCGTTTCAAATTGTTCGTTTGACGAGAAGTTGATGATCGGGTTGCAATGCCAAAATCAGGACCGGATTTAACATTTGTGTAAACAAATACTAACTATTTTTCCGTCAATAAATAATCAAGTAATTTGTTACATGCGCTCTTTTAAAATCCATTCGACAGTCATTAATATTTAGTTGTGGAATTTGTTGTTCGATTTCTCTACTAATTTTCTAAATTTCATTGCCACTTATCAGCCTGGAATTTTTAGCTTCAAAACATATTTAATAACCGAAACTAATGTAGATACTATTAACATAAATAAAATAAATCATCGCTGATAAAAAGTCATAGTATCAAATACTTAGAATAGGTGTTGATAGGAGAAAATATTTTGAATGTTGGAACAACTGAGTGGTAAAACCAACGTACTTACAACATTGCTTGAAAACATTTTATATAACTACACGTGTAAAATAAACTATCTCATGTCCGTATGTAAATATTTTTTGTTTTGCGGGTTTAAATATCAATTGAGGATTTTAAAGAACATATACCAACGTTAATAATATCGTATGAAAATTTCTTTATAAACCCCTCATATTGTCGATATCTCATGTCTTTTTGTTCGTTACATAAATATTAATTTTGTTCAACATATTTTCCTTGACCTACTTATCTATACACACACATATGTATCTGTAATTTGCATATCTATTTTTATATTTTTTTAATCTTTACAGAGATCGATTATTCCCTTATTTTTTATTCATTATCAGTATTTATCGGAAACTAAATATTTGCCCATATTTTATGATCGACTTCCTCAGGTTTTTCTACCTGAAAATTGCGTCTGCAAATTTTTTCTAGGTTATACAATAATTAGTTATGTAATAAACCTGATTGTCTCACGGTCAGCAAATCCAACTTATCCCCAAGAAAATAACAAACAGCATTTCTCTACTCTATTAATTTTTGGCCCGGTGCCTGCATTTCACAACACTTTGTATATGTATTAAATCCTTCTTGACTGTCATACTATTGTTCTTTGTGGTTTTTTTTGCAATCCAATCGAAATTGTTCAATTATTTATTTGTGACAAACTTTATGTAAAAATTATGATTTTTGCATTGGATTTCAATATACAATTAGCCTCTGTAGGATGTGTATCGCAATATTTATTGAATTTAAACGGGTGTAAGTGCAGTGCCTTGCATCTGTGTGTAACCACAACAATTATGTAATGATTGCAGTTGTGCTAACTGAAAATTCGCATTTTATGTACTCTGAAATGTGTGTCACATAAATTATCGTTTTTAGCACATGTCGGGCTCGCAAGTAATCTAACATTTTAGATTTTATTGCGAGTTAAAATGTCGAAAAACAGATTTTATTCTGTTCGATTGTGAAAAGGAAAGGGTTTAATGATATTTTATAACTCCTTCGCTTAGTGGAGTAATTTGCGATAAATATCAGTTAATTACTTATTTATACATTGACAATAAAGACGTTTGACGAACGTCAAAATAGCGTCAACGTAACGTTATTTTTGCGTAAGTTTGCAAAAATCGACCGTTCATATAAGAAGTTCTTACGCGTTCGTTAAAATGTTATAGAGATCGCGAATTCAAAACAATAAAAAATTACATCATCAAGGATTTTTCTTATTCTTTCATAATTACAAGTTTGAATTCGTGATTAAAATTTAACCAGGTAATATAGAGCGTTTAGTTATCTAAGAATACTTAGGTAATGAAAAAGTTTAAAGTGTCTCGGCAAATCCTATACAGTCGATAACCATTTTATGTAACCCGTTTTACATTAGCCGATTGCATTGTATTAAAAAACCAGTGGTGTGCTTATATCGAAGAAACCAGTTTCTCCTTGCTAGTCAAGTTCAAGATCGCTTATCCGGTTTACGAGGAAGTAGAAATGAATCAAAATTACGAACGTAATACTTAATAATTTTTAATAGTTCCTGGTATTTTTATCACAACGCCTTATAAGGAGTTTCTAGCAAATAGCGTAACGTTAAATTCTAACGTAAATTCAAACCGGAGCAAATAAAATTGTCATTATCATAGTTTAATAATATTTTCGAGCTCTTATCAACGTTGCCAGCCGTGGTTTATCTTTCGAAAAATTTCCCGTCGTTACGTAACGCACACCATAACGTTCGTTAAATATATAATGAGAGAGACGAGATGTTACGGTGACTGAAATTGATTTTGTTTACAGTTACACTAAGGTCAATACCCCATCTCGGTCGCTCTTTCCGCGATACTATTAAAATTTAATTTTAACATTTTGTCATTGACTTTACCACTTGCCAATTTTAATAACTTCGACGCTAAACCAACGCCCACCGGCGAATTAAAACTATTCGCGGCTCTCTGGGTAATTGCGAGCTAATGCTGGTGATTTCGTTGCAGATATGTCGGTTCCGAACACTGAGGATATTCTAGGCATCGAACCCAGGTACCATCTACGATCGGGATACGCGGGACTACAAATCAAAAATGAAAATAGGGTAAGTTCAAAAAAATATTTTTTCCAGCAACGAATTACGTTTGTCCATTTTTTTTTTTCAGATAGCTAATTACATACATGAACCAATGGATAAATTATCTAGGTACAAAAAGGATAAGCGGAAACAGAAGACTACAAATATTTGCAATAATTCGTTCCAAAAATTCTGGATAGACGACGACACCGACAACTACCAACAATTTCAAGAGACCCTGGATAACGTTTTTAAAGAAGTTGACGATATAAAAGGTAAACTTTGCATTTAGGTCTCTCTTAAATACTAATCCTAAGTCATTCATTCTATTTTCTACTTGTGTTTTCATCTTCATCTTCATCTTCATCTTGTTCCGTCCCATCCACTCCATTTCCTGCTGGTTTTAAACGCCTTTTAACTCTATATTTTATCATTGCAGAAGACGCGTTGAAGAGCAGTTGGGATTGCATCGCAGCCACCGATTTGGAATGCATCCTGTGCAGCAGGTGTTTGCTGGATCCTGTGACGACCGGTTGCGGCCACACGTTCTGCAGGGGCTGTTTGACCAGGGTGTTAGACCACAGGCTGTCCTGTCCCCTGTGCATGGCACCTTTGAACATAACGGACTATTCCAGAGGCGCGACGGAAATCCTGCAGGAGGCCATACGGTTTTTAGTTCCTCGAGATTACAACGAGAGAATGTCAATCAGTATAAAGGAGAGCCTGATTTTAGAACGAAGCTCAGACGTAAGTGCTTCTAATAAACTACCAACTTACGAGATTTAATTATATTTGTGTTTGTAGATACCAGTTTTTATATGCACGAACGCTTTTCCTGGAGTAGCGTGCCCTTTGTACGTGTACGAGCCTAGATATCGCCTGCTAACTCGAAGGTGTCTTCAATCTCCCACCAAACGATTCGCGATGGCTGGTAAAGATTCGGGGGACAAATTCGTGCAATACGGTACTGTATTAGAAGTCAAAGACGCTGTGAACTTGGAAGACGGGCGATTCATACTCACAACTGTCGGTGTTCGAAGGTTTAAAGTCATCAGCAGGAGTGAGAAGGTAATAAAAAATAATAAATAACTGGAGTGTATAATATTTAGTGGATTTTGATTTTCAGGATGGATACGATACAGCCAAAATACATTACATTAAAGATACCGATGTACCTGCGGATAAATTGCAGGATTTGATCCAACTGAACGATAGAGTCTACAACAAAGCTTCCAAGTGGATAAAATCGCTGAAACCTAAAGTCCTGGCTGAAGTCGAAAGGCTTATCGGTAAAATGCCCAAAGTAGAAAAAGACTGGATGATTTTACCCGATGGTCCCTCGTGGGCATGGTGGTTGATGCCAATTCTACCCCTCAGCTCACAATTACAAGTAAATACACTTGCTAGTACTTAACCTAACAACTTTGGCCTTTTACGTCTCGGAAAACAAATTAATACTGAGTCAGAAAGGTTCAATGCTGAAATCGAAAGTACAATTTTTGAATTGCCTTGAATTTTAGGTGGGTTTTCTCAGCACGACTAGTCTGGAGAAGCGATTGAGGGCCATCGACAAAATGCTGGAGCACATGAAGATCCGGATGAGGGCTCTGGAGAGGAACACTGTGGCCTGTTCGCAGGAGACCGATTCGATGGATTCCTGCGGCGAGACGGGGCGGTCGTTCGAATTGCCATTTAATAATAATTAATTTATTTTCTAATTTAATCACCGAAAGCGTATTGTTCTCGTATCAGATGTATATTTGCAATTGTATTGTTATCGCGATGCGAAATTTATTGACATGTTTCACCCGGCTCGGTATATTGGTTTCCTACGTAAGATATCCTTGAGGTGTGATTCAGTGATGATTGATATTTATGGATGTTTATTGAACAGTACATTCGTTTTATCGTGCTATTTATGACATTTTATCGGCACATTTACGAACTTTTAAATGAGGCAATTTTAACGAAAAGTTCTTTGCGAAACTGGCACAACAAAATTTACTAAAAAAGTTATAATTGATGATCATACATTTTGTTTTGTTTGTATTTATTGAATCATTCTTCTCTACCTCTACCCTCAAACTTTATTTTTCCCGAATATTTGTGCCAATTTCTAATAAACATTAAAAAAATCGTCCGAAATATTTGGAGCTTTTTCGCATAGAGTATTATCGCCATTTGTAAAATTAAATCGGTTTTTTCGCAATGATAAGAAAACATTTAATATATGGAAAATCCCACGCTCCTTCTCCCCCTTTTTCCAATATATCTCGTACAATCATTTTTATCTAGGACATTTTTGACTATTTATACTGTAGTTGGATAGTATTCGGATTTTATTAAGTGACCTGCTATTCAAAATTCTGAATTTTGTTGAACGCGACAAGTCCGATCTGGTCAATTCGATTCACTTCACCCAAAATTTGATAATAAATTTCGGTCTTCACGCAGGGCATTTACACAAATTCCACGCCTAGCTCGGACTTGTCCGGAACCTTTGTGATTTAATTACTAATTAGAATAAACGTGACCAAAAATTTATTTATTTTTCTAAGAGATTTTATGTTGTTTCTCTTGTAGACTAGATGTCGTATACCATAGATATATTTTTTTATTTTTAATATTTAAAAAAAAACGCGTTTGGTTTTTTTATTATTTTCCGACGCGAAAATTGCGCGAAAACTATTGTAACAATACGGAATTTCATATTTATTTTGTTTCATGTGATACTATTTTAATACATACCTAATTTATTATACTACTTGGTTATGATACATTTTCCAAAATAAATATTTGAAATCTACATGTCTTATTATTTTACTCGCTTGAGGGTTGAGGGGATTACCCTATAAAATACCTTCATTTGTAAATAATTTGAAAATATTTAAATTTAAAATATATTACGTAAAAATTGCACAAAAGTGGATTATTTTTTGAGTATCCTTTTATTAAGCGAATACTGGAATTTGGGAACCACAGGCACGTCATGAGCTATACTTAGCCTTTTGTAAGGGGGTATCGGTTTTATGTACATAGAAGCCGGTTTGATGCCGGAGAGTTCCGGTTGTGCCGGTTTCAAGTCCTTAGTGGTACCCAATTTCACGCCAGAATGAGTCGTTCTGGCTCTAGCTACAGACGATTTCGAAGGAGTACCGGACTTCACCGCGTGAGCTTCTGGTTTCCTTTGCGAAGGACCGGGCGTTGCTGATGGTTTATAAACGACCATTGTTTGCCCGGGACGGGCTCTAGTCGGTTTCGGAGCGGTGGCTCTTCGTACAAACACAATCCTTTTCTTCAGGGTGTTCCTCCAGCCGATGTCAGAAGCTTGCCGGGATTCCTCGCGCGATGGACGCCTGCCCATCGCTTTAAAAAACATCTCCTCCCACAGCGCTTCCGAATTGCAAATCTAAAACCCTTCGCAATTATAACAAAACTAAACAAACCATCGATGTATTCGCTAACTTCGTGGTATATTTTATTCACTCTGCTCAAATTCAACACGTCGTTGATCGACAAGTATTTGACTATAGATAAAAAGGCTCTTTGTGGCAGGTTTTCCAAGCACCTTTCGCCGTTGGAGAGGCGCACGATGAAGTCGTGGATGTTTTCGCCGAAGGAGTTCCTGATTTCGCTTTGGAGATGCTTGCTGCCGGCGAAGTCATCGATGTTGATGATTTTTTGGGTCGGGTGGAAGTGGGGACCGCGTGTAACTTTCCACACGTCGAAACGTATCTAAGCAAAAAATACGGTGTGTTGTTGCGAATAAATTGCACGCAAAAAACAGCTAATATCGCAATTTCTAGAAATCGAACGGGTCGATAATAATTCGATAAAATTACAGCTTTTTATGCCAGTGGAAGATGTTTCAAGAGGAGATGGTGCAGTTGCAAAACTACAAGATAACGACTTACGTAATTTTCTCCAATAGACAAACCGTAATAATCGCGATTGGGCGCGTTCGCTCTTGCATATAATTGAAGCAAAGAAGAATAGTCCCGATCGATTTGCGACTTCGATGCTTCCATGCTTGAAAAACTTATTGTAACATGTTCGGTGTAAAATAAAATGTCACGACTGGCTTTTGACAAATGCCAAGTTATATTGCCATTTAAGGTGGGATTTATACGCTGGTGTCTTAACAAACCAACTACAGATTGTCCCAAAAAACTCTTTTAATTTTAGAAAGATATAAGTAAAGATAATAATTACATCATATGCTTCAAATTAGGACACTATAAAACTTCAATGACACTACACTTATCATATATTTAAGTAGGCTTGATAAATTTGGTATATTTGCACATGTTCTAATGTAACTGTTATTTTGTCACAAGTATATTAATAATATAGCCACTCCAGTATAGAGCATATTAAATTAATAATTTTTAGTATATACTCAAATTTGATAATAACCAATTAATTCTTATTCGGCTGAAATAGGGATCATACGACTGATTGTTACTATAGTGATACAAAACTTCGAATTATTAAATCATTTTTCCAAAGAATTCCATAAAACAACTTTTGTTGTAAAATTATACATTTTTGCATCATTCATTCTTTTTGATAAACTCCTAATTACCAAATCATACTAAACATAATACATTAGTGCCTAGTAAACATGATTAATAGGCAATAATATTTTTCTTTTGTAGGGGAAATCCAGGGAATTTGGTTATAATATAAAAAAAAAATTAAAATGGAATAATATATAAGAATTTCGACGAATTTAAATGAGTTTTCCAATCGCAAATGTCAGCAATTACGTAAATAACCGCCGAAGATTGTGATGTTACAAACATCGATGTTTCGTAAGCCGAAATTTTCAAACAATTTATTTTCTGATAATCTCTAGCAACCGGGTATTCCAATAACAATCCGAAGATATATTTAAACAGCGATCGTCCACGTCTTTAAGTATAGTTATCGAGCACGTTTCGCGAAGAACTTGTTTTTTCGTATATTTTAAAGAGAATTTGAAAAATATTTCGGTGGTTATTTTGAGTTTAAAACTAACACAAGATGATGTCCCAACCGACTAATATTATCAACTATGAGAAAAAAATTAATGAAATGCCTCAAGGAAGTCCACCAGATATTGTAAGTAGTTAATAATAATATAGTTAATTTTATGTAGGTGTTTATTTATTAACGGTTTTATTCTAATTGTAAGTATCATTTTTATTGTATTGTATTGTATTTAACAGATTAATTGGTCTGACAATTTCTCTTCATACAAATAGTAGATTTAATATTTTTAAGGACTATGATGTTTTGCAATTAATGTAATAAGTACATAAAATTTTAGTCCGTTTGTGTTTTAACAGGAACATGTTCCACATTATTTGTACATGTTTTTGTACAGTCATGTAATACTGACCTTGCGTATACTAGAAATCCTTGACAAATCGAGGAAATTAATTAAGGAATTAAAATTTGTAAAATTTATCATTTATTTTAAAATTTTAATTATTTCTTTCAGTAATAACATACAGATAAAATGCTGTAATAAAAATTAACGATTATATTATAATTGCATGATGCACCTATCTGATGGATAAAGTAAAAAAAAACATAGAATGTTCAAACCGAGGTTCAAACTAATGTGGCTGTTATGACATTAACTAATTGCGCTTTCCAATTCTTCAATGCTAAATATTTTCGAATAGTCTAATAAAAATTAGATTATTTATAATATTGGAAATATTGGACTTTCCTTCTACACGTTTATCGAATGACGCATTACCTAATATTTGTTTCCAAATAATTGTCAAAAATTTTAAATATATAATGTAAATATACAAAAAGCTCCTACGCAAAACCAAATCGGATTTGTCAATTCTACTCAAAAAATCTTATCTTCACTTATTTCCTAATTATGTATTTCTTCACTCGGCGCTCCAGTTAAATATCGAAATAACAATGCATTGGACTTATTATATCTGTATCTACTTGTAGCAACAAACTTGGGTGGTAATATTTGTTACCTCTTCAATACTGTGAATAAACAACTCATGAATTAATAATGTTTTGTTTTCACAATATGATTTAAAACCATTAAGCAATTATAATGCTTCTTATAATCTTATTTTCAAGCCACAAAATTAGAAATAATCTGTGTCCTTCATTTTATTAATAAAAATATCATTTCCTACCAATATAAAACTGACTACTATACCTCAATAGTTCCCAAAATTAGGTATCAATTTTTTATTTGTTATGCAGCAAGTTTCAATAGAACACTTTGTAATTTCCTTTAAAGTAATTATAGTCAGGATTTTACCTGACGCAATTTCTGATAAACGTTGCATCTGGTAATTTAATATAATTGCTAATGAATAGTTAAAGAACCAACAATGTAATCAGGTATAAAAGAATGCTAAATTGTATTATAAAGTAGTATAATTCCTAATCATCTATAAGATATCAGCTAAGCAAATAATATTCTATAACAGCTTTTGTTGGTGTAAAATGAGGAGTATGGCTAACTATGATGTACTATAGCGATTTGTTTATAGGCACGTATTTATTTTTAATTTTTTTCTTTTTTCCAGCCGAAACTTATGCCTGGAGGCAATTACATCAGAATAGGAAAAGATTCCGCTCACAGTACTTGCATTTTGTTCGCTCCCTTCGCCGAGGAAGTGGGCGTCCTAGCGAAATTCCTATCCGTTTTCAATAAATACAAAATCAACTTGCTCCACATCGAATCCAGACCGTCTTTGAAAGCTCCCGAAAACTACGAGTTTATGGTGGAATGCGAAGCTTCTCAACACCTGGGAACTGCCATCAACGAATTGAAAGATATCAGCGAATATTTGCAAATTATTTCCAGGGACTACAAAGACAACAAAGGTAAAGTTCGAGCGATTTATTGATTGTTGGTTTATTAACTAATTGGTTAATTGTATTGGTAGATTCTGTACCATGGTTTCCTAGACGTATAAGAGATCTCGATCGTTTCGCTAACCAAATTTTATCCTACGGAGCTGAATTGGATGCAGACCATCCTGGATTCACCGATCCTGAGTACAGAGCACGCAGGAAATACTTCGCTGACATCGCTTTTAATTACAAGTAAGCTTCACTTTTATAACTATCAATTAATTAGTGGAGTATTCTGAAGTACTTTCTTCCTAATTCTTCTCACACAAACATTCTTCTTCACCAAATTCGTCTAAAAGAGTTTCCTCATCAACAATTTCTTCTTCATTTCATTGTTCTTTATCGATTTCAGCTTGCATGAATTGTGATTAATTTTTGTGATGTATTTCAGGCACGGTCAAAAATTGCCACATGTAGATTACACCAAAGAAGAAGTGGAAACTTGGGGGAAAGTTTTTAGACAACTTACTTCCTTGTACAGTACTCATGCTTGCAAAGAACACAATCACGTGTTTCCGCTTTTGGTGGAAAATTGCGGCTACAGAGAGGACAACATTCCTCAATTGGAGGATATATCAAACTTCTTGAAAGGTATGGAAAATAAAATCATTCACTTAATGCAGGCTTTTTAATGCGTATCTTAAATGATTTCCAGATTGTACCGGATTTACTCTTCGTCCAGTGGCTGGACTACTTTCGTCCAGAGACTTTTTGGCTGGACTCGCGTTCAGGGTGTTCCATTCTACGCAATACATTCGACATCCCAGCAAACCATTCTACACACCTGAGCCGGACGTGTGCCACGAAGTATTAGGCCACGTTCCGTTGTTCGCTGATCCAGATTTCGCCCAATTCTCGCAGGAAATCGGACTGGCTTCGTTGGGCGCTCCCGATGATTTTATCGAGAAATTAGCCACAGTAAGTAAATTTAATTTATTTCCTAATTCATTTCGAAATGTTCAACAACAAATTTCAAAATAAATCTTCGATGACGCACCACTTTATTAACAGATAAATAAAACAATGAATTTTCTGGAAGAACAAAAATCCATGTGTTCAATAACAAGTTTATCTTATTTATTGAACTGTTGATCTTTGTAAATTGCTTTACGTTGTTATATTGAATGAAGAATTTTATAGGATTTCCAACTTATTTTATGCTGTTACTAGGAACTAAAAATAAAATTAGAAGCAAATGAGGATGTTAAATAGATATTACGAAATTAAAAAACATTCATTATAATGGTTATTTACAGATTTGAGAAATTGTTGATTTTTTACAAACGTCTTGTCGACGATAAGGCTATTATTATTGTTAATTACAAGGAGATGTTGATAACATACTGTTCTATCAACATCTTTTTTATATAAATAATCATCAACTGTAGATACGTTTCGATAACAAAAATAATCCTTTTTCAGTGTTTTTGGTTCACTGTTGAGTTCGGATTGTGTAGAGAAAACGGCGATTTGAAAGCCTACGGAGCAGGACTTCTGTCGAGCTACGGCGAATTGAAGTACGCTCTTGAAGGTACTGCAGAAATTCGACCCTTCGAACCAGCCAAAACTGCTATCCAGAAATACCCTATCACTGAGTACCAACCCATATACTACGTTGCAGAAAGCTTCGAAGATGCCAAAGAGAAAATGATGTAAGATTAAATACTTTACACTCGATAGCAAATTATACAAATTGATTTTTATTACAGTAAATACGCAGCGACGATACCAAGAAACTTCGGTGTTAGATACAACGCTTACACCCAAAGTATAGAAGTTTTGGATTCCAAACCGCATATACAGAGATTGGTGAACAACATTTCATCTGACATGTCCATTTTGGTTGATTCGTTGAGGAAATTGTGAACGCGCTTGTTCACAATGTGTACCTACTTACTTAAAAATTTAGTCTTATAGTATTATTTATTATAAATATTATGAATTATGTAATCTTAGAGGGATTTAATATTAGCTCCTTATGACGTCCATAGTTTAGTAAAAATGTGATATATTTTATAGTCTTATAAATTAATAAACAATGTTTTTTATTAACACTTTCGTGAATCATTGATTGAAACCGTTCTACCCTTTTAATAACAATAATATACAGGCGATGACTTTTATTTTAGTACTACAATATATAAATAATTATACATTTTGTCGAAACAATGATTTTTACAACGTATTACGTTAGATAAAATTTACAACTACAGTTTATCACAATTAAAAAAGATATTGTTAATAAAATATAGAAATATTTAAAATATACATATAAAGTAGGTATTATTTAAGATATGTACAGCCGTTTTAGTTTAAAATTAAAATCACTTCGTTCCCTTGCAAGTTTCTCGATTGAGCTTTCAAAATTAATAAAAAATATCTTTAGTAGTTACATCTTTTATTCCACCGTTTACTGTGTGGAATTACTAAGTAGCTATGAAACTACACTTAACATACGAAATATCACACACTGGAAAGGTATACATAATAGAGTCACAATTAGGGGTTTATTTAGATTCAGTGTTTGAGTCAGGGGTAGTATACATCAAAGTCTGTGGATGCTGAGGAGGAAGATGTATTGGCACCGAAACTGGTACTATAACAGAAGCAGGTCCTTGCACAGGAGGAAGGCGCATAGTGGTGGTAGTACTGCTGACAGTACCAGGATTCGTAACCGTTTGATATGCAGCGGGTTGTACTGGCTGGGCACCTTGAATAAGCCCTAATCTAGCCATAAGTAATTGCTCAGATACCCTGCGCAATTCCTGCTGCTGGTGGCCGATAATCGCTTGGAGCTCTGCGTGTTTCCTCTGAAGATCCGCTTGGAATTGAGTTTGAGCCGGTGATATCACCATGTTGTCCACCTGCTAGTCGAGCAATTATTAATAATACTCCTTTATTCTTATTAAAAAAATTACCTGAATGGGAGATATGACTCCAGCCGGAGGGAAATTGGTAATCAAAGATTGCACGGGAATGGCGGCTACGTATTGATGAGGTTCCATAAACGCAGCAGGCGGCACTGGTTGGGGTTGAATCTGCATCGGGTGCTGCTGCAACAGGGGCTGATGTTGGGGTTGCATTTGAGTCTGGAGTTGAGGTTGCTGTTGTAGCTGCGGTTGAGTTTGAGCCATCTGATGTAGAGACTGCGGTGATGAGGCCATCGGCGGGCTCGATTGGCTTATCACCGGTCCTGGCGTGTAATTACTTCTAGATTTCTACAATTCGATTCTTGAAGTGTTTGTAGGTGAAAATGAGGGAATGACACTTACTGTAGAGGATCGATGAATGTTCACCGATTGCCGGGAACCGGGCGAATCCGCTGACATTAGGGTGCAGCTGGAACCAGGACCATGTCGTACGATACTTTTCTCAGTAGGGGTACTGGTGCCTTCGGCGTTAGTACCGCCGCTTGTCCAAGATATTGCTGCTGATGGCGATGGTTCCTCGTTTTGTTCGAAACTTTCTGGAGTTGTTTCCCCTTGTTTTCGATTTTGTTTCGTTACGTCTGTGTAACTGAGAAAATGTGTGAATGTGAGAATGAAATTAATTCTTCTACTGAGTGTTGCGATATTATATATCTTCATAATTTACCTTACAACTCGATGAGTGCAGACGATAAACTCCGGTTTGGAGTTCCACTGATGGTAGGTTATGTAGAATCTCGTTTGCAGCCATATCCATTGCTGTCCTTTGGTCAAGAACCTACAAAAATAAATTGGTAATAATATTTTTTGTGTTGTTAAAGGTACTACTTTTTACCGGTAATAGCAGGAGGTGCCTTCGCCTTTTTGCATAAGAGATTCGTGGCCGGAAACAACCTTTTCCAAATCGTCCACGTGGTAATAATCGTATCCGGAGGTGCCTAGTAACTCGAATGGTAGGTAACCGATGATAGGCGGCGCTCTGTGGTCTAAAAAAAGGAATTTCCACTCCAAACTGTGTCTTGAAGCGAACTCGCTTTTAAGAGAATCCGCCAGAGGCATTTCCTTGATGAGTTGCGGGGTTAAAATTCTTCCAGTTCCAATAAACACTAGCCTATAAAAATTAGGTAGATATTTAGGTACAAGGAGTATTGCCATGTTTTTGCAGCCAGTTATATTTGTAACAAGTTCCAATATTTTTTTTGGATGCTGTAATGGGCTAATAATTTAGCGGCCTTGTGGGTTTTCTACTTATGTTCACTTGCCTTGTATCGGCCTCTCCTGAATATCCGCTGTATCGATTTTCAGTGGGAACGCAATCTTCATCTGACCCTGAAATGAACAGACGGGTAAACTTTAATCGCAGTTTTCCCCTAACGTAATCAACATTTTATACTCGCATCAAGTAGGATTCCTTATATGAAATGTAACATGTTTTAATGATTTGAATTTTCTGTGTAGGTATTTTACTGTTTGGGAATAGAACTTTGAAGGTAAACGTCTCAAAAAAGTTACAAGTCATTAGAAATGTTAAGATATAATGAAATTCCTGCTATATCGATTAAAATATATACTTATATGCATATTAAGATGATATAGCAGTCGTAGGTGAGACCTTATTTGCATACATTCCTGATATTTGCAATCTTAATATAATTATTACCTAATTGTAACGGTAATTATTACACGCTAACGGTAAATCGAAGGTGTATAAAGTAGCTATTCCAATGAAAAATATACCATGTATCTTGAAAATCTTTTAAATCTGTATCTAAGGAAGGCTTTCTCGAATTTTATATATTTTTATAAATAATGGAAATTTTATAGTTTTTAGTAAAAATTGGTATTAAATAAGTAATATACAATTTAATAATAATATGTTTTCTATACTTATACATTTTATAAAGTACAAATAAAATACCCCTCGTAAAACTATCAACCTTGTCGTTAGTATTTTTTTTTCGTCCTTCATTAAATCAAGTCCAAGCTAGTTAAGCCGCTCGCACGTGTATTATATCATAGGTTATGCACTTGATATTCACGAGATTCATAAACTGCATTTATTTTGCATTTGTACTAGCAGTACTTACCAATTCAAACAACCAAATGCAATATACACATCCAAAAGAGAACGTACGTGATACAATAAACAGAGACATTTGGATATCAGGCCAATGACAACGCCATTATTAATTAATAATTTCTCGTGGTTTTAGCTTAAGGAAATTTCGTATATCTGTAAGTTGTGGCCTATGCGCCTTCCGGACTTTGCACCTACAGCGTGTTTTATTAATTATTCTAGTTGTTGTGAATATATTAGAGAATTGTTAAGAAGTATGTAGGTAGGTACTAAAAAGTCCAGTTTAGTTGAGTAGGTGGAAAACTTCTCTTTTTATTCAATTAGTTTGGGGAAAAATTTTTATAGAAATACTTACGAAAGTATCCTATAAAATGTACGGGTTCAAATACGGATTCCACCTTGGGCAGGAGGTCGCCTCTTTTCAAATGGGCAGAAAAAACCGCTTGTTTTTCCACATCGGACGGATTTAGGACATTGAACAGGATGTGGTGTTCCTCTTCGCTCACCAGATCGTATATTGATGTGTCCAATAGATCGTTCTAAAATTATTCATTATTAATATGTGTTCAAGCGTATGCCTTAGCATTAAATCGTAATAGAATTGTAACAGTAATTACAGATTCAATGCTGTTAGTGTGGATATATGGGATTAAAAGATTTCTTTGGGTGTGTTGCAACCGGCGAGAAATTAATAAAAAAGCTGTAATTACTGTTTGTTGACTATCCCACGACATTTTCGGCTCAGTAGTCATTTTCAAGGCGTTTTCAATGTGTGAATTATTGTATTAAAATATACAGAGTTTCTCGTATACTAATAATGCTAATAATACAAGGAAAAAATTTTGTGTTATATTTACCGGCAAGTGTCCTAATAGTGAGGCGACACTTTCTGAAGTATAATGGATTTGTCCACTCGTAGAAAATATTATTATAAAGCCATCTACGGCTTCTAATACTAAATGAGTAAATTCTTCATTAGTTAAGAAAGTCGGTTTCCAGTCTTCTTGAATTTCGTTCAAACGAGATCTAACCGTTACTTCTGGAAAATAAAATAAATCGATTAAATTAATTTATACGTGAATAGGTCTATTAATGCAGCATTAGGGTAGGTAAAGTAATTTTAAAAAGTACAAACACTTAGTTGAATAACTGTTATTTAAGCCAAAATGCGCACTATAGTGCATGTAACAACTTACAAACTTTGTTCACTTATGTAAGTCTTCAAAATATTAATTATTACAGTACTTTTGATGCAAGTTAAATTTCATGCAAAATGAAATGTTCTTATTACGTTAATATTACGTAAAATAAATTATAAAAACTATATTGGCACAAGATTACAAGGTCCATTATAATTTCTTTTGCATTTAATATTAAATAATTAGTACGAAGGTGTAATTATAACATTAATCTAAATACATAATTTTGAAATATATTCTTACCATTGTGATTTTTTAAAAAAGAAATTGTTGATTTAAGTACTGTGGATTTGTCCATTTTTCTTCCTCCTGCTGATACCATGGTACTTAATTCGTTGACTAACATATTAAATTGGTCTCTTCGTTTTTTTTCACTTAAATTTCTTGATTTTCTGAAAAAATATTAATTAGTTACGTAGATACCTACTACAATATATTCAAATTGCAGTAAATTACCGTTTTGAGTCTTTGTCATCGGAATCATCATCCATCGTATCCCTGAATATAAGTAAGACAAAAAGATTATAAGTAAATAAATTTAAATAGAAGGAAATTATTATGATAATACTTAAATCAAAATAACGCCACATTTGTCCACATTTTTCTTATAATAATTATTATTATTTCTGTTTTTATCCCATTCCGGTTCTGCTTATAATACCGTTAACGAATAACTAAACATTTTAATCACCGCAAATATTATGAAATAACTGCATCTATTCATGTAATATTATTTCGCATTAATTAATGTTTATATTATTGCCGTAGAAAACTGGACAAGTTTAACCCTGAACGTATCGCTCTTTATGTATTGACAATATTAATAATTTTCTTTCATCTCGAAAGTGCGAGATAACAGTACCTATATTGCGAATTTTTTCCATGAATACTAACATGACATTTTCTGAGTCCAAAGGTATTTTTGATTGTCCCACCTATATTGAATATTGTTTTATAACTATATGTAGAAGATAACAGTAGTATAATAAATTTTCTAAACAAAATGTTATTGGATACTTGAACTTGTTTTATTGCCGATATTCTGTTGTATGAATTTAAAGTAGGCAAGGAAAACTCGTTTCCCCATGTAAATTTTCGTCTACGTCACTTTAATTTACTGTAACAATAAGCTATAATTTTGCTAATTGATTGTCTACTTTAACAGTAGATTTTTTAAATGTAGTGATAATTTGACTTTGTGTTTTTATCTGGTTAAGTTTTACTTTTTATAATGGTATTTATGTACATGTGGTAGGTGAAACCAAGTGTAACTTAATTTGTAAATAAGCAGATATAATTAAATCCAATTTATCTTTATCTCCTTTAAATTTTTATGTATTTTAATACAGTGCCTAAATACATATTTTTCGCTTCATATTTATAATTCCTTGGCTTTTAATTCAAAATATTACTTTCAAAATTATTTTGTCTTAAACAAGCAACTGATGGTACAACCTTTTAGTAATTAATTGATACGCGACATTATGAATGAGAGATGAACTTTATATCTAACATTGATTAAAAAGAATATTAGTAGATATGCTATTAACCAAATAAGAAAGTTAATTAAGCCATTAATAAATTTACAAACAAAGAGGTTATTGTGCAGTTATGACTACAAAATTTAAATTTATCAGTTTGTTGAAAATTTAAGTAGATATTTAGACATAAATTGAAGCAAATAATCAATAATTAATTATATAATTTAAATCAGGTGTGTCCTAATAATTGATCGAACCTTCGAACGATTTTCAACAACCCGTACTTACTCGAACCGCTTAGACGAGCTTTTCTTCACAGCCGACATATTTCCAAAAATTTTAACTTATGTTTCCACGACATGAACCTTATCAAAACGATCTGACACATATTGGCCGGTTTTATCACAACACCTCGTATATTCTCCGGCACTGTATCTCCTCGCACAACACATATTACGACCAATCAACCGACCAGCGGCATTTTCGCACGTCCCCCCGCTGAATTTTCCGAAAATCGCGCGCCCAAATTTTCCCAAGGATTTCGAAAAATCGCGGACGGGAAGGTGACGGTCATTCCAGACACACTCTGTATGTGGAAACAACCCACATCGGTTGGAGTTCAAGTTCTCGCTGCCGTTCTAAAGTGTATAGAACGTTGCCAAGTCTATGGTCGCCCTGCTTGGAACTCCCATTCAACCCTTTCACTAGAAAAAAATATTTAAATAATTGAAAATTTGGAGTATACAGAAGAAGACATTGGTAATGAAACAAGGAAATGTGCTAAAAATGAAGATAACCATTAAATATATGGAAGGTTTTAAGTAGCTATTTTGAAGTTCCTAGTGAAATTGGTACGTTTTGGACTTGGACCAGGTTCATTTCAAATATCTTTAAAGAAGCAGATTAAAGATGGTCCTTTCAAGAAACTTCTTGATTAACGTTGGTGCAATAATTTGTTCCAGTAATACAACCAATTTTTTTCCTTAATGGAAAACAATAAAAACGTGGTAACTTTGCAGGAATTTCGACGAGCTGGCATCGATGTCTGCAACTTGCAGTATCGGAAATATCGGAATAGCGCGGTGGCGCTTGCGCTCGATATTTCATTATTATCAGTTCATAATCAATCGTGTTGTAATAGAAAGAAAATACGTCCAATCAATTTCCGGAGCGCGAGCCGACCGGAGTGCGACAGGTCTGGATCCGGGTCCTGCTCCTGCGACCGCGTTACAGCATCTGTTACTAAGGGATACAGTTACGCTTTGTTTGGTCACAATCGAACTGAGCGCGTCGGGACGTCGACGTCGCGTCGGTGCCTGCTTGAGAAATGGCGTTGAATAACGATTTTTGTCTCCCTAGAGATGAATATACTTTTGTTCTTTGGTCTTCGTACTTCATACAATCTTTTGAAAATTGAATAAGATAGCTGTAATTATTCAGTAAATGCCATCAATTTTAAATTGAAATTGAATTGAAATTTCGCGCTTAGCTATTCCTGATAACTGTATTTCTCAGTATATCTTTTATTCTGCTCTTCGTTTGCAGATGGCGCTGCAGTCATTTATTGGCAGGCCCAGGACAGCCTTATGAAAAATTTTAGACTTTCATTTAGTTTCGGCGCTATTGATAGATGGCGCAACAATAGTTTATTTCAGGTCAGCGCAAGCAACCCGCTCAACGCCGTATTTCAAAAACAATAATGGCGTCTTGTATTGATTCGCATCGATTCTGCATATTTTCTCTTGTAGTGCAAGATGAAGTTAAAACCGAAAAGTTATTTTTTTTCATTTATTTCGTTTGTTTTCGAGTGAGTTTAAAAGGCATTGTTATTGCCTGTAAGTTGTATAAGTTTTGTGTATAGTAGTGTTAGTGAATTGTTAGTGAGGAATTGTGTAAAGTTAAAGTTAAATCTTTCGTTCTATTGCTTGTTTTTACAGCGCGTAGTGAATTTTTCTGGTTCCGCCATAATATTTGTTTATTTAGCGATTTTATTTAAATTTAATGAATTTTGACATTTTTTTCAATATATTTTTAAGTAGAAGTGTTTGTGTTTACTTATTTTATGAGAGTAGTTACTTTTTATATTATCCAATTTCTTGTAAAACTTGTACAATTTATTTTACTATCTATATCAAAATTCTATACATTTTATAATAATGTAACAAATTGTACAAGTTCTACAAGAAATTGGATAATATTAAAAGTCAGAAAAAATCGAATAAAAAACCTATATTACTAATTTTAGTGTAGAGTTCTACATGATATCCCCTTTTACTAGGCAACACCCATTAATTTAGTACAGCTACTACTCTCAGAGTGCGCTCTACAACGTCTACGAAATTCTCACGGAGATGTCCCTTCTTGTTTATGTATGTTCTGTGTTTATTGGCAACTCTACACTAAAATTAGTAATATAGGTTTTTTATTCGATTTTTTCTGACTTTTAATATTATCCAATTTCTTGTAGAACTTGTACAATTTGTTACATTATTATAAAATGTATAGAATTTTGATATAGATAGTAAAATAAATTGTACAAGTTTTACAAGAAATTGGATAATATAAAAAGTAACTACTCTCATAAAATAAGTAAACACAAACACTTCTACTTAAAAATATATTGAAAAAAATGTCAAAATTCATTAAATTTAAATAAAATCGCTAAATAAACAAATATTATGGCGGAACCAGAAAAATTCACTACGCGCTGTAAAAACAAGCAATAGAACGAAAGATTTAACTTTAACTTTACACAATTCCTCACTAACAATTCACTAACACTACTATACACAAAACTTATACAACTTACAGGCAATAACAATGCCTTTTAAACTCACTCGAAAACAAACGAAATAAATGAAAAAAAATAACTTTTCGGTTTTAACTTCATCTTGCACTACAAGAGAAAATATGCAGAATCGATGCGAATCAATACAAGACGCCATTATTGTTTTTGAAATACGGCGTTGAGCGGGTTGCTTGCGCTGACCTGAAATAAACTATTGTTGCGCCATCTATCAATAGCGCCGAAACTAAATGAAAGTCTAAAATTTTTCATAAGGCTGTCTAGGCCCTGTTTATTGGCTGTGTTTATTGGCGATGGATTCTTCGTTATTTGAATTTTTTTGAAACAATTAGCGTTACTGAAATAAGTAATGTGCACCTACTTTATATTAATATGTATGTGTGCAATTATATTTTATTATCTATTTTATTATCTATTACGTTTTATGAAATTTACGCTTTTAAAAGGTTCTAAATTGCTGATTTATCGTAAATATTTTTGTTTATAGTCGGGTTAACATTGCCAACCTTTTGAAGCTACTACCTAAATAAGACATTTACTGTTGTGCATAATCAGATTATAATAAAATTCATAAAAATGGGAATTTATTATTAACTTTTATCAATTTAACTTATTACCATCAATTCCACGAACATATACAGGTGCAAGAAACTTACGTAAAAACAAAAATAAGTTCAAAAATACCACGAGCAAACCGCGCTACAATTTAAATAAATTAAAAATTATTAAATTATTATCTATTCTAATCATAATAGCTATTAAAGGAATTTCCCAAAATCCCCCTCTTGGATTAAGCGAAATCTATAAAAACCCCAACTGGCTACATTTTGTTATTAGTTATGCGAGTGATATACGAGTGATATAATTCGATATAAATATGATGAAATTCGTATTGTTTTTGTTGCTTCCCATATACGACGTATACGGGGATTGCAAACAAAGTCCTACGACAGTAAGCGGTAGTCACGCACCGAAAAATGTTTGCTCGGGGGAATTAATTTTCGAAGAAAAATTCGACAAAATAGATAATGGGATATGGCAACACGAGCAGACACTGGGAGGTGGTGGAGTATGTCATATTATTTATAAACCATTTTTCTGTATTTTATCGAGCTCATTTATTTTAATAAAACGTACTTAATCTCGTTTAGAATGGGCATATTATGTAAAAATGTTTAACTATAATTTATATAAATAGGTATGATTTACAAACCGTGTAAATAAGTATTTGGGTTACGGGTATTTTTTCGCATTATTGTTTGTTCTATAGTAGGTTATTGCTATTTTTACCATCAGAATCATATCGTTTATTTAAATTTATTTAATCGCATTGACAATTAAACAAAAATGATTAGGTGTATTTACCTAGATAATATGTGCATTCAAGATAATTATTGTGCCATATATTTCTATTACCTAGGTCATATTTATCTTGCAAGTATTATAAAAATAAATATTTTGGAGTTCAGAAGATTTTATTAATTTCTAAAATGCAAACAAAATTAAAAATAATAAAATTTTTTTCAACATTATCGCCTTTACTAACAATTAGATTATTTTGCTATCCTAATCTAGAACGGAGAATTTCAATGGTATTCCGATGATCCGAAGAATAGTTATGTACAAGATGGAAAACTCCATATTAAACCCACTTTACTAACAGATGAACATAATGAAGATTTCTTATACAGCGGTACTATTGAAATACCTCCTGATAAGTAAGTGTGGCTTTATTTTACTTTTTTTGCCCTTGGGCTTTATTATACTTTTAATAAAGTTACTTCACAGTCCAATAGAGTTGTATGCAAAAAAATAAAACTAAAATTACAATTCCCAGTAGATATGTTTTACGCGCATACCTGCTTATTATTTATGGCATTCAAATGAAATATAATTATTTTGCATTATTACCATATCGTCGAGTTAACAATAAATGGATTAATCGTATTAAAAACGAGCGAAATAAATGTCGAATTATTTTTTTAGATGCACAAATAAAGATAATAACGGCTGCAAAAGAACAGGCAACTCTCGAGTTATTCTCAATCCAATAAAGAGCGCTCGTTTGAACACTGTAAATTCTTTTGCCTTCAAATTCGGCAAAATGGAAGTTAGGGCTAAAGTTCCAGCCGGAGATTGGTTATGGCCAGGTTCGTTTCACTTAATTACCACACATTGACCTCGTCCAAGTTAGGTCTTCTTGCTAAATATTTATTCGTTTCTACAGCCATATGGTTATTACCCAAGGATTGGAAATACGGCGGTTGGCCGAGATCCGGGGAAATCGACGTCATGGAAAGCCGAGGGAATCGCCAATTATACGCCGGTAACAAGAACATAGGCGTAGACGAAGTGGCTTGCACTCTCCATTGGGGCCCGGATCCCGCTCACAATCAATGGGAGAAAACTCACTACGAGAAAAATTTGAACGGAGGATTCGACAAAGACTTCCACAAGTACCAATTGGAGTGGACGCCTGAACACATACAATTATCAATCGATGATGCTGTAGTGGGAACTGTTACGCCGCCTGGAGGTGGCTTTTGGGAGTTGGGAAATTTACAACAGACCGGGATGCAGAATCTGTGGACTAATTCCAAAATGGCACCGTTCGATCAGAACTTCTACATAATTTTGAATTTAGCGATAGGCGGTACGAGCTACTATTTTCCTGATAACACTAACAACGTGCCTGGACCTCGGCCTTGGTCCAATGCAGCGGATAACGCCATGACCACATTCTGGCAAGGGAAGGGCGAGTGGTTGCCTACATGGAAAATGAACACCGACGATTCTCATTTGCAAGTTGATTACGTTAAAGTTTGGGCTCTTTAATGGATTTTTTTATTCAATAAAAACATATCATATCTGTTATTAACAGAAAAGACTTTAATATTTACCCATTACTTATTTACCTCACAACTATGCATTGAATTAAGATTGTTATTAATAGATAATATAAAATAAATAAATATAATATGATCATTCTCTTTGTGTAGGTGCGGTTTGATTGTTTATCTACTGTACCAATAACAGATTATATTTAGTTAATTAATAATATTTGCAGTTTTAATAATCACCGATAAAAAAATTGTCTGAGTACCTACAGCAATGTAAACGTAAGCAAATTCAAAATATTTTAAAATTTATTACGTACACAAATAAAATATTGTAGATTTATTATATTGGATCATCTCTTCATATCGAGGGTTTAGATAAAGAAATGTGTGTTTGATAAACAAATATACTATAGTAAAAATTATACATGTATATGTGTTGTAATATAAATCTATTCCGGAAATGTTTCTAAATAGAACATGTGCAAATATTGTTTACACTGAGGCCATTTTTATGAAAAAACTTGTTGATAAGTGGTGAGCAGGAGTATATAAGACAACCTACTAGAAAATTTTCGTTATAAGCAATTAATACTTTCAGTGAATCGATAAGATAAATATAACGGATTAATTTAACAAAATTATTAATAAGGCACCAAAGTACCTACCTACTTATTAATTAATTAGTTATAGTATTTAATCTATAAAAAAATAATGTATTTAGAATTAATTTTAGTGTTTATTTTATATTCAGAAGTTTATAGCGTGTGTCAAAAAAGTGTTACTACTGCAAGTGGGAGTTACGCTCCTGCAGGAACAATATGTTCCGGCGATTTAATTTTCGTTGAAGATTTCAACGAACTAAGATTAGATTTATGGAATCATGAAGAAACTCTTGGCGGACGAAGTGTATGTATTGCTGTTTCTTTCATTATTCTTAACGCATAAGTAACCAAAACTTTAATATCTTCAGAGTAATAACCAATTTCAATGGTATACGAATAACAGAAATAATTCGTTCGTTGATAATGGTATTTTACATATCAGACCAACACTAGTCGCAGATGAATACGGAGAAGCATTTTTATATAATGGAACGATAGATCTTGGAACCACGTAGGTAAATATGATAACGTTTTTAGCAAAATCAATTATAATTGTGTTTATTAGCTGCACTACTCCTTTATATGACGGGTGCTTAAGAAAAGGAACAAAAGAGATCATTTTGAATCCTATTAAAAGCGCTCGTATCAACACCAACAATACCTTCACCTTTAAATATGGTAAAGTGGAAGTACGAGCAAAAGCTCCACTAGGCGACTGGTTATGGCCAGGTTTGTAACTACAACTTGCTATCAAACAAATTAATCACAATAATTTCAGCTGTTTGGATGAATCCCCATTTGCAAGTATACTCCAGCTGGCCGAGATCCGGTGAAATAGATTTAATGGAATCCCGAGGTAACAAAAACTTATACCTTCACCAAACTAACATCGGCGTGGAGCAAAATGGATGCACGCTGCATTGGGGCCCGAACGCCATTTACGATCGCTACAAGTACACCCATTTCCCTAAAAACAACAAAGACGGTTGGAATACAAAGTTTCACACGTACCAGTTGGAGTGGCGGCCGGAAAACATAACGTTCTTCATCGACAACAACTTCATCGGCGTGGTTTCTCCTCCAACTGGAGGTTTTTGGGAATTGGGCAAACTCAATTCGACTGGGTTCACGAATCTCTGGGAAAATGGAACGAACTTAGCACCATTCGATCAAGAGTTCTATTTTATCTGTAACATAGCTGTAGGAGGTACTAGTTTCTTCTCGGATATGGCGAGTAATACAGAATATGCCAAACCTTGGTTCAATACGGACGGTAGAGCAAGCATGACTAAATTTTGGAAAGCCGAAGATGACTGGTTACCGACTTGGGATATTGCCTCAGATAGTAGTCATTTACAAATTGATTATATCAAAGTTAGGGCTTTGTAATAAAAAATATTAAAACCAAAAATAGGCAAGATATAAAATATAATTAAAATATTTCATTTGTACATTTCTTTATCGAAAATAATACTCCTAACAGTACGCAGGGCTTGCTTTCTCGAATATTTCTCGTAAAATAAAATTACTAAATTCTAGGTAAAATAGAAATTAAAATGTTACGAAAATAGCGGAACAAAGTGCAGGTATATGGGCGATTCCTATCTATTGTAAATATGGCACTCTAAGCCGATTTTATTTAGGAACGCTTGTAATAATACTTTAAATTATGTACTTATAGTAAAATCAATTTGGCTAAAAATTAATTTTACTTACTGTAGGAACCTATTAAAATTATAGTACAAATTAATACGTTTTTTCTATCCCACAAAAGAAGACATAGAAGAAATATATTCATCTTAACATAATTATGAGGTCTAATATCCAGTATTTGTAATCATAGGTACCTAAACCAAACGAAACATAATACAATACGTATAAAAATCCATTTAACCTGCACTACATCGATTAAAGTAAAATACTGTTCAGTACATAAATCGTAAAATATACAAGTTAAAAAAAACGAATCCTTAAAAACCTAAAAGCGAACGTCAGTACCTGTCACAATACGACAGTGGAAGACTATGGCAAGATTAAATGTTAACACTTTGTTTCAACTCCAAAAACTGGAAAGGCACGTGAAGCGTACAATGCTTGTGTTCGACGATCAAATGACCCCTTCGATGGGACGCTCCCACCACTAAAACCGTCTCTCCCTTCAACAAAGCCGCACCGTCTCCGTTGGTGTCTTCCGGAAACGTCATTTTCATCACTCTAGTTTGAGGGTAACCTAATTTCGTGTTGCCCGTCACTGTGTAAGACCGGCTGGGCGGCACCGGAGGCGGCCTTTCCAGGTCCAAACCGAACAGATTGCAGGTTTGCTGGATGATTTTCGCGTCGCACTTTTCGTTCGGATCCGGCGGCGGAGTACCGGCGATGGGTTGAGGTCTGGGGCGAGTACCTCCAATCGCCGCCCTCGACACCGGCGGTTGGATGGCGGATTTTTCCCTTCGAACTGCCGTCATTCGATACCTGCAATGCCAGCCTCTCCACGTAGATTGGATTAATGTAGCGGCCTTGCGTCGCGTTTCTGACCTCAATTTCTCCAGCTCCTGTCGTATTCCTTCGCTTAGGAATATGTGCCTCTTCCCCATAGCGTAGCTAATCGATACAGGACTTTGCAGCTTGGCTATCAAGTCCATCACGTGCTGCAAAATCAGGTGGCAATCGTCGGCGACTTTTTCTTCGGATCTGTTCAGTTTGGCGAATGGAGCTAAACACCGGTAGCGGATGTTGAAGGCTTTAAATCGCATCCTATGCGGATACCCGCCCGCCATGAGATTCACCGTTTCCAGGACTTGTAGCGAACGAATTTGCCGGACAACTGTACCTCTATCGAAGCGATTGGGAGTCTCCTGCGGATTGCTGCAGATGCACCTAACGAAATGCGGTCTGGCGTGCACGAGAGTTCTCAGAAGATTATCCAAGCGTGTGTGGAAATCTTGTGTTAAAGTCGACACGGGTTCGTCGCCGTTTAGGAGATCGGTATGGGAAGTGGGAGAAATGCGAAAACTGACTCCTCTGGGCACTGTTTCTATTGAGTAAAGGGCTTTCAATTCGCTGCCGAATAAGTGCGTCGCGAAACCGAAATTACAGCTGTGCTTGTAGAACACCGCCACTAAATCGTCCGGGATGACGTCCTTGTTGGTATCCAGAAAATCGGTGGCATCGTAAATGACTTTACCAGCGAAATGCTGTATGCAGAATAGCCTAGGATCGAGCGGTTTCGGATCGAAAAGTCTTAAATTATTCTTATGTTGAACCTTAATCTTGGACACATACGATTCGGCTGTGCCCCTAATCGAGCATTCTACATCAAGCATACTTAGCAGGCCGGTACGCAGAGAAGAAACTAAATCTATGCATGGTACATTATCGATGTAATCCACCTCGACTTCGCAGTTAATGCCTTCGTCTCTGCAAGATTCTATGCTCGATTTGAAAATATGAGTATTATAAAAGTGTTGCATCGTCTCGGCGCAAAGGTTAATACACAGATGCTCCAGTTGACTGGGTTTCGGATCCTCAAAACCAAACATATCAAGTATACCGATGAAACCGTCAGTAGCGTGTCTAACGGCGTTATTTAACGCTGCCATCGATTTACTTCCAGCATTCGTGCTCCCGCCGATAGTAGAAGCATGCTGGCTCGTCACTTCAGCTTGGTTATGCACAGACTCATTGGAATCGGAACTCAGAGTGCCCAACGTCGAACCTAATCTCTTTAAACTATTAGCTCTACGAACTATGGTAGCTACAGTACGGCAGTATAAAGCTTTAGCTAAACAGTCTCTCGTCATGTTCGACATGTTGGCGTCGCAAACGGATTTCACCAGCTGGCCTCGCGCGTTGTGAGTGCGAGAGGTCAGCCCGCGAAATAGAGCACCACCGGAGACGCCCAGTAGACCGGCCACGGCGTTCAATTCAGCTTCGCCTTTGACGTCTACTTCCAGTCCCTTGCCGTCCATGAATTGCACATTTCCCAAAAGAAGAACCGCCGCCAGCACCCTGACCACGTCCAGGAATGGTATTCCGAGGATCCCCAGGCAGTTCTTCCAAGCCTGGAATCTACAAGAATAATGTGTTTATTATGGTTACAGGTATACAGAAAAGCTCTGATGAAGATGAAGAATGAAGATTAAGAATGACTTGCCTATTTGAATCTTCAGCTACATCTTGTCTTGTATCTCCGTATTGAAGGTACTTCAACGTGGTGATTTTGTGTGCTTCTAAGTTGAGTTTAGTTCGTTCTTCCATCGATAGTCCGGCGAGCATTTGGTAAAATATATGGTAATTTTTTTCACCTGGTAATGGTCTTATCACACGAGTTTGATCCAGAAAATAACAATGGATTTTCGTTCTGTACAAAGCACCGTCGGTTACTTGGACTTCTATGAATTGTCCCTAAGAAAGGCGAAGGCATTATTATATACAGATTGGTTATTTGGCTTAAGTACATACAATTCTACTGGATTCCGAGTTTGTCATGGTTTTGGCGGAACCTAAGGAACGTAGTACTGTAAATGCGGCGGCTAAATGCTTAAAAGCGTCAGTCTCTGGGCCTCCTCCAGCAACAGTAAATAATTGCCTTAATAGTAACATCGATACGTGGCTTTTTCCAGAACCACTTGTTCCTGCAATTAACTCAATTTACTAGTGTTCGGTTTGAAAAAATAGTAATTACCGGATAAAATAATGGCTTGAGGATATCCAGTCTCCGATTGTTGTCGAACTGCCTCTTGAACAACCTTGTTCAATTGCGGACTCAAGGCAATACTTCTCGTACTGCTCAAAGTCAAAGGATTTCCAACGTCTCTGTACGGATTTACGCATAAGAGAATTGGACCCACGTTCGTCTAAAAGTTATTGTAAATAAATTAAGGTGAAGTTCTAGTCATGATTGGAAATTTCATACAACTGGTCGATAGAAATAACGCCGAACAACCGTTATAAATAATTTCGAATTTACTTATGAGGACTATGGAAAATCATCATATTAAAAAACTGCTTTAATGTAAACCGACGGTACTATCATTTTCAAAATTCAATTAATAATCATTTAAAATGGAATTAAAATACCTGAAACAGTTATCCGTTTACCGGTAACCCATTTAAATTTTATAAGCGGTGTTGCCAATTATTTTACCTGTACACTAATCCTTTCATCAGAACACCAATATTACTTTACTTTATTTAAAAAAATTCAATGAAGGAGATGTCATTGATAAGAAAAATGATACACTATACATTACTATAAAATAATTATATTCGTGGCACTCTATGCTATAAAATTTATGTGTGTAAGTTCTGCGTAGTACTAGTAACCATCTAAAACCAGTGCAAGGAAGAAGAAATATCTATTAAGCTTCCTATAACCGGCAACGTGGCGTAACGATCCGAAAAAAAGCCGAATCTATCCTTAGGCTATGCAGCAGGTGTCGCCTAAGGTCAGTCGTGTTCAATGACCAATAAGTAGTAGGTACCTAAGTGAGTACTCACGTAAAAGTTGGATGCTTGAAATCGCGCTTGTAAACATTTCATGACGGCATCCTCCGTGAGCGGTCCATGCAGATGGATCAGATCTTCCAGATTCGAAGACGTCGTCGCCGGTATTTGGGGCCGTTGTTTCTGCGTTACCGAGCCCTAGAAGATATTCGCAATTATATTTTAGAGAGAAAAGATGTGAGCTGAAGAGTGATTTTATATTAAACATTTTAAAAAAATTTGACCAGTACGTAGACCTTGAAGATGTCTTAGTTGGATCATTATACATTCCGCCTAGAAATATTTAGGCTTATTATTAAAAGAGGCCGCAATAAATTATCTTCGGAGGTATGTAATTAACCGAGGTATTCAAATCTGGCCTTACATAATTACAATAGTTATTATACTCGACCGGAAATGCCAAAACTCGAGCAATTATCTTCATTAAAATCACCATCATGCACACACAGAGCTTAGTTTACTTACCACAGGAACAGGTACATTATTAGCAGTGGATCTCGGCGGTACGATTGGGTTGGGGACCGCCGGAGCAGAAGTAAGAGGCGGCACGGGTACTCCTCCACCTCCGCCTCCATTGCCGCCTTTTATGGTGGTCGCCGGCTGCCCTCCTTGGACATGGAGTCGATTTCTTAGCGTTACAAGCTCGGTGCTCAAGCTCCGCAGGCGCTGTTGCAAATGGACCGCCTCGTTTGAGGACGACGCATCTGCAATTATCGAATAAAATGCTTATATAATGCAAAATGGTATGCACAATATGAGAGAAATAGTAATTTTATTGTAAACGTAGCTTGTGCTCACATCTATCAGCTACTTTTGTTGGTCTGTACATGAAGGAAATATGCACAGAGAGTAAGTACTGATATTTTTCTAAGACGTGTTATTGTAGCTAATGAGGTCATCTTTTGGCCAGATTGGCTTGAATATACTAGTTTAGTGCTATTCATTGTAAATAATATTGTGTGTATAAAAGAAATTACGGTTAATATGAATACAAAAGAAGTAAAGAAAATAAACGAAACAATAAAGTAATATTAGAAAACGGCCTTTAGAGTTAATTATACATTTCTAAAGGCCGTTCGCATAGTAGTTAACCGATAATACTATTTCTCGTTGCCAATCTATTATTATAATTTTTATATACGAAGAAATACACCAACTCATTTAACAATATTCCCATCTGGTTGGCTGTTCGCTTTATAACAATCGCTCTAGTTTGTGTAGGTTTTGCATTCATTTAAATTAATATATTATAATGATTTGTAAGCACACTGCTTATTACTTTATTGTTTTGCATAGTTATTACATAGCTATGTCCATTACTTTTCTCGTAGGTATTTTATTTAACGATATTTCTTTATTATGGAGAAACACAAGAAATTATGGGTATATATTATAAAAAAGAAATAATTTTATATTGCAGGAATGTTTCTTGCTAGTTCACTAAAGTCTGTATTCGAAGATGCCTTTTCATAATTTTCGACTGCGTCACTTTAACCACTGCAAACCTTCTTAATTTTGATCCAGTAAGTTTCTAGTTTAAGAAATCTATTTGTATTCTAACATATTTAATTATTATCTCACATGTTAAGATCTCCTGTAGGTAAAAAATGGGATTGGTTGCCTAGTGCTAATCATAATCTTTTGATGGAAAAAGGATTTACTGTATACCACATTCCAATAAACCGTTTTAACTTGACATTACAATTTGCTGGAAGATTTAAGCAATAATTCTTCCTGATATCTTATTTATACAAATAAGCGTTTGGAATTAAACCATAAAAACGATAACGAATTTGAATGTTTAGCATATTTTCGAAGTGGTTGCAGCGAATACTCTTGGTGTGAAACGCGTGAGTTCATTGTCAAGAGTACGCGCTGAAAATTACCATAAATTAATTTGAATAAATTTTCATTTCTTTCGCATATATCGTAATTTGAATACATTAACGTTTCTTAATGGGTGAATAGTGTTGATTTAGTGCTGGAGCTTATTGGTACAAATTGCTTTATGATATACGCGATGATGTTGGGCTTTTATCAATCCTAAAAAGTGGAAGAATTGGGTAATTTATTTGGAATTGTATGTCATGACATAGCAATCAACGAGTACTTACATTACATAAGCACTTAAGTTATTTCGTATGAGTTAATAAATAGAAACTGCACAATAAATTGCTTTACATCGGCAAAAACTAAAATACAATAAATCGATTACGGTTCAATTTACGAGAAATAATGCAAAGGATAAAATACCAGTTTCCCATAAAACTAGTCGGAATGCGCTTTGATCGATTGTCCGATATACAACTTCATACGGACCGTGAATAACGTTCCTATGTTCAGATTTTCTAAGAATTACATTCAGTTAAGTCGGAAAAGACTCAATTATTTGAAATGAAAGCGACGATTTATGAACCGGTCTTTGCGAATCTCCAACAGTTTGTCTAATGAGGAAGAAATCTATAATTATCTACAACAGTTTTTCTTTACGTTACGTATACAAATGTGAATAATTTCCCTGTAGCATTGCATCAAAAATCAATTACATACCTCCACGGTATCGTTTATTTACGCATTAGGAGAGCTTATTTAATTCAGTATTATGATAAGTTTTTGTAATATATTATGTCACATTTCCGGTAATCACGTTGCATTCTTGCAAGAAAAAGATATTTTGAAAAGAGAATGATCATGAATATTAATGTCATCGACCTATGTTACCTCGGATAAGTCATGATTTGAATATTTTCTTCTGGTTGAATTTTATTCAAGGTAATAACCGGTTGTCCAATTAAAGGTTTTTACCTAACTGTGAATTAATTATTGGATAATGTTTTGAATACGTTAAGTTTTTAAGTATTTTAAAAGCATCAGAGTAGGCAAAGTTTTTTATAGGCCTGATGAAATTGGCATACTCTATTTATGCTAATAGGTAGGTAGATTAACCGACCTACATTCTAAAACCGAGACTTTCCAATCAATATTGATGCTAAAAAAATTTAATTCACGAGCAGTTGTATTAGAGCTTTTTATATCATTTATTTTATACTCGAGAATTGATTGTAAAAAATTGGCGAGGCTGTCATAGATGATTATCTGTTAAATACCAATTAGCAAGTAACGTGGGAACTCTATCGAGTAAAAGCCATTACCAGGAACAACATCGAAATATCAAATGTTGTGCAATCGTTGCACGGCGAGAAAACGCTTTCTGTTAAGTGTCATAAACAGCTGTAGTTACCCTATATGTAACACAATCGACGAAATATATTTATAGACAGGGTTATTATAATGAATATGTATTTAAGGAACACAATGAGATGACCGTATAATATACAAACTTAACATAGAGCCAAATATTTATGAGTAGAAAGTGAACAAGTAGAATTATTGACAATCATTTATAATCAGTTTATTTATGAATAATATAGGCTCATTGTCTTTGCAAGGATGTGCTAGAAGAAATTAATTTAGAGGATAGAAAAGTTGTCGATTAAATGCAATCAATGAACAAATTTCTATTAACATTAATTAAGTATTAGAGAAATTGATATATCTAATCTACAATTTGTAAGAAAAAAAAGGGGAATAACATTTTTATAAATAATACCTAATAATATTTACATAACAAAATATGCAGTTTATATGATTTTCAATATCTACTTATAATGTTTATTACATAATTATCTACCTCTACTACAACCCTTTAATATAATAAAAAATAGCATAAACTATGACAAAAGCTACTTATTATCAAAAAAAGTAAATTTACTAAAATTATATGAGTAAAGAAATAAGTTAGTAAGTAATATTAAATTTTTCGATATACTTATAAAATAGAGAACAAAGGAGTATAATATTGAATGCTCGATGAAGCGAGTAACCCATCTCAACCCGATTTCACATAGGAGTAGAAAAGCACAGCATCAACATACATAGATTACCCGCAATATCCTCGAGCCGCGACGATCCTAAACAAAGACTTTACAGATCTCTAAAGCCAAACAACAAACAACAACAACAACACACCTTGCAATTTCTTCTCCGTCTCCCAGAATTTCTGCAGTTCCGTAAAATATTTGTCCAAGATGAAGACCTTCGAGAGGCCTAAGGTAGCCATATTGCGGTATCACGGCCCGAAGGGAAGACCGGTGGCCATATTCCGGACATATCACAGCACACGAGCACCCACGATGTACACCGTGAAAGCGTAGAACAACGGCCGCACAACAATCACTTAGCGACGGCTTAAGACGCACTGACTCCGAGAGGCGGCTCTACCTGCGACCCGGTCATGTGACCCTCCCCGCTCACCTGTAGGTACTACACCTGTACGGCCTTAGAGTATTCGGGATATCGTAGGAACGAGCCGCTCTGAAGGTGGGCAAAAATGCCATGCTTTATTTTTGTACAACTTACAGATCCTTACAATTTACCATTTATTATTATTTCAGCAAATCCTGAAGACCCCTCTTTATCTACAATCCGCTGATCTATGAAACCGTTGTAAGGCAAAAAAGTTTAAATTTTCAACATTTTCCAAAATATTTAACTTCTGTTATATTTTGGGCAATTCCAAATCAACTATTTGTTATTGCAACTTGATTGTTCTTAGCTTCTAATTAAAGCTTTTAGGATTGCTTTAGCTTCATACTTGAATAATCTCTTTAACTTCTTAAATGCCGTTCCGGTCGAGTCCGGGTACCAGATTAATAGAAGTTAAGGTACGTTCTAGTTTGTTGGATCCCACCTCTATTAAAGAGCTTTAAGACTAAAATTCTCGTTTCGTATTTACATTTTGATCGTCTGGCCTGGTCCTTGAGAATGTGGTCTATATTAACATCCTTGATGATAGTATAAACAGACGAAATTAAACGAAAGTGATTTAACAAAATTCCTCATCGCTATATAGAAATTTTATTAGTCCAAATTGCCTTTTCGTGCCGTTTTCAACCTCCTGTTGTATTCAAATTCGGGCGGTTTTTAACACGACGAGTAATTAAATTGTAAATTGCCTTTACCGTTAAGAAGTTGAATAGTAAGTGATGCATATGCTCTTTCTATTACATTGTTTAAAGCGCAGACAAGAAAGTTTGTTTGAAATTAACATTCCAACAGGCATTTAAGCTCATCGTTATTATGCAGCTCATAATGTGTATGATACATAGTAAAATTTTTCAACTAAAAAAAAACTAATGTTACTCTCACGTTTAATGAGCCTTGAAGAATATAAAATGGTTTCTATTCTTCCTTGATCTGAAGCTATTTTAAAACAGTATGTCCAAATTTTTTATGTTTCATTTTCAATAGAGCTTTTATTTATTAACGATGTAACTATTTGTTGTTAGAGAATATAAATAAGCGATATGCAAATTTATTAAACAACAACACTTTTTTTAACGGACAGCTTTTCTGATAGCAAACGTAAACGTAAAGAATAACGTAGTGCGCCTATCGCTTATATCATCCTCCGGGTAATGTTTTCTGTAAATGGCAACATTTACGTACGCACTCCGAGCCGACTGGATCTCTAAAACGACCGCTGATTTTAATCAAATCATTTTAATAATCCGGTTTTGTACGCTTCTTTTCCTGGAAAACGGAGCTGTTGACCACTGAAATGGACGAATAAATTAGATACCTTCGCATCTCCGTAATGTAATGGCTAACCGCCAAACTACGTGACGGGATTTTTTTACATTAAAATTATTTCTAATGTGTAACGCCTCAAATTTCAAGTTTATATTTACGAACCCGATGACTTCACTTGATGACATTACTTAGATATAAGCAAATGAGAACCAAGTAAAAACATGTAAAATTATTTAAATGAAGTACTCCTCTTCTCTCCAAGATCGTAATCATATTAATTCTAATTAAAGATAAACCGGCCTTTAACTTATCACTGCATGAGGCATTTATTAAAACTCCTTACGATCGGTATCGCAGCGTTTCAGAAAACATTTTGTTGTTGTTGATTCTCTCGAATCGAGAATAGACCACACAGAATCCGACAACGCCTTTTCCTCCGACGGGTATTCGGATTTTTTCTCCAGCATTTATTGCGATATCCAGTTAAGTTTATCTCGACGCTGAAAATGCTCCTCGAACGCATAACTCGACGTTATTCTCAATTGTTACAGTTACATAATGCAGATAAACGCTCCGACAAGTTGTAATGAAGTCGTACGAGTAAATACGCCATTTAAATTGTTCTCTTTTTTTGTTTGTTAGAATTAGTAGAGTAAATGATGTGTTTAATTAATGGGTAATTAATAATCTTAATTGAACGGTGCAGAATGGTTATTCTCCTTTATGCTCTCGACCCACATTGAGCTCGCTGCGCGAGCCTTCGAGCAGGCAATGACCCAACCAATACCAAACTCACAAATGGCTACCAAACCAGCAATATTACTTTTCGCCTCGCTCTGTCCTCACTTCTTATTTCTCGTGTTTCGTTCACCGTCCACATGCATATTTTCGTGCCGGGATAATTGAGGGCGCACTTTTCGCGATTAGCTCGGTGAATGAATTAAAATTTTTCCAATTCCTTCCACACCAAACAATACGAAAGATAATCGTGGTGATGAATTATTTTTTTAATATAAAATAAAAAGAAAACTCAAGTTGTTTTGCTTCGCTAATTATGTAAATGACTGCACTTATTTAAATATCAATAATCTAAAATAAAATTATGTTTACACCTATTTAATTACACGGTGTTTAGTTTGCATGTTATGTTAATCGATGGGAAAACAACCGGACTATAAGCGGACAATCTAAGTTCACTTGAATTAGGTCGCTTTAGAAATTACTTTGCTTAGGATATTTCTCGACATGGGAAAAGGCAATTAAAGGAATAGGCGCGATTCAAACCGCTACGTATTCTTTCATTCGGTTATTCCGACATGGCGTTATTTATGGAAGCAACTTATTCGGACCAGTTGTATTTAACACACGTGTGCGCTCCGGTTGATTAGGTTTCCCATGCAGGATATGCCTACACGCTGATAAATTGATATTTAATTTGTTTCGCGCTACACACCCTCTCGAATTATTTTTAGGTCTCTATTAGAAATTATTGATTTCTGCTGTGGTGTTTCTATAAATTTCTAAAGGATTTGAATTTCTAATGTGCCAAAATCACAAACGTTTAATATTCGCGTCATTTGGGCGAAGATTTACTCAATATTACGACTGTGATGATGGAAAAATAAATGTGTAACTGATACCTATTATAAATTGCCTTATACAGGGTGTTCTCCAACTTATGTCCCTAAATTCTAGGGTTGGTAGTTTGTATAATTTGAGAGCGATTCGCAGATTTCATTTTTCTAAAAAAAATATAATAAACAAAATAGAGCAATTAGAAATAAATGCAAAGAGCGAATACAACCATGGCCTGAATAGTCAGCTGATTGGAATTTTAACTCAAAAAACAGATTCGGTGTATTTTATCAGCGAGCGCAAATTTCCCCCTCCGCCCTACAGCTTTAGAAAAACGTTATCGATACGATACCGATAGTTTTCTAGTGCGAATTATATTGTTTTGATTATATTATAACATCGGGGGTAAATAGATTTTTATGATTAGACTTTAGTGATTTATTTGATTGTTTTAGTTCATAGTGTTCTTAGTTTAATTAGTTCTTGTTCGTTATAGTGGTGTTCTGGAACAATTATTAAGCAGCTTTCAACAACAAAATAGGTGAGCTAATATTCCTTTTGAGTTTAAAGTTGAGTACTTTTATAATTTATCCATGACTTTAAACATTTAGAGACCAAATCGAATAAATAAGTAATAAACAAATTCGAATAAATCTTTTTTTTTCGATTCTAACCTGTGGTAAACGCGATCTATCACGCGGTCGAGGTGTTTCAACCGATGTACAGGACCGCATTTCCTTGAAATATCTTTAATATTTCCAATTTTGTTTTTTATAATTTTTTTAGAAAAATGAAATCTGCGAATCGGTCTCAAATTGTCTAAAGTCTCTGTATTGTCTAAGAAGACTGTTCATCGTAATGATAAGTTATAATTTTTGCGAGGTATGTAAGGTAAGAGAGCACGTTCTATACCGTTTTAAGCACCGATAAATGAATACAAATCTGTAGAGACTATGTTTATATTTTTTGCAAATTGTACATCCATGATAGTCAATTGTATATGACCCACCTTCGAGTCTCTAAATTGGAACAGTATAATTTATACATTTTATTATTTAAATTTTGTGTACAAAGAGTAAAGAAATGGCTTCTGGTAAACCCCAGATTTGGTTCCAACAGCTACATTTCTGCAATAGTAAAAGAAAATGAAAGAGTATACATATTTCAAATTCCCAACAAACAACGCCATCTCTTCGTAACTAAACGAAATCTTTTAACAGCGATCTTTAAATCTTGCTTACTTGTGTGAAGTTAAGTGTGTTGCATAATCATTAGGAGATTGATAAGAATCGATTCAATTCAAATACTAATTTACCTTTTGGAAAGAGTATTAATGTATTATTAGATTCGAAAAGGCACCGGATAGGAGAAAGTATTTTTTTGTATATTTCTATATCATGTGATACGTTCGAAATTCACAAAACTTTATAAAATGTGTTATCGAACTTGGAAGACAAATTTCTCTATTCACTCGTATTTGAATAAAGTCACCAAGAGTTAATTGAAGATCCATACCTAATTGCGGCAACAAAATCAGCGCGTTAATAACTATTTTTCCATATAAAAATCGATTTTATTGTAAAATGTAACACGATTTCAGGAATTAATTTAAAATTTTATTAAATAAAAAAATCAACGGGATATTAACGCCACAACAGACATTGCGTGTTATTAAAATTTTAACCATATTTCGTCGTTTCACGGTGTTTAAGGCCACTTAAGCCACAAAGCGTTGCGTGTAAGAACGTCTTTATTGTTGCAACTTGATACAGGATAATGCACCTCTCGATGTAAGCTTGGCATTTTAATTGAAAATATTTTTTGTGTATAACAAAAAAGTTTTGCCGGTATTTCAGGTGTTTACGAACATTTTCCACTAATTAATAACTTTTTTTGGGTAGTAAAGTTTTGTTAGTAAAAATCAGACATGAATTCTTACTGTTAAAACAAAAACTCATAAATAATCGTTTAAGAATAATGGTAATTCCTGCAAATAACAAGCGCTATTAGGCACCTAATGCAGGAAATTAAATTAATATCACCATATTTCTCTACCTGATGAATATTTATAGTGCCGCCGTCCTTAATTTCTCCGCCACCAGTTTGTAAATTAATGTAAATCTTAAGCAGGAATAAAAGTTTCTTTTTATAATAAACGAGATCCGAGATAAGATGTTCTATTTGTCACATGTTTCCATAATCAATGAAGATGTAATTAGATTCAATGCAGACCATCGAATTTACCGTTGTTTTAGATAGTTTTTGCGCTGAATTGAGACCATCAGTACTCGTTGTTTATTTCAATTAAATTACCATATTTTGGAGTCATTAATTCCAAATATTATTATATTTTATGTATACTTAACTTGCCGACAGATATTAATTATTTTCTATAAATATTAATCACATGTAGGTGGATATGAAATATTCAAAATTTATTCATATTCAACCATTGAAAAATCCGTATTTTCTGAATAATACAGTTAAGTTAATCAATTTTTATTAACTCGTATTTTAAAGTTTTATAATTCCGGTAGTAAGTCGTCGGTTTATTACCACATCTAAAACGGTGTAAACTTTTTAATAATACAACTTTGAGACCACCGCCAGATGGATTTATAATTAACAAATGTTGTTAATTTATTCATTTAAGCGACTAAATTTAATTTTTATATTAGCCTATTAGTCCCCTTTTGCGGCATTAGACTCGACTAATATTTAACTTTTTCTAAAAATTAAATGCCTGCTAATGAATAATGTAAAGAATTTACATTTATAAATCCAAAACATATATCTACACTATTTAGAAAACTATTTAGAGGACACTTAAAAAACTAAATATTTTGATATAATTTGTAGGATATTCCCACATTTTTAGATAACATTATCTATATTTAAAAAAGTACAAGATGATTTTTATCTCGTTTTTAAATAGCGCCACTTTAGAGCAATTTAATTGCAAATAATTGTTATCTAAAAAAGGAAGCTTAAGTTAACATTCTTGAGATTTCGTACATATGACGGCGCTCCTAACAGTACCTCAAAAATGAGCGTCCGGAGTCTAACCGGCATTACATTGTTACTGTTTTTCTGCTGTCAAGTATCCGCCGTTTTCAATCGAACGACCGCTGGCAGACCGCATTTTCCTATCGTGATTCGTCAATGCTCGATAATGAGAAGGTTGTGTCATTTCGTACCAACTGTGACAGATGTTCCGTATATTCCGAGTCGAGTCGATCCTCTTTTTTTCCATCCAGCCCGGGATTACCATCTAGTTTACTCAGAGGTGGTTGAAAGAGTTATTACGGCAATGTTACCTTTATGGAATTCGGAAAAAATGGATTCTCAAGTTCCGCTCCTGACACGATAGTTTGACTTGCAAATTTCGCGTTGCATATCTCTCGATGTTTTAATATAAACCGTATGAGCGCGTTTAGATTAAGTGTTGTGATTTAACGTAAATAGTTCAAGTCGTATTTCCAAGTAAATTCAATGCAAATCTCGTTATTAATCTTCTTAATGGAAACCGGAGTGATTCTACAGCCAATTCACATGAAATGTCTTGTTACAAAAATTATTTAAACATACAAAAATATCCGATGAATTTTATAACATATCTATTGCAAGATTAAAATTTACGATACGACAAACTCTAATTAATTTTAATTAATTATATTTAATTATCTGAACAAATATCTCCGCGCTCCGACAAAAAACTAGTCGGAATTGAATAATAAGAAGCAAACTTCATCAGATTTCCTCACCAAGAGCTGTATGTATCTTCATTGTCCACAAAAAAAATGTCCAAGTAACTCATTATGACGGAGTGACGTTTATAAACGACCGTCATAAATCATTTTTATTGTAACAACGAGAAAAAAATGTTTCCTCTTATAGCCGGCGATCCGATTTGTATCAAATAGTATAACGGTAGTGGAGGTTCACATTTTCCTCGAAACCGCTCTTGGACTTTGGCTCTCATCTCGACTCGTCCTTCCACCTATCAGCCCATGTAATCGACGATTTCGATGATTTTCGTTGATTAGAAGATGCAGTGCATTCAAATTAGTATCAAGATATACATGGTTAAATCAACAATTAGATTATATCTGCACTTATGCAAGAATATGTAACCCACATGCAAACTCATCTTTTACATTATGGTTTTATTATTTTCAGTAGTTTACAATTAATTTCAATACTTTATTGTTTTTATTTCCTGCTGTATTCTGTATTACCTTGTATAAATAAAATGTGTTGTGTATTCTAGACCTGGAGCGCAGGTTTTATTTCTTCTTCGCTAGCACTAATCAGATAAAGTGAAATAGACCAAGGGAATTGTTACGACATGTGTGCCGGTTATCACAAACATCGCATTAATTTAATATGTTAAAAAAAAGTAAAAAAAATCAACGACTAAATAATCTCACATAACAAAATTTTTAATATTTTTAAATATATTGTGCCTCTAATTTCCTTATCAAATCATCCGATTGATAGATAGACTATAAATCTCAAAGAAATTTCATCAATATCACTTCAGTTTTCTAAATTGCTACATGCTATAACTGGTATAAAAAAACTGAATATGATTAACGTTGCATTATTTATATTAGTGTTTATAATAATCGATGTACGCACTGTAAGTAATAACCAATTATTAGGTTATCATAAATTACTTCTTGGTTGAAATTTCGTTGACTTAATTATAGGCGAGTGTACCGATCGGAAATTTCGCTAATGCAAGGTTAAAAATTGTGGGTGGAGATGAAGCTGTTCCTCATGCTTATCCATATCAAGTCGCACTAATTATAGACAATAGTCAATTATGCGGTGGATCTCTTATTTCCCAAAATTATGTCTTAACTGCTGCGCATTGCGCCTCTGAGTAAGTACATTTTGCTTTAAACATCATCCAAAAACTTCTTAAAATTTAACAATAATAATTTTCTTTCAGAATGTACGAAAGGAACGTGGACATTATCCTCGGAGCACATAACGTTTCCTCAAATGAATCAACGCAAGTTCGCAGGAAACCATCGAAAATAACCATCAACAAAAACTTTAATTACACCAGTTTACAAAATGACATAGCTTTGATAAAACTTAATCAACCAGCGCCTATTAACGCCTTCATAAAACCGATCGAACTGATTTCAAGAACTGAAGCTAATAATACTTTAGATGGACAAACTGCCACAAGTACAGGATGGGGCTTAACAAAAGACGTGAAATATCCAAATATTAAAGACATGTCCGACGTACTAATGGTGGTAGAAGTGCCGATTTTACTATTGAAATCTTGCAGAAAGTACTACAAGGATCAGCATATTCAGTTTGTCACGTCGAAGAATATTTGTACTGATGGGACAAATAAAAAGGGAACATGCAATGGGGACTCCGGAGGACCTTTGGTTTATGATGGAAAATTAATTGGTGTAGTTTCAGGCGGTGCGAATTTATGCGAAATCGAAGCACCATCAGTTTTCACAAACGTTGGAAGATATTTGAACTGGATTGAAAAGCATTCTGATGTGTCTACCTAAGTTTTTGGAAAAAACCACTGCGAAATTATGTTTTAATAATTTTTTCATTCAAATTAATACGCGTAGTAATTAAGTAAAAAATTTACCTTTGCATTTTTCCCGGATTCGTTGGGTCCTTCTAATCAACACGCGCGTGAGCCGTTTCTGCAACGCCTGTTTCTCTTTATATCTATAAAGTAATGTAATATAGAGTCAATAAAAAATAGCAGCGGAAAATTTGCAATAATTTCTTACCTACAAAAAAATTCCGGGCGAATTCTGTAATGTGACAAAAAGTCGTCGTACATCTTAAGCATTGCCAAAATGTGTCCGGTGTAAACAGCATTTTGTTCGTATGTTTCATCAGGTAAAAGCATTCTGTAGGCATTGTTAAAGAGTCTGAAAACACAAGAAATGCACAAAAAGATTTGATTCTTGTAATTCAATGTACAAGAGATTATAAGAAGAGACTATAAGATAATAACGATTTTCATCCGTATATATGACAAAGAATCTTTAGTGCACGTACTTGTATAATAAAATAATAGTGGTATAAATCAAAAAATTTTTATTCCCGTGAGTACACTGAGACTTTATAAATTTATGTGGCCCCAGATAACAATAAATTAATCTTTAAACCGTAGATTTTCTGCAATCAATGAATTAAAACAGAAAACATATTTTATTGACATCACGCTCGTTAACGATTCCTGCATCGCGTTATTATTTATGCGGTCTTGCAGTCGCTAATTGCTTTATACTTAGAATACCACATGCTATTAGGTAATTTGTAGCGATTATATAAATTTATTAATCCATTTACGTTAATTAAATTAATGTTGGGTTGTAATCTATAGCCTGTAGTTTACAAGTTAGCACGAAAAATACGATAGCTGTTAAAATAACATTTTCGTTTTTTTCCGAGTACGCAATCGAGCGTTTCATTACTTTTCACACTATTTGTTTTTAGTCTCTTGTGGTGTAAGTAATTGCTTAGTTAATTAGAAAATTAGTCGGTGTGTTGATGTATATTTTACTTGCATTTACCCTATAAGATAAACTAATAAAAATAAGAAAATTAGCAAAAATATTCACCTTCTAAAAGCCTCCTATTTCATCCAAATAAATGGCAACAAGTCTAGTTAATCAACGAATACGACACACTCACTCACACCAGGACAATGCGAGTACCTACCGAAATCGCGTAAATAGTCCTTCGATATTACACGTCCACCTCGCATCAACATCGGTACACATGTGGTTCGGATTGTCTGTAGTATAGTGAAGTACCGGTAGCATCAAGAATTAAAACAGCATGCTTCTTGCACGCATGCGCCCTTACGACAGACACCACGCGGTTAGAAGATTAGATCTTCGTACTGATAACAACTATACATGAGATACAATAAACACTTAAAACGTATCAGATAAGTACCTAGTTAAGTACGGTAGGTACTTGTGGAACAGATAGTAATTAAGGTGAAAATAAAATACTTTGGTATATTTTATTTGTTTCTATTTTGTTAGTACTAAATTAACTATGCAGAGCGGGTACTTGATTTAGTCCAGTTCACGATGGGTTTCGTGTTTCATCGAAGGCCTTATTGGCATTTTGGCATTACCGATTCGCTGTGACTGCTCGTCCCAATCGCTAATACATATGTATAGAAAGTCCATTCTTATTTTTTGAAATGCAGCCGGCCATTAACGAAAAACCACTTGACGAAACGCGTAGAAAGAAATAAAAAACGAAATTAAACTTTGTAATGCATTATTTGGTTTTTTCGAAACGTGTTTTCCAACGGTTCGTCGTCCAGGATTCATTCAATCAAGAAATAAAATTGAATAAAGGCTCGTTGAAAGAGTCGAAACGGTTCATTATAAATTTATTATTAATTTAATTTAGTGGACGTTGAAAACCTTACTGTTTGTTTGTTTGAATTCAAGACGAGTTCGATAACTATGATTGATACTCGAAAGGATTACTACGCATTTTAAAACAGAAATCCCGATAAATCATAACCCTTGAAAAATATCCTATTATGTAAATCGGTAATTAGTCGAACACAATAGTTCGTTCCCGTAATTTTCGCTCCGATTTAAAAACCCAGCGCAATCTCGAACAAAAATCTCAAATATCCTCTACCATTCAGCAACAATTATCCGCATCGTGGCGCGTCCCAAAATGGAAATCGAAATGTGCACCGAACAAAACGAGTCATTGTTCGGACGCGAACCGTTTGGATATACGCGAGCAAACGAATCCACCGGCATTTTTAGATTAGTAATTAGGCAATAGACATGTGAATCGTCGCTGACCTCTTTGGCGCAGGCATAGGAGGCTCTAATTAGTCGGGTCAAATGCGGCGTGTACTTCCACGCCCCCACGCCCGTGTGAGAACTCGATTCTCTGCACCTTGCGGTCCCGCGGGACAAAAGTCTAGATGCTTGCAGAAGATTTAGTCGGTGAGCTTGAAGTTCAAGAGATGATGAAAAGTGCAATCAATAAGAGATTGTTAGCCTGCATTTGGTACTATTATTTTGGGTTATATGTATATGTATGAGAAATGAATGTGTTAAGACCCTCTTTTGTTGGTATTGCTAGTTGCTAGCACCATTCATAGCTTAATTTTGAGTCTACATAGGAAGACTTTTTTTTCCTTGAATTTTGCTTCATTATATTTTCACACGTTGCCTGGTAAAGAGGACCTTCCATAGAGTATCAAATTTTCGACAGAGAATATTAAAATTTGATCTAAAGCCCATGTACTGAGGCGATAGCAACGTTAATGGTCAAGATTTGGTGCTGTCAATAAGGGTGCATTATGTAGACTAATATGTAATTACGGGATAAGTCGTGGGTGTAATTGTTTGAAGCTTCGTTTTATTAGAATTTAAAGGTTATTTACAGACATCGGGACGTTTAATTATGCATTATGGTTGAAGCGAAATGTTGTTGCTTCGAAACTGTTTTATGCGTATCAATTTTAGCGAAAGTAAAAGCGTTATTTGTCGAGCAAAAAAAAGTAAAACGAGAGAAAATAATCGCTGTAGATGGATTGATTATAGAAAAACCGCAAAATAGTTATAAAAAATGGAATATTTTCATGTACAGAATTTGTATAAAACCGCATAAAAAGTTTAGTTTATGCACAAATCGAAAAGAATAACTGCAGTCTTGAAGATCAAATAGTAAGCAGGGAAAAAATTCTTTTGTATAGTCAGATTTATTTATAAAGTATCGAAGTAACAACTGATTAAAGAGGAGAATAAAATTGAATACATTTAATTTAACAGATATTTTGCTATTCTTGTTGATTCTGTTACTTTTGTCGACTCTTTGTGGGTTTATAAAGTAAACAAAATTAATATTTGGTATGTATTCAGATAATAGAATAAAAAATAACATCATATAACAAATAATTCATATAGATTAGGTAATACAAAAAATATAACTAAATACTGTTTAACAAAACTTGTACTATTTCCCATTTTAATTAAAATTTTTTTCGTTTCATGGCAATAATTGGTGTAATTTTTGTATTTGTTAAAAGTACTAAGGATTTAACAGTTGCACTAATTAATTAGTTACAGCACAAAATTCGCTGTAGACTTGCTCAATCGATTGGAAACAAATTACTTAAAAAAATCTAACTTTTACCCTTATTTACCCGAATTATCCTTTCTATCGTCAGGATGCAATACGTAATTTTCGTATGTATGAGCTTCATCGCCATCGTAACTTTCTGTATTGGAAATATGATCATACTCGCTCGCTTCTGGATAGTTAGTTAACTTCTTAGCAATTTCCTTGGTAAACGGCGAATCGTAAATCCTATACGAAGTCGTCGTAAAATCGCCAGGATCACCTTCCTGAACTTTGTAACTTCCCGATAACCTTACTCGATCCACGGGATCCTCGGCGGCGTTGTCAATATGCTCGATTTCGTAGTGTTCAGTTTTCAATAACTTCTTGGACGTCCTGTAGTCCTCATCGAATTCAGGCGTACGTTGCAGCAATTCGTATTCGTTACCTCTGTAGTTAGCAGGACCGTTATCGTAATCCTGGTATTTGTGCGAATCGTGGTGGTGTTTGTGGGCGTGATGCTTGTGATCGTGCTTGTGCTTGTGGTCGTGCTTGTGATGGTGACCGTGTTTGTGATGGTGGTCGTGTTTGGCTTTGTGGTTGTGGCCGTGTTTGTGGCCGTGGCCGTGTTGATGGACGTGCTTGTGTATCACTATGGTCTTCTTGGGTTCGTGTGGTTTCTTGTAGACTGTGTGGACGTGTTTGTGTTTGTGGACTAGTACAGGAAGGTAGATTTTTACACTGAAAATAAGTTGAAAGTAGTAGAAAAAACAGTAAAATTTTAATAAAAAAACTTACTGTTTGCTTTGTGCTAAGTCTGATAAATGCACGACGTATCCCGCGAATAGTAAATACCAATAATCTAACTTCATGGTAACATTAGTGTATCTTCGTTAGCGAGAATGGAACTAAAATGATTCGAAGCAAGTGCGAAGGATTTATTTATTTAGTTCTGATTTCTGGTTTTCATAACGTTGGTTTAAATGGTTAAAACGCAAAAAACAATTGTGTTAGGTTAATTTCGATTTTGCGGTCTAATGCAGTTACGCATTCATTCGCATTCCCAACGATACTCGTTATAACTTTTCCTTTAAATATTTTTATTACATAAAAACAATAAAAACAAGTGTTAATCAAATTAAATGTCGAGTGGAAAAATCGTGCCAAGAGATTATCATAACAGTTTTAGGAATTATTTAATCAATTTTATTGATAATGAAGATAATTGCAATTAGTCTTCACATATTTCTTTAGCTGCTCATTAGTATGTTATCTTCTTTAATTAAAAAAATATATATAATTAACAGTGACAAAGCGAAAATTTTATATTGTGTAAGTCGGTTAAGTAGGAGTACGTTCGAATACATTTTCACGGTATTACGAGGAATGGTTTGTTTAAACATTCACGCAATTTCGTTATGTCATTTCATGAAAAATGCGAAATTTTCAAATGCCGCATTGTTTGGTAGATTTTGCTGTTTATAAAAAAAACCTATAAAATAAGGCAATTAATTAGAATATAAGTACCGTTTATTAAAGATAAATAACAGAGGGAAATAATAAAATATCTACATCAATTTTTTTTACAGAAAGTCATTTTCTACAAATTCCTCTTACTATAAATGCGTATTTTTTTATAACAAAGTATTTACAAAGTTTACACCGTTATTTACATTATTTCGAATAATATTTAACAAATCACAATTGTTTAATTTAAAACCTACCGATTACAAACTAGGGGTATTGCTAAAATGTAAGAATCAGTCGTTTCAGTCTATTCGAGGACCGATTAATGCTAAAATAATTTACCGTTCTTTATTTTCAAAATTTGTTTGAAACGATTTTAAGAAATAAACATTGTTTCCTTGTTATTTATATCGATAAATTTACACACGTATATCACAGATGACAAATAAACTGCGTTTGATAAATTGTTGTGATATTTTATAATAAATGCAGCAAAGTTGTTATGTGTAACTGGAAATTCATTGTATTGAATGTAAAATTTTAATTTCAACATCGACTGTTAAATGAATTATAAAGTGATTGGATTTATTTATTTCTAGCTCTATACATAGTTGACATTTTTTATATATAAAAAAATGAAAACTCTCGAACGAAGTACCACGTTTTCAATAAATAGTTATGTTATCTTTTGTTGCATACAAATACCTATTAACTATGAAACAAAATGTAAATTTAATCGTTTTATAAAGCTTTACAATATTTACATTAGATAAAGAAATCAAACCGAATTCGGGAAATAACAATATACAAAACGACAGGGCATATAAATATTGAAATACACGCGTCATTATTTACAAACTTCAGGAATTTTACATGAATGCAAACGTGCTATTAGGTCGGCATTAAACATTTATAACTACATTATTTAGTAAAGTTTCTAGTAAAATCTGCTATTATATTCTTGAAGAACATTTCAGCACTGGCTTGTTGCTGTAGTCTCATTATTTTTATGCCGTTTGTAACAATATCTTAAACAATTAGTATAGGAATCATTGGCGTAATTAAACATACCTACATACATACATTAAAATATAGTTATAGATTTAGAAAAAAACCTTTTAACGGTAGTTTAATTAAGTAGTAACGCGTTTACATGTTTTCAGAACAAAATGATATTGACACGAATTTCTCCTTATAAATTATCAAGCTTTTTTATTTACGAGGAAAAGAGCTAAGTTACTTTCGAAACTCTTTACATTGAGTGTGATAAACTTATTAAAAGAACTTTATCGCTTGATCGAAAGCTTGATATTTTTTGGATATTTTCGGTAAGAAGAACGGTAACTTTAATTATTACATTTTCGTTAAAAGCATATACAAATTTTACGTATATACGTTGATTGTACAGTTATAAAAATGATAAAAGTATTACAAAATTCTTATCGAATCTCTATCGACACACTTCCGTGTTTTACATCAGCTTAAATTCGTAAAAACGTCGCAAATCGATGGAACAGGAAGACGTCTGGTCGAAATTTATTTTTTCTGAGCTGCCCCGCCATCCCCAGCTCATATTGCATTTAAATAGACACAATACAAAGGTATAGTATTTCAGTACGGATACAACAATCACGAGCCGAGCAACGACGGGCCTATTCTGAGCACATCAATCTACATCTAGGACTAGTAAACGAAACATTCCTTCTATGATATGCAGTCACTTTGAATTGCCGATATGCTCGAACTAAAAATACATGCTAAAATCGGCGTACCCTCACTTTATCCGTTTATTCATATTCACGTTATGGCCCACCGTTCGGGGGTTGCTGGACGGACCCGCCTCCGCGTACAAGCAGGACGATTCGCTGCACGAGCACGTGGTGTCGTGGCTGCTGGTGCACGAGTGCCTGTCGGTCTCGCAATCGCCATCGTCGTTGTCCCAGTTGTGCTGGTTGAACCAGATCTTGTCGCAGTTGTGGGGAACGTTGTTGCAGTACCCGCGGCCGGTGGACCGGTGGCCGGAGCTGCCGCTGGCCAGCGAGCAGTGGGCGTCGCAGTTGTTGCAGGATCGCACCCGCGGATGCTGCATCTTGCCGCATTGCACCGAGTAGCAACCGTAGCCGGCCAGGCTGCCGCAGGTGCTGCCGTTGCCTCTGGGCGGCGGTATCGGGGGGTTGTCGCGCGGACAGTCCGGCGGCGGGTGGTCGGGCGGCGGCGGGATGATCTCGGACCAGTTGGGCACGGGTAGGATCATCGTGGTGGCGTACGGAGTGGGGCTTTCCAGGTTCTTTTTGCAGTTGTAGAAAGTCGATAGGTTCTTCGTGTCGACTTCCGCGTAATCGGCGGGTTGGGCTAAAGGTATGGAGGAATCTTTATCGCAATCGGCCGCTTTCCAGCCGCGGTCTATCCAGAGGCTTTCTTTCGCGTTTAACTGCGATGCATTCACCACTGGGACGTTCAGATGTCCTAATTGTTTGGTCAACGATTGCTTTCTTCTTATGTAAAACACACCGCCGATTACGGTGGTTAGTAACAGCATAATAAATACTGAAATCAGTACCAAGAACCAGGTTTGTTGGATCAATGGTATGTACGGACCTAGAGTTCTTGGACTTTGAGCTCTGGGGGAGGTCAGTAAAGGTACCGGAACGGAATAAGGACCTTGGCCAGCCAATGTAAGTGCAGCTACTTTCGCTGTATAACTCCCGCCTGTAGTTAGATTACTTATTAATATTGACGTCGTTGTAGCGTTCATTGTCATCGATTTTATTATATTTCCTTTGATTTGGATTTTATAACCAGTTATCACGCCATTGCAATGTTGAGGAGGTGGCGGAGACCACCGTACCCAACCAGCGGTATCATTAAATACACCAGCGGTTATACTATCCGGCGGAGCAGATGGTACATCTTCTAAAGTTTGAGCAATTCTGGAATTCGAAGGTTGGCCTTCCACCGATTTATAAAACGGCGATATGAAAAATTCGTACTTGGTAAACTTCTTTAAGTTAGTAACAATGTAAGATTTCGCTTCGATATCCAGCACGGTGAGAATGTTGTAGTTGTGCGAACCGCCGGACAGCTCCCTGAATCTGATATAATGGCCTTCCACGTAATCGTTATCCGAGAAATTCCAAATGAGCTTCACCGAACTGGACGATTGCGGCTTCGCTTCCATTAATTCGATCAACTTGGTGCTCAGAATAGCCCGAGCCGTGTCCAATTCCGAGTTGGGCAGAGCTCGAGTATTAGCCAGGGTTCTTGCGGTCTTCGACACCGAACTCGCCGGCGACAAACCGTGCGCGTTTTCGGCTCTAACAATAAAAACGTAAGAGCTATCCGGCTTGAGCTCGTGCACCACCATGTAAGGTGTTCGAATTCGATGGGCGGCTATTACCCAGCCCGTCTGCAAGTCAGGACTCCAGTATTCCACGGTGTAGCCGACCAGCTTGGACTCGTCCTCTTCGCTGTCCCAGGACAAGCTGATGCTGGATTCAGTGCTGTTCAGTATCCTCGGCACGCTGGGAGCTTTCGGAAACGTGGACGGATCGGGACTGCGGTGCAAAGCCACAGAAGTGCCTTGAACTACGTTTAACGAGGCAGACCAGGAGCTTTCGCCGCTTTCTGAGGTCGCAGAGCACGTGTACAGACCGGAGTCTTCCAACATTAAATCTGCAAAATTGAAATTATTAGTAAAAAAAGAGAATGAGAGTAGAAAGGTCCTTAATAACTATTTGTAAACCGCAAAGGTTATTTCTCGAAATTATTCAAATCCAATAGATACAGCGATGGATAATTGGAGTAATTTTGGCACGGAATATGAATAACTCCGGCCCGGCGAATAGCGCTCGGTAACAATGCAAATTCATAGAAAACTCCATTAAGTATCGCGGAAATGTATTCAGCAACTCATTCCGACTGTAATTATCAGGTTATTACGTCGAAGCCCCAAAGGGGGGCTCTCTCAATAATATATGTTTGAACGCGTCCCATTCTTCCCAATTGTTGTGTACTTCCATCCAAAATTAGAGTTGATTCCCAATATTGCACTACACGGACTAGCTAACATTTTAAAGCAATTCCAAACTAATTAAATAGAGATAATTTATGTAATGAAAATTGTTAAAACGGCCTTCAATTCCTCAAACGTACCCAGACGTATCGATTACAGTGATTAAACGCGTTAATTTTTTTAATACTTCCAGCAATGTTCTCACAAACAAATACACGATAACGATTTAAATAATCTGCTTAATACTTAACGTATTCCACGCAACACGAGCCGTTGAGTAAACGCAACGCGAACCCGTAATTTAGAAGGCGCTTTTTGCAAAAGAACTCTGCCCGAAGGTGGTGCAATTTAAAATATGAATATCCCGCACAAAGGACACAGAGGGCCGTGCGATTTGCATGTCATGACTGGAACTGACTCTTTACTTGGGCGAAAAATAAAATCCTTTATTGCACGTAATCACCGAGCTGTTAGAGCCTCCAACGCGGAATTTAATGTGGGTGAATAATTATTTTTGTACATTTTTTTTAAAAAGGCATGCATGGCTCGGAAGGGAAATTATAG